TTGAAGTTGCTGAAAGTTTGTAATAAAACTTTCATTCCCTTATGTTTTCTCAAATTCTCTTTTATCTTGAAGTCTTGATATTTAAGATATTGGATTGCCTTGACGCCTTTGACCCTGATGTCGCTGATGGCATAAGATGATGTATAGTTCTTGAAGGCAGATTGTTCGTCGGTGATGGTTGCTTTGTATCTCTGTTGTATTCCTATTAGTGCTTTGTTCTTGTCTAAATCCACCCATTTTTTACCTTTTTTTTCTTTCAGTTCGTATCTTTTGTAGTCCATAGTTTGCCTTATCTTGTTGAACTTGGTTTTCAATCTGTTCGTGATGGGTGTGTTTCTTTCAAAGTTGTAGGTCTTCTCACCTATCTTCAGTTTCTTAAGTTCTTCTCCATTCCGTTTCAATATCTCGCCTGTTTCACTTGATAAAATGTAATCTAAAACAATCTGGTCTGAGGTGTTCATTATATTATGTTCCATATTATTATTAGTGTATGTTTCTTTAAGTAGTTTTTCAGTTGAATTTATCTGTTGAGGTTGTTGAGATTGATTGGATTGTTGGTTGTGTTGGTTTTCAATATTAGTCTGATTTTTCAAACCTTACACCCTCTCCCATATTCTCTATTCTATATAAGGTAATATTTCTTTAAGTAGTTTTGGATTTTGGTCTCCTGTTGGAATTTCTGGGATTGAGGTTTGAGTTCAACGTTTCATCAATGGCGTCTGTTGCTCATACAAACGTTGGTTTGACGGTGTTTTGATAGATTTGATTTGCTTGTTATTGTGCGTCCGCAGTCAGGGCAGGTGAAAGGAGTTGATAATCTCTTTTGATAATACTTTGAAAAATAATTGGGGTCTAACGGTTTCTTGTCGTAAGATTCGTCGGGTTTATAACGACTTCTTGAAGTCGTTAAAATAGCCTCTGGCTGTTACCATCTTGTGGATGTTGCTGTTGGTGGATTGTGGGGGTTGCTGGATTGGTGTAGTGCTGCCGCCATTTGGTCGAAAAGGTCTTCGTCCATTTCTTGTTTCATACTGTTAATATACATATAGCAGGGCATATTCAATTCTTAATTATATAAGGCGGTATGTCTTTAAGTATTTTCGGGTTTTATGTTGAATAATGGGGTGTCCTAACAAGTGTCCTCAAATGGTGTCAAAAGGGGTCAAACAAGAGCAGTTCAGGACACTTGTTGAAATACTGTTCCTACAGGTGTCTCAAAGATTTCATGTCGTGAATGTCTCATAAATTCTATGCCAGATTGCGCGGAAAGTCTCATAGCATTTTATGTCAGTTGTGTGCCAACCACGTCGTTGATGGTCGAGGTCAGGATTGAAGCGAAGCTGTAAAACATATGGATAAATCTATACAAAGTATAACAATCCGCCACCATCAACTGGGAGATATGCTTTTTGGCAACTTCCACACCCCAGAGCGTGTCGCTCCCTCCCAGTTGATGGATTTTTAAAAATGAAACAACAAATTTAAATACATATATATATATATACATATATGTTTGAAACCCTTTCCCGTTCCCATATTTTGGTGAGACCGTTGCGACGCTGTCCCTTCTGACAAACAGGGGGGTGAATGAGTGGGGTAGGGGGGATATAATTACTATATTATATGTGTGGGATGTGTGCGCAGGGGAGAGTAGTCCGCCCCCTTCTCCTCCATCATGTCAATACCTCAGCGCAAGCGCTTCAACTGGTGGGTGGCATGAGGGAACGCAGAAACAAACAATGCGCGAAGATTGAAACTTCTGTGCTACAGCTTTGTTCATTTTGCTTTTTTTGACAAAATCATCACGTGCTCTGATGCTGATGCTCACACTTTTGCATCTCTCTGCTGTTCACTCTACACCCTGTACCTGTTCAAACTTACAGTGGCTACAGGCCGAACACAGTCTTCGCTGCCTCGGCTACACAATCGAATTGGAACTTGTACACTGCACCTGGTATGGGGGTGAAGAGGTTGGGTCTCACGAAATTCGCCATGAAGTTCTGCTCATCTTTGCAGTGCTGGCGAATGTCCCTGTAGTCGACTGCTCCAACAAGCGCTTTGCTGTAGAGAACCTTCGCAGCCCTGAGACCTCCATCCTTGCCGTTGTGGGAGCAGTGCTCTTGAGATTCCTCTACTTTCTTCATCCACTCCTTCATCTCCTTCTTGCAAAATGCATCTTTGTCCTCCGCTCTCTTGAACTGTTGAAGGCTCTCGAAGGTTCGCGGGATGTTCTTGAGCATCTCTTCCGTGTGGCCCTTGGCGTGGATGTGCTGGAGGTACTCCTTGGCTTTCTCGAGTGGCATTTCCTCTGCCATCAGCTTCGCAAGCCTTGGCTCATTCACACTCAGAAGCTCCAAGATCTCGCTGGATGCTATGACTGCCGAAGCCACCCTCGCGTCGGCACAAAGCCACTTCACATCCTTGACGAGCTTGATGATGTTGATTGAGCTGAAAATTGGAACTGAGCTCGGCGTTGGCAAAAACAAATTCTGCACAGTCTTCACTGTTTTGTCTGCCCCCTCTACAGGCAATGTCGTGGGGTTCAACACCACATCCACCCCCACCTGCACCGGCGAGCCTGTCTGCTCCCGCACCAACTTGAAGACTTCGATGACGATCTTCTCGCTGGTCTTGCTAGCGTCCCACCGGAGATGATGTGCAAAGAAGGGGAGACAAAGGACTGAATCTTTCATCTGGCCATACATTGCGTCGTAGACGTTGCCATCCGTGAGCTTGAGGTAGAACGGGTTCGGCTTCTCTCTCAGGAAGTGCGACAAAGTGCTGGACTTCCCTGTGGATTTTAACCCAACGAGGCCGACCATTGAAGCTTTCTCCATCATGTACCTGTCAAACAGGCAAAACCGGTGGTCGTACAGGAGCCTCTGGTTAGAAGTATCCTCTGCGGATTTTGTGCGCCATCCGGTGGGTCTCAGTTGCATTCCACGCATAGGAGGCAAAGACGCCGACAACGGGCGTCCCAACGCCCAGCGGTGCTGCATTAGCGCGAAGCCACGCCCAAGCTCCGGAAGCCATGAGGAGTTTAGCGTTTTTGTCTGCACATGTTGAGCAACAGCCAGTGCTGCGAAATGCAATGAGCAACAGGTCATGTCATGCAATGTGATGCAATGCAACACAAGACAGCAGAAGTCTGGGACTGCAAGAACACCAGTGCTGACGAGGTGCAATGAGGATGCTGCTCACGAACTCAAAGGCTGTGATGATGTGCAAGAAGAGTTTGAAGGACATTGAGTCTCTGCCAAAGTCATGAAACAGTGGAACTTCCGATTAAACATATTATGAAGTAATCGTTGAGACCCAGACACCCATTTGAAGATATAGTCCCAGAACACTTTAATGAACGAACATAAAGGTAGGAAATGTTCAAAATGTAAAACGACGCAAACTCTAGAAAACTTTGCTAATGGAAAGGCATTATGTAAAAAATGTTGTGAGTATAAACAGCATTATAAAGAAAATCACCGAGAAGAAGTAAGACAAAAAGAGCGGGAACGCTATGAACAATACAAACGACAAAAACTTGAGAAACAGAAAGAAAAGGTTGAATGTCCCATTTGTAAAATTGAGATTTCAAGAAACAAAATGTTAAGACACGAAAGAACCCAACGACATAAAAAAACACTTGAACAAACCTAACCCAAAACATATAGAACAACAAAAGAAAACTGATGAAGAAATGAAACGAATAAAACACCAAGAAATCATAGACTACCTTAACGCAACATTTCCCTCATATCCAGATGGTAAAATCACAACAACCTCAACAAATCCTAACCACATTCAAACAGAAAGCCCCAGAAAAGTTAGCGACCAAAAAAAAACAGAACATACAACACATAAAACATCAAAGGGAAGGAAGAAACATTGAACAAGAACATAAACAACATAACAGGCAAAACACCCTCAACAAAACCTACCCTCATTGAAGCCAAACATTATTACAACAACCTAAAACATTTATATATATAGCAATATAACCAAGAAGAAACAGTCAAACATTTCAGATTACAAGATTGAACAAAAACATAACAGCCTCCCACCTGACCTACAACCTGTCTTGTCCTAGCTTCCCCCTTCTACCATTGTTTTATGGGATACTCATGATGCGGCGGCAACACCCTCCATCGCTTTACAAAACAGTTCTGAGCGTTCCAGCATGGCGTTGTAGATGTTGATGAAGAAAGCCTCGACGCGACTGGTTTTTCGAACACTGTCGGCCATGGCTTCTATGCCAAGATGAAACATGGCTTTTGGCGACCAAAACGAATGGGGCAATGAAAGAAGACCAGAAAAGTGACCCATTTGGGAAAGTCAGGCAACTGCCCAAGGTGGATCATTGATCTGTTCTTGAGAAAATGAAAAGATCAACCAGACGTTTTGCATCTGCTATGAAACATTGCCACCAAAAAAGAGGAGTGCTTGATGTTTTCAACCCCCCAGAAAAATCGGAAAGTCATGCGGGACCATCTCATTTCCACGGTGAAAAACAGCCCGCCTTCCGCTCTTCCGGAGGCATGCTGGTCAGTTGCGACTGCAACCTGGGCCTCGATTTTTTTCGTGTCCCGGACGGAGGACTGTTGACCCAGAAAACGGCTGGTCACTTTAGACATTGAGAAACTATAATTTTGAGCCCTTCCCAACTCGGAAAATGATCTTGAAGTGACTCATTTCAGGTCGCTGCAGATGATAGGTCCTTTTCCCTTGATCGCATCTCTTCATATCTGTGTGAAAGCCTGGATCAAAGTGTCCAAAAACGCTAACACTTCTGGACTAATATATTGCCAATATACATATATACATCATATATATATACCCTAGGATACCAGAAGCGGTTTTTAGAATGTCTCTTGTTGAAAAGCCCGTTTCCACTCATATTCAAACGTCCTTTCGTCAGAGGTGGCAATTGGCTACTCCAAACCTGTTGTTTAGACATGTTCTAGATTGTTCTAGTGTATACCTGACCACAGGCCCGCGCAGAGCCATGTTTTACTCGCAGCATCGCACATTGCACATCACACCATGTCCGAACCACAGCTTGGAGTTGATCTCAACCTCTTTTACCTCTTGTCCTTAACACAGCAGAGAAGGGGGCCCACTAAAACCCCCAGAAACACAGGCTGGGAAACAAAGTAGTCCAAACACGCATCCCACTGCTATAAAGCTAGATATTAATTAATTGAAGACCAGGGTCTTCTTCCGTTCCACACGGTGCTTCATAGTGCGAAGCCTCCCACACAAAATGAATCAATCTAAACTATTGCTGCCGGATGATACTGATCATTGATCAAACAATGCCTATCCAAACAAGGCTTCCGGCCTGAGCTTGGTGCATTTGAGGAGCCAGATGTGTCGGCGCTTGGGATGTGCTCTGGCTGCAATGCCTCAGCCAGCACTCAGCAACAAACATCTAGGATGGGCCACCACCCGCCACCACCCCATCCACATCACACATCCACTTTATCCAAGATAAGATGCACTTAAGCCAGCGCATCGCATCCTCGTCGACAAATGTATGCCACATTCTATAGTTAGCCCCTCAGCACAACACCAAGCACCCAGGTGGGTAAACATGCACCCCAACGCGCCCACACATACAATTCGCACGCATGGTTCACCACGCTTTCACATGCCCAGGAACTGTACTTCAGGACGTCTTTGCTGAGATGTAGTAGAACCTAAGCTAGGCCAGCAAGTGGGAGAGACAAACACAGGATGAAACACAAGCCACTGACATGTGCTGCACATGTACTATACACGCTATGCAATATTTGCCTCAAAAGGGAATATCCCCTTAAACACAAGTTTTGTATGCCATGCCAGCTAGCATAGTATGTTGTGAATTTCCGACCTCAGACAGGTTATTCTCCGAGAGTGGGAAATAAGATAAAATAAGCACAATCAAGCGCTTGCTGAGTCACATGAATTTTTGGTCGCATCAACCATCTGTTTTTGTTCATCCTGCAACACGTGTGGATTGATTGGGCTTTTCAACAACAGACATTCTAAAAACCGCTTCTGATATCCTAGGGCAAACATATTGCACATGGCATGCCAGCAGAGTCCCCCAGTCCTGATATGTTCTACGCACAGTACCTTGTAGAGGTCCACAAACCGAACCCCGTTGTCATGGAGTTCTTGCGCTGCACTTTCCGGCCTTGGACAGCTGACCGGGATATGGGACTAGCAACCAAGATCAATCAAGTACCCTCCAGCAAATTAACATAGACCCTGCCAGATAGGGGTTGAAAGATTAGTTTCCTCTAAAAAAATGTGATTTTCAGGGTCTATGTTAATTTACCAGAGGGTAAGATGTGTAGGGTATAATTTATCCCGAACCCAACAAAATGTGTACTTATATTCTAGCGACATGACATGTACTTTTGAGGTTTGGAGTAGCCAATTGCCACCTCTCACGGCAGGATGTGCTAGTCAATAAATGATATAAATTAAATGTTGTATAGCATTCCAGGGATTGGTAAAATGTCCTATTTATATTATTAGATATCACCCAACTATTGGGGATATAATCTCCAACAGATACTTGAAGGTGATGTTAAAATCACAAAAAAGGGGCAATTGCCAACCCTGCATCATGACTGTTTCATAAATAGGTAGACCAACCATAGACCAACCTTGGAATAAGAACCACTGTAATCCAATTGCTGCCACGGCGCAAAAAGCGGCCATGGCTCTCGCTGATGCTGAAGATGTTGGTCATAGAATTCCTCATGAGGACAGCGCCAGGGATTGGGATTGTGCATGGAAATCAAGACCGGGAATTTGACATAGGCATTTGGTTGATGTACAAAAAGAACAATTAATTGTAAGAGTCCATTGGGTAATTTCACCAACACATTTTTTAAATTTCACCCGAATGTTGTACTGTTGGTGAGAAAAACAGGCCCAATACCAGTTCAACAGTTCAACACCCCAGGGAATTCAAACATCCTAGATTCACTGCTGCACTGGTCAAATGGAGAATTTGATGATCCGGGCGCTGTGCAAGCACCCCCAGTAGAGTGTGATTCAGCCAGCTCAAGATCACTCTTCCGTTATATGCCTTCGCAGTGAACAACTCGTTGCCATCCTTCTTTTTCACCTGAGCCATCAATCCACCCAGGGCTGATCAGAAGTAAGGGAAAACAGGCAAAAGACACTGGACCCCCAAGACTGGCCGGCTGAACCAGATTTTGCTAAAATCTTCATCTTTGAACTTATTAGCTTCATAGCCATGAAACCATTCGGGGAAGGAACGGAGGCTGGGAGTGAGGGATGCGCTTAGACCTGCAAAATGCTAAGAAGTCTTGGTAGGCCACATCCAACTGCTCAGCAAAGGTCCCTGTACCAAAGTATTCAAAGTCCTCACATAGCAAAAGCCTTGGCTGGGCCAAGCGAGAGCTGCAGGACCTGGAAGACTGGATGTGACCTTCACTATGATCCCACAATCACAACGTTCTTGGCAAAAGAAACTTTTCTGCATTTTGACTTGGCAAGTTTCAGGGCGCCAGCGTTGCACACATATAGCAGCCCTAGATTGAGGGTATGCATGGAACAGAATCGAATGATGGTGTGGTGAAATCCCTTCAGATGTCGGAGCGGACCTGAGCAAAAAAAAGCCCCGGACTGTTGATGATATATCTAGATGATAACGTCTTTTGGGGATATCCGGATGATATTTCTTACAAAAAATATTGTCCCATAAAGTCTAAAACACTTTTAAAACCCATTGGAGTAAGATTGATAGTATGTTGGGTTCTCCATGGAAAACATAGTTGATAATGATTGGAACAGCCAGATACTCAAACCTCGAAGATTCATTGCTTCAGACATGTGTGCCCCCCACCTTAGTCATCAACATGTGTGGATTTGAGATATTTCATCGATCTATATGATATCACTTAAGCGCACAGAAAAAATACAAAATCATATACATCAAGCCCAATCCGTTCGAGGTGCAAAGTTGTCTGTCTTTTAATCGGCGGGCTAAAAATTGCTCCAATGAGAACTCTTCATGTAACCAGCGACTGGTTGGGCCCCCATTGTAATAAAGATAGGCCTCATCCCCCTTTGTCCCAGCTGCACAGCGGTAACAGACCTGTTGGCCTTGCCATGACGCTGTAAAGCGCCACACGTCACGGTGGAACTCCCAATCGCCACGGAGCTCGGTCACACTAAACCTCATGTTGGAGCGGCACAGTGGCATACCTGCACGGGCAAGGTCAGCACCTGTGAGGGGGCGTCCACCTGGCCCTGAACGTGGGTGGACACCTTCGAAGGCCCAATTTAGGGACCACACCAAGCGTTCCCATACCACATTGAATGTTCGATTTTTGATGAGTTTGTCCCTCCCAATGGAAAAGACAAGCCACCTAGAGTGGCGCACGCTTTTGGGTCTAAAGAGTGGAAGATTTACAAAAATCCCCACCATCTTTTCCACCCGGACTTGCGTCCAGAGCCGGGCCGCGTCTCCGTGGAGCCCGACGGGCATGTGGTCTCTTGAAGCAGGTGAACAGCATGCCCAAGGTTCTTGCATGGCCCGCGCATGGTCCCAATATGAATGCACATCACAAGGGTCCACCTCCACTCCCACAGTGTCAAACAAGTAGTTTAGTATCCGATGTGGGTGAATGATGGGGAACACCTCCACTTTGGCATTGCCAACTGACTTTTTGTCGAAAACAGGAAGGCGAATAGTTTCAATTTCCTGGATCAAATGTCTTTCAACCCTGCGAACTGAATAATATATTAATTGGTATCCCCTTTTGAAACTAGCCCCCTGCAGTTCACATCAACACAGAAAAGGGGTCGGTTTATTCAAAGCAGCATCCAAGGGGCGACAGGGATGTCTGCAAAATTCCAGAAGTCCCGTGCATCGTTTTTTCCAGATTTGGAACCCAGTTTCATTGTGTCCGGATGAACAGCCGATCCACTTTCCTAAGCCAAGCGGCATGGGCTATCCATGTCATGTATGATTCTACCTGGAACTTGATTAGGGGGAATTTTGTAGTCAAAACCCAACATCGATCTAAGTTGGTTTGACTATGTTTGAATCGTTTTTTGACCCCATTAAAATTCAAATGATAGAGATCCGATTTTGCCAAACATTTGAATGCCTGAGTTGTAAGAAGATAGCACCTCATTTGTCACAGTAGTGAAATCAATAGGGACCAATAGGTGGGAACCCGACTCCTATAGGATTTTGAATTGGCATGTTGATCAATAAGAATCAAGATAGTAAATTTTAGTGAGCAACATGCTAATTCAAAATCATCCGGCTGCAGACCCTTAACACATCCTGCACGCGCCATGGCCCATGGCCACCTGCCCAGGATCTGCAACTTGATCACGGACTCGTCGCATCGCACGCTTCACCGAGGTTGCCTTGGCTGCGTTTGGGAAACAAAGCAGAGAATATAGTGGATTGGGGAACCTAAACAGCGTCCAAATAATGGGAAGTCCATTTTGTTTCCACTTGGAGATTTGCCTGTGGCATGTCATGAAAATTCAAGATAAGCAAAATCAACCGAAAAACCTCATGATGCATGCATGCATATTTTTGCCAAAGGGCACCAGAAGCGACATCATCGTAGTGCCCTTCCAATGCGACTGGAAGATTCGTATTCACACCTGCGCTGAGGGGCGCACAACAAAAGATAAAAGGCATAAGGGGTCTCGTTGATGGACCTAATCGGCTAATAAGCTCACATACCCCCATGCATGTGATCATATCACTCATACCACAATTAAATCATATCACCCCAGGTATTTTCCAAAAATGTTGCTCAAAATATGTTGATCCAAGATATGTCGTATGTGCATGCATGTGTGAAACGGGCTGGCCCATTCTTTTCACCCTTGACAGCTGGTCAAAGATTCGGATCCCCGAAGTCCTGCCTCATCTATAGTCACTCCCAGCGTGGCTTCTCACACAAGTCAAATGTCCAAACATGTTTTCCATGGTGGTCGGAAATGTTGAACCATCAGGAGTTTTCCAGAAAAGTAGTAGCACATAATGGTATATCCTCTACTACAATCCTTGTACCACACACTGGCGCAACAGCTGAGGCTCAGGACAACCTACGAAAGCTGCAAAACTACACTGGCCCTTCCAGTTGGCATCGAAAGACTGGCTCCTAAGATGCGTTTAGAAACACACCAGACCGATCTTTTCGAAACACAGATCAACCTACTTAATCTTGTAGGCTGAAAGAAACGCTTGGAACTCTGAGCATGCCGAGTTGGCAGCGTCGATCAGGGTGGGCATCTTTCCCAAATTGTCCGCCTCAAGCAAGAGCAAAATATATGGGGAATTTATGCTATATGGGAATTTGCTAGATCACACCCACATATCTTGTATGTCTTGTATTTATATTTTACAATTAAACAATATAGCTAACCTCAAAACCCTTTTCGGTTGAGATCGTGATGTAGGGCACGACCATAGTAAGGAATTGTACTAAGGGACATAACTTAACATGTTGATATGTTTGAGCGGCCTTGGCCGCATCCACCGCTTTCTGCAATTTGGATCTGATATCACGAAGCTTGTCCAAGTGGGGCTGAACCTCCAGCAGGATCGCATCTGCCACTGATTGGCTCCTAGGTGAACATGTGACCACTCACAAGGCCATTCAAGAAAACAATGAAGGGGCATGGCAGGTTATAACCCAGAATTTGTATACTAAAAAGCAAATTCACAGGAAACTAGATCATGAAGATTCTTGAATAGCTGGGAATTTCAGTCCTCTAATTGTTGAACAATAATAGAAGGACCATGCATACAAATCAGCCCGATGCACATTGAGCCCAGATCACTCGACCCAATTTGCTCCGCCAAGGCTCATCGTGCTGAGCTTGTCACCCAGGCTGGCCGCAGTGGAGATGTGGTTGCCAAGCTTGGTCACTGCCTCATCGGATGAATATACCAGGGTATATGCTATCGATGTGTGATATTTTCAGATCATACATTGTAACAAATATGATACTGATATAATTATATAATTTTAGATTTCCTTTTGACTGGAGATGGCAGGGAAACAAGACGATGGTATGATAGAATTCAAAAACATCGATCTATATTATAATTATATTATTATTATGATGCACCTGGAAGCTAGGCCATGAACAAAAACCTTTGCTAGACACTTTTTCCCGTTGGCCCCCCACAAAAGACACCCACAAAGGAAAAGTGCCAAAAAGGACCCCCCCCCCCCGGGGGGGGGGGGGGGGGGTTCCTTTTTGGCGTTTTTTTGATTCTTGGGCAATTTCAAACCAATAGGAAAATCACAAGCCGGAGCATCCAAAGACTGGGGATTGAATCGATATCAGTTGCGCACTAGGCCATTCCAAAAAGTTCTTGCCAGACCATTGACAGTTTGTCCCGCTGCTCAAAACAATCTGAGCCTGATTTCCCTTTCGCTGCTCCTTCTTGAACTCAGTGTTCTTCTTCTTCTCTTCGGCTTTCCTTTGCGTTTCAGCTTCCTTCTCCTCACGCTTCTGTTTTTGATCTTCGGTCTCCTCTTTTGGCTCTTTTTCCTTGTCTTCTTTTCGTGTTTTCTTCCTTTCCCTGGTGTCATCATCCTTTGCCTTCTGCTTCTTCTCCTTTGCAGTTGCCTTTGAACCTTTCTTTTTCTTCCCTCCTTTTTTGTCCTCTGGCACACTGCATGGGGAGCTGGGGAGTGGACACACATGCACTGGCATACATACAGATATTGAATGCATGTATGCAGACAACCACGCACTGCGCGCAGAGAAAAAAATGACAAGAGATGTTGTAGCTTGACTAGGCGAAGAACATCAAACACAATCATTCGATCCATGGATTGTACCATATCGATATAATACGCAGCTTCCCTGAGGGCATTATATGAAAATTAACCATATATGATATAAATGACGTAGAACATATCCATAGTGTGAGTTCTCCAGCCTCTGAGCTGGAACTGGAAGAGCTTCCTGAAGAATCTGAGTCAGACCCCGAATCCGATTCAGAATCGGAGGAGCTCGAAGACTTCTTTTTCTTCTTTCGTCCATGGTCTTTCTTTCCGCTTGCCTTCTTCTTCTGGTGCTTCTTTGCCTTCTTTTCTTTGGTGGAAGCCCCCTTGTCACTGCCATCCTGTTCTGCTGCGCGGAAAAGTTCAGCGCAAGTCACATCCTCGCTGTCTTCGGTGCCCTCCTTATCCCAGATAAGGTATTGGCGGGTCTCCTTAGAATGCGAGGAAAAGGCATTGAGCTGGACAACACACTAGCCACTAGGTATCGATCGATAGTTATCCAGAATGTCTCAAAATAGGGGGGGGCCAAACTTTTTTTAAATATATTATAATGCAGGGGTTTGGGGCACCCTTGGGCACCCTTATTTTGAGATATCCCCCTATAAAATACCCCATATATTATAATTTTTAATATAAAATACCCCAAGGGACGCTAAAGTGACAATAATGCATAATGGGGGTGTTCCCTAAAAAGATATCCTACAATGATCCTATTGGAAACGATGCACTGTGTAACAAAAAATCTTATCCCAAAACGAAGTGAGAGTCTGGTGTATCTCTCCCGTGACAATCGGGATGCGGGCGAATCTGATGCACACTTGCATCTGTATCGTTCTCCTTGCTCTCAATTATTGTTTCTGCCACCGTAAGACTTCCAAACTTGGCTGTCATCTCGGACTTTGTCATCCACACTCTACTTCCATACGACCGGTGTTTGGATTTCTTCTTGCATTCGATCATGAAATCGGAATAAGCCCAATGCCCCTCACATGCGGCCCACTGCTCAAGAAGCACTTGCAGCTTATCCGAACTCCTGTAGGCACTTTGGCCTGCGCGGCGCACCTCAATCGGAGTGGACTTGCCTCAGGCCCGGCCGGAAGCTTTCTGGCTGGTGTTGTGGACTCACACAGATCTTGATATTACTGACCGAATCAATGAAGGAAATCCACTGGTCCATATATAGTTTCATGTTCCTGAAGATATGGATGGGAGGAAAGAATGGGTCTACTCTATATTTGAAATTTTCTATGTTAATCACCAGTCCATTGGTATTGTTGATCAAAACAACAGGACAAATTGCTTTGATGGAAGCATCGTCCCTGGTCACACTGGAAAAAAGCCCGGGTGGTACAACTAGCAAGGAACTCTCATCGACAAAGACATGACCCGGTGTGGGGCCTATTGATCGATATGCTGTGTCAAAAATACGGGTTTACCACTGGCATGTTCTATGGATTAAGAACATTAAAAAAAGTGTTGGTGGCGAGATACTTTTCAGCGACCGGCTGAAGCGCATATATCGCGCGTGTGCCGCCTTCTTCGCTTGAATCCTTCTAGCTTCCTCCTCCCTCTGACGCCGCGTCTCCTCATCATCATCACTCTCATCATCATCATCATCACTGGGCGGTGGAGAGGGATCAGGCGGAGAGGGAGCAGGCTGAACGCTCTTGGAACTGCTGCGAGTTGAAGGACTCGGGGTTGTCTTTGGGGTCTCAGTGCTTGGGGTCCCCTTGCTGGACAAGAGCTCTGCAGTTGAAGCCCTAGTCAGGCACTCCTGTACAGCCTTGGAAGTGTCAGGTGTCAAGGTTCTCTCAAGCTTCGCTTCCACTGAAGGTGGCTTTGCAGGCTTTGCAGCCTTTGCCTTGACAGCTGTTCTTGGTGGCGGTGTTGACTCGGGCTGGGGCTTGGCATCCTCCAGAACCTCTTTGCTCTGTATCTCTCTGGTTAGCCTGGGTTTGGCCGACTTGGAAGGTGGCGGCGGGTTGACTTTGGGCTGCATTGCTGCCAATGCTTGCTGCCCTTCCTTGATCGCTTTCTCCACTTCTGAAGGTGTCGCTGGCACAGTCGATGCTAGCGAATCTGGCAGTGAGCGGATGGACCACTGGCATAAAATATTGTATAAATTATAAAAAAAATATCAAATGACCACTCTTTTAAAGTGACAAAGGGCCGAGGGCTCAGTTGTAAAATATAAACTTATATATAGTAGATCTAGATCATATACATGATGGCCTAGGTTGGTTTCCAATATAGACCGGCCCCTACTGATTTGAATTGTTTTGAAGACATCCTGAACTAAATCTTAAATCTGGGAGATCAAATTAAGATGCTTTAAGACTTGAGAATTGCAATGCGATTTATATTGATTTACTATATATCATATATTATCATTACAACCTTGAAAATGCATATAATCCCCAGATTAGATGTTTTGGTGCCACAGGGTGCATGACACCAGCTGATCAGCCCACATCAGGCTGAGATGTTGGCGGTTCAACCTGATTTTGGCATGGCCCACTATGCCACTTGGTTGCGAGCTGGCAGGGTGGACCGGTGCCCTGCAGAGCCTGCATCGTGCGAGTCCATGTGCTGAAGTTCTTTCCTCTTCAGACTTCCTTTGCCCTTTGGCATTTGAGTCCTGGCAAATACATGGATTAAAACCAAAACTATGCTCGTTCAACTATGGCTGCTATGGTTTTTTTCAGCATTCATGATCGATCGATCTATCTAGAAACTATATGTTTTCGATTCGTTCTGACAAGATGGACCGATTACAATTTGGGGATGCTGAGTTGCTCCACACCAACCCAGGCAATCTCGGGTCTCCTCTCAGTAGTTTGGTCACCATCATCACTTGACTCACATGCGTCCCGAAGGGCTGCCTCTTGAGCCCTCCGGGCAGCCCTTGCTAAAACGTCTGCTACGTAATCTGCCATGGTTGCTCACAAAAGAACCTACCAAACCGGCCCCAAATGGCCCCAGAGCCTGCAAATGCTGCTATAGATGTACCAAATCATTGATCACCCTGAACCATCAATCTTTTAACACAAAATCATGTTTTTTTGATGATTTTTGGGGTTTGGCCTTTCACGGATAATAACGTCCTTTCACGGATAATAACGTCCGTTCACGGTATTTTCACGCTTATTCACGCTTGATTCACGGTAGCATGGTTGTCCAAAATATTTCAAGATGATCAGTTACGACATGTTCTGTTTGAGAGTCATTACAATGGGAGCTCACATTCAAATGTCGATGTATTTCACCCATCGTATGAGATCAAGCCTTGCACCTACCCCAGGTTGCCCAAACAAAAGCAGATATCCAGCTAATAGTATAGTTAAAATTCAAATTTTCAAAATTTTGCTATCAACAGGAAATGGGATTCCAAAAACAATGCGCTTGGACTCCAGGGCATCCTAGGGTAGCATCCATCGGGCTAATTTGGCATCTAATTTTGGCCATGGCGCCGTTTTGGCATGAAGAACGGGGTTGATCCATCCTGTTTAATTATAATCCAGGCCTCCACTAATAACCGGGTGATACCGACCAGCTTTTTTTTCGCTGATCAAAAAATCCTGCAACTCACTAAGGCAGGCGTGTCACCAACGAAATGGTGCCTCCCAACCAACTAAAACACAGTTGGTAGAACTGCATACATGGGGACTCATGGCAATGTCTCAAAATGAGGTGGCCTTTTCTCTTCAGCTTATAAAGTCATTATTTTTTCCTTTAAAGTGACATTTTGGGTCCCAAGAAGGCAACCTCATTTTGAGACATACCCACATGACCACACACTCGGTTACCTGACCCCCATAAGAGCCTTGGTGGCTTTCTGCACCAGCACCTCGTTCAATCCACCCTGAGGTGGATAGAGAATTTCGCAGAAGGCCTTCAAGTTGCCAGGCCTCTCCTTGGAGCGCAGGACTTTGGGCGGGGTGTTTGGACTGGAAAATGTATTCATGATGATTCAAATGATATATGACGTTTCCTTGGAATCAGGGTTTCAGAACTGATAGAAGTTCCCAAATGGATGATTTTGACTCCACATTTTTTTCCTAACAAGGTCAAGCATGAGGGATCGGAACTTCCCTGAAATTGGGAACCCCCATTGAAGGGAAAAGTTTTTTCTGTTGCACCCCAGTCATGTGGTAATTCACACATTGGATTTGGGAACCTTTTGGCATTTGATGTGATTGCAAAGCCCTTGGCATGACCATGTTAGTTACTTTCACGAATGGATTGCATGTCCTGGTAAATCCAAAGATTCGGAAGGCCCACCAAACTTCAAGAAATTCACTAACAAAGTTTCCTTCCAAGCCATGTGAAGAGATCGGATGGCACGCCCATACCCAATAGGATATACCTGCGACCTTTTGAGCTGCCGAGTGTTTCCACACCTGGGCGGGACAATTTCGTATCTTTTCCGTGGCCGATTCTGGTTGACAACAGATTGATAATTGGCCCTATATGTATCTGGACTAAAGAAAGCCACGAGGATGGCAAAAATTGGTTTAAGGCTAGCACACTCTTTGACGTCCCTGCTTGTCGATGTACTTTCGAACCATCTTCTTGGATTTCTGAACCCTCCTCCTGACAGCCTTGGTGATCTTTTTCCGGAGCTTGTAGGACCATGGTCTCAGCGACAAAGCTATCAGGACTGGGGTACAAAAATTCAAATGGATTGACTCGGTTGAATTGCCCACCAAAATACAATTTGATTTTGAATCAAGTTCAATGGATTGAATTTGAGGGCCCAGCGCTGTTCCAAAGACTTGGGTTGGTTTCATGTTCGGATGCCCATAGCTCGCCATATGACTCAGTGCCAGCAATCACAAATTTTACAAGGGCATGAATGAAAGGGAAATAAGTTAATAACTGCACAGTGTTTTGTATACATCGTAAATCCAATGTGATCTGATAAACCAACAGCCCTCAGCTCATCTAAGGTGATCACAATTTGGTGGTCAGCCAAGGGAATGCATTGCCGATGATTTTGGCCAACCAGCGCATGTAGGGGAACAATGGCATAAGACTTGAGATAGGTTGTTCTATCAAGACCAAAACGCATCTCACAAACGCCAACAGGAGAAGTAGGCAAAGACGCGCAGTGATCCTGAGCTGGTAGCTCGCTTGTGGTGGCAACATTAAAAACATATCGAATTTCCTTCTTTAAGAGATGTCAAACACAATTTTTTTCCACCAGTCGATATCGATATTTGCTGGATTTTGCTCATTTTAGTCATGACCCAAAACCCCTACCTCTAATCAATGGTAATTTCAGGATCCTAAAATGGAGGTACTGTACCATATAAGGCCATATTTTCTGGGGATTTTCCCTTACATAGGCCTTATATAGGCCTTATATGGTAGGTACCTCCATTTTAGGATCCTGAAATTCCCATTGATCTAATTGAGATAAAAATCTTGTTGGCCTCCTGAACGTAGGCCCGTCGCCCACCCAAAGGCCGAGATTTGGATCTCTGCGAGGTAAATAGGTTCAAGTAAATAAACGAGCCACAGGGCGGCCCAGCCGTGGCCAACCCACCTGGCTCCGTTTGCAATATCAATTGCACACTGCGAAGGAAGCCTGGCCTCAGCACTTCGTGATTGAGCCGCTTGGCAAAAGGATGTGGGGATGATGCTTGGTGATTGGTTGCTACAAAGTGACCTAAGCAAAACAATTGTAATCTGAGGGATCGACGTGGTACAAATATCTCCAAATTGTCCGGAAGTCGCTTTGTCAAATGGTTTCCTTGGGTGTAAATAATATTAATTCATAATATCTAGAGGATGTGAGATAGTTTGCCCTGGTCAGCTGATATCATTGATTGGTACATGTGCATGCATGTGTGTTCGTGTGTGTTTCTTCGTGTTGGTGATGATCAAGTTGGATCTCCATGTTGATAAGGCCTGCACGAGCCCAGGCCATCTTCAACTTAGCAACAAGACAAAATCTCAACCTTGAAAATTTCAACTAACATACACGGCTAGTTTTTTTAAACATGCATCATTACACAAACCGGCTTTTGCTGGCCCATTCCTGGCACAAGAACTACTAAGACGTCCACCGAATGCTCGGTTGACAGCACCCTCCCCAGAAAACAAATCGGCATTGACCAAATCCTGGCAGTCAGGGCGTGTGGAATACAGGTCCTACCCTAAACCCTCGGCAACAATATGCTACTGAGTTGATGACCCTGCGGCTTTGGGATATGGAAGAAGTCTCCACAACATAGTCCACGCAATGCAAACTCAGTTCTTTGTGCATTAGATCGTTTGTCTCACATCATGATACTGCCAATTGTGTCTCAACTGAGTCATAACTTGAAAATTAATGGATCTAACACAGATCAGAAATGGGATCGGCTTGGGTCCTCGCTACCACTGCAACCAAGGGGCAAGATCAACGGAGCACCCAGCACCAAAAGCAGCTGTGCTGCTCTGGCACTCAAGGAGAGAGGGGATGTCTTGGGACGCCCCATGGGGAACGCTGGCAACTAGTAGTAGCTAGTAAATCCAAAAGGCTGCATTACTTATACAGAATTGATCATGACAGCAGGGATTGGCTTAATCGCTGCATGCTGCAAACTTGTTGACTCGCTCAGCTTTGCAAACAATTTAGCTTTGGCATCTCTGATTTTTCCGTCCCCCTAGGATGTGCATCGAGTCAATGCTAAGTCAGAGACATGGATTGGGACTGGAGCTAGCCGGGGCTTGATGCCATTGCAACCGACCCCAAAACATGAGAATTGTGCTAAATTGGTTTCAGAGTGAAATCATAATAATTTCATGAATATATGCGTTTTATCTTTTGGTTATTCTAGAAATATTATATACTCAGCAGTGGCCTCAAATCCCCCTATGCCAACCAGTCGTTACGGCAGCTAACTAGGCAACAACTTCTAGTTGCTTTTTCCGCTTCCCTCACTTGAATCCGAATCACATGGCCCAATGGGAATCCAACCAGCCAACTTTTTGGCCATGGTCCACCTAGGCCCCACTAACTGCCACAGCACCAAGAAGCACAGTGCAAGATGCACATCTCAGGTTTGGTTTTGGGTTGATTTGTTCAATTCATATATAAAAACAATGTATGGGGATATAAGCTGTAAGGCCAGGGCCCGTTCTGAACTCCATGCTTGGACCATGCGATACTCACTCCCCTCTTCACATTGGCCTTAGATCCAAAAATAAAACTGCAAACCACCCAGTAGAACAAAATTGAAAGGGATGGAATACCCATGAATATCCATTAAGGCAGTACAAGAAACATTCAGAGCTGTGCCCATCTCTTCGTTGAGATCACACACACGCTGCTTGGGCACATTGTTCACAAAAAAGGTGCGAGAATTCAACCTTGGATCTTTTTTTTAAAAATCCCAAAGTTGTTTTATAGTAGTACGAATATGAGTTAAGGTGGTACTTTGTGTTGCGATGGGGCATGAACCACATTAAATCTTAGCCGCAAAACAACACTCCGATGGTTCCGGTGCTCGTAGAAGACACATTCTCCGGCGCCTTCAAAGTGAAGGTCCTTGGAATCGATGGGTATTAACCAAGATTGAATGTCATGTCATGGGGCCATGACTAGAGGATAATAATTAACCATACGAAGGCAACCATGAGAGTTGGAGCCTTTTTGGAAAATTGTCCGGGGACCCCACTTACGTGCTAGGTGTAGGCCATCTTGATTTCCCTCCTTCACCTTCAAATGTGCTGCTTTGAGATCCTCTGGCAACTCAAACGTATCATCCATAGCTTCCAGTTCAGCAGCATTTGCAAGTGACTCTTCCTTGGCGTGAATTACTAGGAAGGTTGTTCATGATGTCCATGTCAGGTTTACATGGGATGGTCAATTCGATATGTAATAGGTTCAATATCGAGATCAAAATAAATTGATCCTGCTACACAAATTAGATATGTTTTTTGAAGATTGAAGATCAAATTGGCACATGGATACTATCTAAATTATCTACATCCCTTGGAGATGGGGGTCTTAGAGCCCTGGCTATTTTAGGGGCCCAACCTATAAACCGCACATCCGACCCCAAAGGTTTGGCACCATGCCAAGATGACCAATTTTGAATGACAAGATTAAACCCAGTATCGGTAACTTCGGGAGCTTGTCTTTTTTTGGCACCCTTTCCTTCACCCTTTCCGTCAACCTTTCCCTCACCTGTCTTCCCGTTCTTTTTCTCAGCAACATTGTCAAAGTCCAACCTTCTTCTCGCAGAGTCCCCAGTCTCCTCAGCCTTTGCCTTTGCCCGCTCCACAAACCGTTTCGAAGCTGAGTGGGCCAATTTCATGGGACTCTTGGTGGCTGCCTTATCTGCCTTCTTTTTTTTTTTGGCTGGGCTCTCCTTGTCATCTTCATCTCTCTTCTCACTCTGCGACCTCTCCTTCTTCGTTGCCTTCTTTGTCGGCTCTGCATCATCCTCTTTCTCCTTTGCATCTGCCATCTCAGATTTCTCCTTCTTCTTGGCTTTCCCTGACTTGTCTTTCTGTTTCTCTTCCGCTTTATCTGCCGTCTTCTGTCCTTCTGGGTGTTGCTTTTGCTTCTTCTTGGGTCTGTCTTCGGGCTCCTCACTGTTTTCAACATCATCATCTTGCTTTGCATCATCCAGTTTCTTTGATCGGCCTCGTCCTCGTCCTCGTCCTTTTCCTTTGCCGCGTCCTCTGCCTCTAGCTGCTTTTCTGTCTTCGCTGTCCTCCTCTGCATCACGGAGCAGTCTGTCGTCATCATCTCCAGATTGATGCTCTTCTTCGCCTTCTTGGTCTTCTTTCATCTTTCTTTTCATTTTCCGTTGCGCTGCCACAATGTCGTCATTGGTTGTCCAACTCATGGCTCTGTGCGTCTTGTGCATCTCTCTCATGATTGAGTCTGCCTTCTCCTTCTGTTCTTCTGTGGGCTGCCTTTCGTCTTTGATCAGTGGTTCACCTCGGTCATCCATGAAAGTTGCAGCTTTCTCCGGCTCTTTGTCGTCATCTGAGTCGACAATGATGGAGGTACTGCTTGGGACATCTTTCTTGGCAGACTTCTCCTCACCTCGATGCTCCACAGTGTCCTTCTCTTTTTTCTTTTCACGCTTCGGCTTGGTCTGTTCTTCTCCATCTTCATCATTCTTCTGCTTTTCTTCAGCCTCACCTGCCTCCTCTGCTTTTTCATCTTTGGTCCTTCGCTTCGGCTTCTTTTCCTCAACTTCTTGGCGACCTTCTTTCACTGTCATGCCCTCTGTCTCTTTGTTTTTGTCTGCATCCTTGAACTTGTTCTTTTCCGAGGGCTCCTCAGCTTTCTTCTTCGTCTCTTGCTTCGGCTGCCTCTTCCGTTTGCCATCTTCGAACTCATCCTCCTCAACAGCCTCCTCCTCAACCTCATGTCCCTTGTACTCATCATTGTTCTCGTCCTCAACCAGCGGCATATCTTTCTTCTGTGCTTTTTGCTTCACATTCTCTTCTTCGGCTTCCCTCTTGACACCTTTCCTCTTTGGAGCATCTGCCACAGTGTTCTGTCTCGTCTTCTCTGCTTCCTTCACAGCTTTCATCTTTGGACCATCCTCTGCTGTGTTCCTTTTAGCCTTCTCCGCATTCTGTTCTTCTTCTTCCTTCTTTACAGCCTTCCTCTTTGGGTCATCCTCAACTTTGCTACCTCTGGTCTTCTCTGCATTCTCTCGCTTCACCTTCTTTTCCTCAACTTCTTGGCGCCCTTCTTTCGTTCTCATGCCCTCTGTCTCGTTGTTTTTGTCTGCATCCTTGAACTTTTTTTTTCCGAGGGCTCCTCGGCTTTCTTCTTCGTCTCTTGCTTCGGCTGCCTCTTCTCTTCGGTTTCTACATCTTGATCTTCGGTCTCCACATCTTCAACCATCGGCGCGTTTGCAACATCATCAGTCCTGTCTTCCTTCATTTTTTCTGCGGCCTTCTTGGCAACCTTCCTCTTCCCTTCAGTCTTCTCTGTCTCGATCTCCCTTTCAGCCTGTTCACCTTTCTTCTCCTTCTTCTCTTTCTTGTGGCTCTTGGGCTTGTCCTTCTTTGTCTTGCTTTCTTCTAAGTGCTGCGCCTTTCGAATCTTTTCCTTTGTCTCCTTTGGGCTTTCGTTCTCAACCTCTTCGGGTTCATCATCATCTTCTTGGTCTGACCTTTCATAGTGTTGAGTGGCGTTCATATCCTCCTCGTCCTCCTCCTCAGCTTCCCCCCAAACATCATCGGGCCAGGTGTCAGGCATGGGGAGTGTCTCCAGGTTGTCGGGGTTTTTGGTACCAGAGTCGGTCTGTTTCTCCTCGCCTTCAAGATCCTCACTTTCCTCTGCTTCTTGCATCTGCTCCTCTTCATCTTCCTCTTGGTCTTCCCCTTCATCTTGCTCTTTGTCTTCCTCTGAACCTGGTTCTTCCTCTTCCTTCTGGCCTTCTAGACGCCATTGGCTTTCCACAAAGTCCTGACATGAGAAGGGACACGGTTTTTGCAAGGTGGGATTCACTCGATGTAAAGTCGACTTTGGGACTTTGGGATATGGTTTTGGAGCAACTATCTATGATCTAGAATCGGATGTAAAAAATGTCTATAATAGCACACCTAGGCCCCAGCTAAAAAGAGGGTAGTGATTTTGTGTTGGGTCTCAGGGCTAGTTGGATGTCCTTTGCCGCATGTGGACCTCTGGTAGCCCTTTTTTTCCGTCAGCTCGTAGCATGCCAACTGCCTGCCATGGCTCTGTGGGGGTTTGCATACTACATCCTTTCTTTCGTTTTTGGGGATGTGAGGATTGATGGGCCAAAGCCGCTGTGTTAACTCTTTCATGCGATATATGAATTTTGGTTTGGTAATATCATGAACAATGTGCTAGCGCATTGTTGCAGGCCTCTAATTTGGCACGAATCACCGACCGGATTTTCTGCATGCCCTCGTGTCCGCCCCTGGGCACAAGTGGAAAACAGACAAAAACATTTGGGTTACTTGCTGATGGATCGACATACTGTTGGTTTAGTGAAAATTTGCATTGACCTATAAATCACAATCAGTAAGGAAAGCACCGGGAATTGCTTGACTTTTGAAACCTTCGCATGCAGTAAGCAGCCATGGCCCTTTGAACTCCACTTTCAACACCAGCCCAAGCCTAGAATGCACAATGGGGTGGAAAGCCTGCTATTGCAAACAATTTTGAAGAAAGTATTCTCTCTCTTGGATCATATGCAGTGGAAGTAGTCCTAATAAAGTTGAGCAGCACGGTGCTCAGCTTCGGAACCAAATTGCGGATTTAGCCCAAAGGTCATGCTGACCCAGGTTAGGGCATCCTGCCACACAAACTGGTAGGATAAGGAGAACATGAAACAAAATTAGAATATATTTAAGATGTATGGATTTGGAAATTCGCCATGAGCACAACCCCAAGGTCCTCAGACTCCACATCCGTTGGCAGCCGCTCGCAAAACTGCCCCAAGTATTCCATCAGGAAAGCTAGGTTTTCTTTTTGCTCCACCTAGCGCACAATTAGGACGCAATGTTTGGTTCGAACTGAGATATGCATGGGTAAACATGACATGTAAAGCCACCTGTTCCAACCAGCCTCCATCTCAATCACATTATCCCCTTTAGCAAAGCGGGTCACGAAGGTGAACGGAGGGACCTCAAATTGAAACAGATTGGAACAATTTGGAAGTGAGAACAGATGGAAACCGAATTGATAGATCAGGATAATTGCTGGTGAACCACATTGAACTGATTCTGATTGAAATGGGTAGTCAAGATACAGCCTGGTCTCTTTTCCCGAGACCTGCCCTCTGCCGTAAGAGCTTCCTCCTGGACGCAATGTAGTCATCGGTGCCAACGATCTCTTTGTAGAATACCTAGGCAGTAAAATCAGTAGTATATTAATTATATATTGTATGATCCATGATTTATCAGGTCCCAAAGTGGCAGGCCATATCAAGACCAAAATCATCATCATTCATAATCTATTACCCTGGAAGTCGGGGGAAGTTTTGAAGGTCTTGGCTGGGAGGACGTTATATACACTAATAATCTATTAAAAAAAATGAACTTTGTCAGAATGTGACCATACCAGAGGTGACAAGATCCATTATGATCCATTCTATCTTGGGAATTTTCCAGATTCCAGAACCATTTGCAAAATTCTGTCCCCAAGATAGAATGGATCATGATCCCCAGATCTTGTCACATCCCCATCCACAGAGGATCCACCTGCCGTCCAGCCACCTTCAGGAGAGAGACGCGGTCTTCACTGCAACATGCGCTTGCCATTGGAAAAGCAGCGCTGCGGGGGCGGTGACAACCACCAAGCTAAGTTGGAAAAGTATGACCGGGAAAGTGTTACATTATCATGATCGCTATGATTTCATTTACCATCATAATCTATAAATTATAAATAGAACCATTTTAATTACCCTACGTCAGTGTTGAGACTATGCGATTTGCAATTGTCAGTGCACATGGCTTGAACCCGATCCTGGTGTATCAAACAGATGGGTTCACACGAATAACAAACAACATGCATGATAAGCATCTCACTAGAAAGAGAAGGGGGGTGGCACCTTCTGAGTGTGGAAGCTGGGGCTGCAATAGATTCCGATCAGCCACCAATCCTGAAAGTTGGTATCCCATGTCCAACCAGCGCAGTTTCATCTCCAAAAAGACATACTTTCACTGCTACAATGGATTGATTTCTGAGGCTGCATCTTCTGCGCAATGCGCTTTTGATCTTCATGATGATGTTGTCCCAATTTCACCTTGGATATGAAAAAACAAGGGAACCTATATAGAATAGGTGAGTTCATTTCAGTTGGTGTAAAGAGTGGCCACCCATGCCATCACCTGGATGCAGCCCAAGGCACCCAGGCCCAGTTGTCCATGGGTAGAATCAGCCGCCCACAGAAAGCGATATCGATACGGGGTATATCGGCCAACATTGCCAGCCACGGGCGCCCAGAAAGGCAACCAAAGTTGTTGATTTTGGATCTAATTGGATTGTCATTTGAAAGTTTAATGTGTCCAAACTAGATATGGTATAATTTGGTATATAACATATATTAAACTGGGGATAAATTGGACAATCATTGAATGATGTTGGATGGAAAAGGTCTGGGTACATCTCTCAAATGTTTTGCTGAGACATGTTGTGATCCCACATAAATTGTACGATCCCAGTAATTGCTAATTTGAGCACCTGAAAACATCGAAGATCAGCATCCCTGAAAAGTCATGAAAGGTCTTTCGTGGATAATAACGTCCTCCCAGCCAAGACCCTTTTAAAAACGTCCCCTGACTTCCAGGGTATATATAATATATATATATAGTAATTCATGTAATACTATGTCAAACTCTGTGGCGGAAAGCAAACAGGTGCTAAAATCTTGGGATCAGAATCAAAAATCCAGTGCGCATTTTCTGCTTTCTGCCATCACATCCTCGGATCAAAAGGGACTTCCTCAGGACTAGGTGTCCGGGCTGACCCAATTCAGCCGCCAAAGCACGGAAGAGGTTCCACCTCAGCAATTCTGATGTTCAAGTGATGGCAAATAGTGAGTACCCTCTGGTAATTTAACAGTTTGCTATTGAAAATGGCCATAGAAATAGTGGATTTTCCCATTAAAAATGGTGATTTTCCATTGCTATGTTAGTTTATCAGAGGGTAACTGGGTTGTAATAGCTTTCCATCCGATATTTCCATATATTTCCGGGGACCCAATTAATTACACACCATCTACTGGCTTCAGGAATCCTCCCACAGGGGTGCATCTTGTGGCTCATAAACCAATCTGGGCAAATTATAATAATTCACTAACCTGAATCTTGCGGCCATAAAAGGGGATGATTTCCAATACTAACCATTATTCCAGTGAGGTCGCAATGAGGTCGTTATAATTTACCCAGACCAATCATACAAATCATGCGCCAAGTACACCAATTGAGCATCATTAAAAGCCTGCGAGCCATGGTTCCGATCGGTTGATACGGATTCCCATGGATTCCCACTCCCCGGCCTGGTAAACGGGCTTACAGTTTGCGAACTGGAAAGATCCACCATGCTATTAATGGGTAAATCAACTATTTCAATGGAAAATCACCATTTTGTATGGGTAAATCAACTATTTCAATGGCCATGTTCAAGAATTAGCTATGTAACAGTCATTACCAGAGGGTAGTGGGTTACAAACATCTCCATGATAATCATTGAAAATCACCTCTATAGAATGGGTTCCCCAATAGAACTCCGGTCACAATCAACAGGGCAAACTGGTCATCTCGAAAAATTCGGAGACAAAATCACCACACAGTATCGTTTTTGAAGACATGTTGATATATGAACCCATTTGGAACTTTCAGATCTTTGATAAAAAATGTTGTTGTATCAAACAAAATGTTGTTGTATAGTCAATAAACTTGAATATTCTATCTGCTAGTCCGCATACATATAAACATTCGAATTCTGAAATGATCTGAAACGTTGAATTTTCCACAATCCCGACATGGACATTTCTTGGTCCGGAAACATGGGAAACAAATGTGTTGTGACTTGGGTTGGTCTGAAGAAAGGGTATCCTGGACTATCCACTGGTTAATAGTTGAGTTATCCCTATCAAAATTGTTTCCCCCTATTTTTTCAGGTACCAAACACATTTGTAGCATGTTGGTTATCAGCATCCATCTGATATATCAGAGATATCCCCAGAAATCAGCATCTTTGTTGCTTAAAGTCCCATAACTTAGCCATTGATTTTACTGTTTCGCTCCCCCTATGCGAACTGCTCAACACCCTGAGTTTCCCAACTCGGCAGATTGACGCATGGCCAGGTAATTCACATCTCCACCTGGGTGGTTTCGGCTGTGGGGACCTTTTTTGGGACCATCTTTGGAGCTACGCAGCTACGCAGATTCCAAATCCAAAGCATATTGAAATCTGAGTTACCGTAAGTGGTAGTTGAACATATTATATCGTCAGTTGGGATGATTTTCCATTCCCAACTGTTTCTGGAAAGCCATAATCCATTCATAATCCATTTAACATAGCTATAGCCAAAATTTTCCCATTAAAATCCTAGGTAAATTATCCCACTCAATGGGTACCGCTCTGGACCATGGCTTCCATGGTCCAAACTGTGAGGAGCACTGGCTTAACCGCGACCTGGGAGACTACCGCTCCATTTCTGCTGAAATTCCCATGACAAATATGTTGAACAATGTAGAAATATGTTCAGATATCATAAAATATCGGAAAAGATCATGGTAAGATACAATAATCAATACTGGTTGCTGGTTGGTTTCTACCCCTCTGAAAAATATTATATCGTCAGTTGGGATGATGACATTCCCAACTGTTTCTGGAAAGTCATAATCCATTCATGTTCCAAACCACCAATCAGAGAATTTCAGAGCCATTGAAATAGTTAATTTACCTATTAAAAATGGTGATTTTCCAGTTCGATATGTTCATTTACCAGAGGGTAAGATACAATAAAGAGTGTAAAGAGTGAAGGGTTATTAACCACCAATCAGCTAATAATAGATATTATCCACCTATATATTATCCATATTAAGATACAATAATCAACAAAAAAACTAACCATGATCCTAACTGGTTGGTGGTGCAATGTGAGCCCATCTTGAAAAATGATGGAGTAAGTCAATGGGAAGGATGACATCCCATATATGAAATGGAAAGTCATAAAATTCCATAGTTCCAGTCACCACCAACCAAATATCATTAACCATCATTAAACCATCATTAACCGTCATTAACCATCATGAAATCCCATACTAAACCAATGTTTGAAACCACCAACCAGATAAGAGTTCAACCCCTTCACCTTCCTCAAGCTCCCAGCTCTCTGGATCCGAGAAGTTCTCCAGCAGTTGCAACATGGACTGCCGCAGCAGGGCCTAGTCGGGTGAAAACCAGACGACTTTCTCTGAGAAAATGGAGGATCTCAGTTTTAATGTGGTTTTCATGGGATTTTAATGGAATTAAACCATTTTATGTGATATACTAATGGAATGTAATGGGATTATAATGGGATTTTAATGTGGTTTTCATGGGATTTTAATGGAATTAAACCATTTTATGTGATATACTAATGGAATGTAATGGGATTATAATGGGATTTTAATGTGGTTTTCATGGGATTTTAATGGAATGTAATGGGATTATAATCTACTTCATGGGATATACTGAGAAAAACAAAAAACTGGTCTATTTTGAAGGGGATAATTTACAACACCTGAAAAATGGATGATTTAAAATCTGGTTGGTGGTTGACCTACCCCTCTGAAAAATATGACAATAGCAGGTTGGGGTGATGAAATTCCCAATATCTGCAAAAATAAAAAATGTGCCAAAGCACCAACCAGGATGATTTAAAATTTGAAATGTCATGTTTTTTTCATGTTCATTGAAAACCGGCCATGATATCCACCATATCAGAGCCACATGAAATTGTGTTGCTGAAGTATAGCCCATTATATCACCAGTATGGCTGGTTTATATCCCCCAGTTCAAATGGACCAAGCCATGTCCATCATCCATTGCTGGTTGTAATCACAGTTTTTGATTGCTAAATTGTGTCATATCCGAGCGCAGTCTAACCTAGACTTCGGAGCTCACAGAAGAAGAAGATTGTGTCATATGGTTTGTCTGAAAATAGGGTACCTCTATGTATCAATCCATTATTTAATCACCATACAATTTGCGTGCGCATGCGTACACTGACCATTTCCAAACACACCCATATCGAAGTTCTAAGTTGGTTTTGGTTAACCCCAGAAGTACAAGATCTTACAAGTATCATAAACCATCATAAACCATAGTTATTGCTTGGTGATACTATTACCCTCTGGTAAACTAACATAGCTATTGAAAATCACCATTTTGAATAGGTAAATCAACGAACTAAATGGTATATGTTCAATAGCTATTTTGACATAACCAGAGGGTATTTTATGCTTATGTGATCATAAACCAAAATAACTAATGGTTATTATAAACCGTCATAAACCATCATAAACCATAGTTATTATCATAAACCATCCTTATCATAAACCATGGTTTTTTCAACCCCCTAAAATCCCAAAAAAACGCAACATCTGGGCTCTCCAACTGCCAGCTCCTCAGCAGAAGCCTCCGGCAGGGACGCAGGGACCTCAGACGCCCCAGGTGCCTCGGCGGAGTGGTCAGGTTTCAATGGGTTTGAAGGGAAAATCTACAGAAAACCATAGGTTTTTCCATGACATTTAAGGGAACATCTACAGAAAACCATAGGTGTTTCATGGTTTTTTTTCCTGATGAAATTGAGTTGTTTTTTGTTCCTGGCGATTTTCCCCTGATGTAAACCAATCCATTAAAGGTTAATAAAGGTGAGTTTAAAATCAAACATATGGATTTGTTGCACTTTGTCAGGATATCTTAAAGTTATCTTATGTGTTTGGTTGGTTTCTATCCTGGTGGATGGTATTCTCCGGTGACAGATTTGATACTATTCATTAGATAGTTCTGGAATGCACGTGGATACATGTGGGCATATTGTTCATTATGCCGATGCCTATGGTATGGTATTGGTTGTGAATTGGTATTGCTTTTGGCATAACCAAATCAATGAAGTATATGACAAATAAAATGATTCGGGAACATGGCTGGTTCTATGCCTAGAACAGGATACGTCCAGTTTTTGGCAGTTGTTGCCACTAAATATTTCATGAAATTCAAGCGGTTCCCCGTTTCCTTCAAACCAATTCTGGGACAAATGGCAATCACGATTGGTTTGTTAACTGGTGATGTGGACCACAACAAGCCATCCCTCACAATGATTAAATAACTGCTTAAACAATTCCAAACGTATTTGTCTATTTGAGTGCAATCCATCCATCTATATCCACATATCACTGGTTGGTGGTTTCAACCAACCCCTCTGAAAAATATGACAATAGTCAGTTGGGATGATGACATTCCCAACTGAATGGAAAGTCATAAAATTCATGTTCCCAAGCACCAACCAGTTAATATCGGTTTACATCGAATATAGGTTGGCATATTGCTGATCACGAAAAAAATGTTGAAATGTATATCGGGAAATGTTTTTTCACCTGTGCAAGACCGTGGTTTTCTCCCATTTTGTTGCAAATTGGTCATACCCTCTGGTAAACATACATAGCTATCAAAAATGGACCATTTATAGTTGATTTACCCATCAAAATGGTGATTTTCCATAGTTATGTAAACGTTTACCAGAGGGTAGATTGGGTAGATTGTTGTTTTCAAACAATCTTCCAGATATCCCAAGTTCTTGATGTCTTGGGATCCCCTCGCCCTCCCTGAACAAGGACCCTGATCTCCATTACAAAATGATACGGGAACAAAGTGGCAGATAATTCTCCAATGTCACCCTATCCAATATGTTTCCAAGATTTGGATCTCAGATTTACCCCTCTGGTAAACGTTTACAAAACTTATAGAAAATCACCATGTTTAATGGGCAAATCAACTATTTCTATGGCCATTTTCCAGTTCGCAAACTGTTAGTCATTACCAGAGGGTAAAGGGTACATCCTATGAATTACTCCCCATTTCATCCCATCAAATTCCATTCAATCACCATTACTGGTTGGTGGTAACCTACCCCTCTGAAAAATATGCTCGTCAGTTGGGATGATGACATTCCCAACTGAATGGAAAGTCATAAAATTCATGTTCCAAACCACCACCCAGATAAGTAATAATAATAAAGTAATAATAATAAAGTAACAATAATAAAGTAATAATAACAACAACAACAACAATGACATAATAAATCCCATTGGAATCCCATTTTCATGCCTCATCGATTACCAGGGTACAGTAGGACCATCAGACCCCCGCTGTGGCGGTATCAAAGCGAGTCACCACCGCCAAGTTCAACGGAACGTTCTGGGACTGGTCCTGCGAAACAAAGGACGGCTGGTCCAAAAGTTTGGGTTAGTTACATGGTGTTTTCATATGCAAATCACATTTCGAGTTTTAGACTCTAATATGTACTGTCATATAATGTAATATATATATGTATATATACTATACTGTAATATATTTCAGAGATATTCTTGTTGCTTGTGTTGCTTGTCTGTTGAGAGGTTTGGTTCGTGTTAATACCATGGCCCAGCCTGCCGCGGAGTGCGTGTGATGGCGTAGCGCAGAAAGCCCGACAGCGTCGGCTTGCTACCTGCCTGGGCCGCGCTTCGAAAGAACGGGAAAGCCTCCCAGTAATTGTTTGTGTATGGAAAATGTCTAGGAAATTCATCATTGGTATGACTCAGCATCAAGAATTCTGGTGGCCACGTTGGATAAGTTGGTTTAGTTCACTAGCATAACTAGGCTTTATAGCAGTTATAAGTAGAGTGTATGGCTGTTCTGAAACCAAAAAACAAAACTGGGGATCTTGTACACTAATCTGACGTGGGAAAAACTGACTTTGTGTAGATGTTCAATGATTTTATATGATTTTGATTTTAGGGAGAAAATGTTCAATGCTTCTATGATGTTCTTATAAACTGGTTGGTGGTTGACCTACCCCTCTGAAAAGTATGAGTTCGTCAGTTGGGATGATGACATTCCCAACTGAATGGAAAGTCATAATCCATTCCATGGTTCCAAACCACCAACCAGGTATATAATTAGATAATTAGATATAATCCCCTCTTGATGATGAAATCCCAAACCACCTATCAGTAAATTTCCCATAAACCAACAGATTCAGGTGCCGAAGACGACAGATTCTGGGTGTTGCTTTGTGTGTCCGCCATCTACGGTCCCAGTGGAAAACTTGGTTGGAGAAATCTCACATACAAAACATGTTTTGTTCAAAGAAACTTCTGCCCATCTTGCAGAACTGTGGGCAGTTTTAGCCGGTTTTGTTTCATCCCAATGAAAGAAAGGGCCTGATACTTCAGCTTGCCCATCTCCTGGCGACGATTCTTCATGGAAAGATGATGGAACTAAAACTGTTGATTCTCCAAGCCATGGTTTTTTGGATTCAAAGTCTCCGTAATTGCGCTAAAATATCAATATATCATGTATATATATATATATATATATCATATATATATATATCATACATTTGGGGAGATAGTATGATAGTACTAAAATGTACTAAACACTTATATGATATATGATATATTAAGATATTAAGATATTGAGATGTCGATAGGATGTCTAACTAATTGACTTCTTACATCGATTTTTTGTCTCCCCAAACCGTTTGACCATTTTTTCAACCAAGATTGGGTTGAACGAGTCTTGCAACCTGGAAGAACTTTTGAGAAGCTTCCCTTCCACCAATTGATATTCCGCTATTCAACGCATCCAGTATAGAATCGTGTTAGAGATGTGTTCGATGACTCTAGCATATCAAATTCGCCCACAATGTCAGTCATAAGTTCTGTGGAGAAATTTAATTGTTAGCTGGTCAGGAAGCATCCCCATTTCTAGCAACAGACTTGTTAATGTTGAACTACATGTCACCATTTGGTTTACCCACATTTATGATGTCCTAAAGTCTTTTTTTTAGACAACTCCCTATGTGTAATGGTTGAACATCCCAACCAGTCGCTTTACCCAGTAATATATCCCATGTACCAAGCACATCGGCGACATTCCCATTTTCACTGCTTGAATCCCCCCCATTTTTCGTTGCAACTCCCCACCTCTGCGCGCTGCAGTAGCTGTTGCTGAATGGCCTGGTCCGTGATAAAAACACCGACCGCAGGGTCTTTTTGGTACCATTCACCTAGTGGTTAGTCCAAGGACCACCAACTACCCGGCCTGGTAAACGTTTACATAACGAACTGGGAAATCACCATGCTATTAATGGGAAAATCAACTATTTCGACTGGGCCATGTTCCAGTTCGCTATGTAACAAATTACCGGAGTGTATCTCCATTAAATCACCATTAAATCCCATTAAAACCCATTAAATCACCATTTTCCTATGTTAAATTACCAGGCCGGGTATAGTGAATAGTGAAAAAAATACCTCCACACAGATCTAGCTGGCGCTGAAAAAAACAAAAATCCAACGCGTTCCGTACTGGGTTTTCGCACACAGATCTCTTTTTGGTGGATTTCCATGTAGAATTTGAGATGGGCCATTCAACTGTTAGTTGACTGGAGTATTCATCATTAAATCCCATTAAATCCCATGAAATCCATCTAAATATGATAAATCCCCATCTGTTGATGCATTAAACATTGTTAAACTCCACTTCAATCCCATTAAAACCCATAAAAATAGTACTAGAATCCATTTTAACAAAAAGTGGGTAATCCCATTAAAATCCCACGAAAAATCCATGTCAACCAGCGCTTCAAAATCGGCATCAACCAACGCCTCAGGCAAGGCCGCGGCCACGATCTTCTCCGGCGGGGTCGGAGTGATGTAGACCTTATCCTGGTGCCGAAGGCACCCAATGGTAGCTGAGAAGCTGTGGATGTTCATACCCCCGAAAATGTGTGGAACATCTATGGAACATGTATGGAAAATCTATAGAAAATCTATGGAACATCTATGGAACATGTATGGAACATGTATGGAAAATCTATGGAACATGTATGAAACATGTCTGGAACATGTACGGAAAATCTATGGAACATGCATGGAACATGTATGGAACATGTATGGAAAATGTCTGGAACATGTATGGAACATGTATGGAAAATGTCTGGAAACTCCACTATAAACATGGCAAATCTATGGCAAATGTCTGGAAAAGCCACTTGTAAACATGGCAAATCTATGCAAAATGTCTGGAACATTCCATGAAACCTACAACTTTTGATCCATCCCCAACTGGAGATTTTTTAGCGATTCAAACCCATTTTATTTGGGACAAAGAAAAACGATGGAAAATTACGCCACCCGCGCTGATAAATAACAAGAAGGCATTGAACAACTAAATGATACTAAATGTTAATAAATGATACTTAATGTTAATAAATGATACTTAATGTTAATAAATGATACTAAATGTTAATAAATGATATTTAATCTTAATAAATGATACTTAATGTTAATAAATGATACTAAATGTTAATAAATGATACTAAATGTCAATAAATGATACTTAATGTTAATAAATGATACTTAATGTTAATAAATGATACTAAATGTTAATAAATGATACTAAATCTTAATAAATGATACTAAATGTTAATAAATGATACTAAATGTTAATAAATGATACTAAATGTCAATAAATGATACTTAATGTTAATAAATGATACTTAATGTTAATAAATGATACTAAATGTTAATAAATGATACTAAATCTTAATAAATGATACTTAATGTTAATAAATGATACTTAATCTTAATAAATGATACTAAATGTCAATAAATGATACTAAATGTTAATAAATGATACTTAATGTTAATAAATGATACTTAATGTTAATAAATGATACTATAAATGTCAATAAATGTTAATAAATGATACTTAATGTTAATAAATAATACTTAATCTTAATAAATGATACTATAAATGTCAATAAATGATACTAAATGTTAATAAATGATACTAAATGTTAATAAATGATACTTAATGTTAATAAATGATACTTAATGTTAATAAATGATACTTAATGTTAATAAATGATACTAAATGTCAATAAATGATACTAAATGTTAATAAATGATACTAAATCTTAATAAATGATACTTAATGTTAATAAATGATACTAAATGTTAATGAAACTTAATGTTAATAAATGATACTTAATGTTAATAAATGATACTAAATGTTAATAAATGATACTAAATGTCAATAAATGATACTTAATGTTAATAAATGATACTAAATCTTAATAAATGATACTTAATGTTAATAAATGATACTTAATGTTAATAAATGATACTAAATGTTAATAAATGATACTTAATGTTAATAAATGATACTAAATGTTAATAAATGATACTAAATGTCAATAAATGATACTAAATGTTAATAAATGATACTAAATGTCAATAAATGATACTAAATGTCAATAAATGATACTAAATGTTAATAAATGATACTAAATCTTAATAAATGATACTGAATGTTAATAAATGATACTAAATCTTAATAAATGATACTAAACGTTAATGGCCATTTGGGGATGTTTGTTGAATACTAAATGATACGAATAATGAAGACATGGCCCCGCCTCCGGTGCACGTTTTGTGGCATCCAACAGCTTCCCCTGCTTCTCCAGAACTTCCAAGGCGTCGAAACCTGGAGCACGAAAGTCACCAGCCCATGGGGGGTGAAACCTTCGCTGGAAGAATCATCTACAGTTAACCATGGTTTCTATGGTTATGATCATATGGTTTATATGGGATATAACAGCTATGGAAGACAGTCATTCAACAGTTTGCTCACTAATCTATAAACAGCTATTAGATGATTAAACAGTCATTCAACAGTTTGCTTATTTTTTTGCATGTTTGGAGTAAGAATGAGGAAAACCCATAAATACTGGCTGGGTATTACTGTATATTTAGCCATGACAACATTATTTACTGTTATATTTACCTAGTATTCGCTATATTTGGAGTATTTAATGTTTAATTACGCATTAAGAATGGCGATTTTTCCATAGCTGTGTTAAACTCATCACATGGTTGGAAAATCACCCAGAAATTCCAGCCAGCCATGTTTGATTACCGAAGGGTACAATCAGTACCAACAACAAATGACTATGATGGATATGATTGTCATCTTCACATATAATTTGATTGATTATCAAGTATGGGTACAATTTTACAGTCATTGATTAAACGTAAAGAGATATCCCAATCATTGATTTATGACCTATATTTATTCAATGAAAACCAAAAACATATACAATTCCAACCATCAATAGTGGTTTTCTAAGCATCAATATTGGTTTTTGTTAACAATCATGTTGTGATATTGGCAGTGTGTCAAAACCCTGGTACCCCTGTAGTTCACATCAAAATAGCTGGGATTTATGGATGTTCATCCCCCTAAAAATGGTATTAATAGGTATTGATCCATAGCCATTATATGTTAAACCCATCAAAATTCAGAAAATGCCTCGCCTTTTTTGGCGTCGATCATGTCGCGCCTCCCAAACACCTGGAGCCCACCAGGATCTGCGGAAAGGTGGGACCATGCTGCTGGGCCTCCGCTCTTCGGTGCGGCCTCAGGAAGTTTAACCGGAAATGTCTATGAAAATCATATCAGTTTCATGGGATTTAATGGGATTTAATGGGATTTAATGGGACTTAATGGGATTTAATGGATGAAACCTCTGGTTGTTTGACAGTCTCCTATGGATCTTATGGCCAGTAAAATGATGATGTGCCGTTCTTAAAAGTTGTGATTTTCCAGTTCGCGGCGTTAAATTACCAGAGGGTATCTACCTAATGGCAATCCAAACAGTGGCATATTCCCAGCACTCCAAACACAATGGGTGTATCAATCCCAATCGTGACCATGCCCCAAGTAATGGGTCATTCAAAATATTCCAACTGTTGATCATCGCACATTGCCCCAATAACAACATCATTATAAATTACTGTAAATATGTAATGGTTGTAAACAAAATATTGTAACAATAATCAACATAATAAGATGCATAGTTTGATCATAATAATCATACTTATATATCAGCAATAATCATATCACATCATAGAAACCATGGGTGTCAATACTACAATGTTCATCCATGACTTGGATGATTTGGGATATCCCCATTTTTAGGAAACCTCCAAATCATAAACATCAAAACATGCATCATAATAAATCATAATAAGACTCACAAACATCAGCAATAATAATCATATCGTACTATAATAATAATAATGGCTAATCATAATGTATAATAAACATAATAATCATTAACAATAAGCATAATTAATAATCACCATCACTGTAAAAAAATAATCATAATTACTATCATACATGAATCACTGGTTGGTGGCTTCAACCCCTCTGAAAAATGTTAGTCAGTTGGGATGATTATTCCCAACATATGGAAAGTCAAAAAAAAAACACCAACCAAATCATCATTGATGCTATCATCATCCCATCATCATCCCACCATCATCTCATCATTAATATCATATATCATTAATATCATATATCATTAATATCATATATCATCCTCGTTGATATATATATACATATATGTATCATAAAAGAAACATGGTTTAAAATATCATCCCATCATCATCCCATCATCATAACATGGTAGATTCACCTCATGAATCATCATTCATATAATACTATCATCATCCCATCAACATCTCGTCCCCAGAAAAACCATCCAATCATGTCCTTTTGGTAAAAATCCCATTAAAACCACATTAAACCTATAGATATAGTAAATATATATTTCACTTATTTCACCATATTAAACCATATATACAATGTGGGGCCCCCTAGATAGCTAAGTTGGTTTATAACTCCAATAACTATGGTACTTATAACTATAGTTAATAGGGTTTATAAACCAACTTATATCTAGAGGGCCCCACATTGTATCACCATATGACCCCATCCTCCTTCGCTCCCAGCCACTCCGCTCCAACGTCCACCACCCCGAAGTTCACCTGGCGCCTTCGCAGCAAGGCCTTCGCCTTGGCGCAGTAGCCGCAGCCCGGCCGACTGTAGACCACCACGTCCTGGGGGCGGAGCCGTAAGGGACCACCTGGCTATGGCAGAAACCCCAAGCGTTGGAAAAAGGGATGGAAAATGATGGAAAAAAGTGAGAAATCCATGAAAAATACCTTGAAGCGAGTGAAGAAATATGAATCGACAGTCCTTTCTTCGATATATGTTGGTTGAAAGTGGGAACTCATTGGTTTATGGTGCCGTTTTCTTCATCAAGAACTTGATGCGCCTGAGGGGAAAACTGGGAGATCGGGAAAGCCATGGGGTTGTCCAAGGAGGGATGAAACCGGAACAGCAATTGAGATTAAATCAGACCCACGCGGGGTTTGAAACAGCAAATATGCGTAATAACATATGTCATAAAAAAGAGGAACATTCGCCTTCTATGATTTCTGAAAATCTTAGAAAATCTTATTGCTAAATTGTTGTCTAGATCAAAAACATGGTAGATTCACCTGATGGCTGATGGATGGCCTATTCAGATCAGTTAATGAAATTTACCAAGAGAAGTGGGGATGGAACATGATTAAACCATAAAACATTACGGAGATACCCTCTGGTTTCGTTAAAGTGTCAATGCAAAATCCCACCATGAAATCTCCCTTTACCGCCGATTTCTCCAATTAAAAATGCGCTACATTGTCAATTGTAGGCTTTATTGTAGAATTTCCAGTGCCAAGTTTGCCTTAGAAATGTGGAAAAAAAACGAAAAAACATGGGAAAAGTCTCCAAACACCGGGCATCTGGGCTCGCCATCGCCACGTGAAACCGGCGCTGGCGACGAAGAGCCAGCCGCGGCAGTGAGGCCACCGAGGCCACCGAGGCCAGCGAGAAAGCGGCGCTGAAAGAGGCGCCGCGGTGATTCGGTGCGAGAAGGCGCAAAGGTACCTGGCGCTGATTTTTTTGGGGAAATCATCAGATTATGATTTATAGTACCTTTGAAATATGGGGAAATATAGGGAAATCATCAGATAATATGGGGAAATATAGATATGATATAGTGTATACATATAGATTTATAGTATATATAATATCTATATGTATACACTATATTATATAATGTATAGTGATTATAATTGATGATTATTATCATGTATATACTGATTATTGTATATAATATATCTATATGTATACACTATATTCATGGAAGCCATGGTTATTTGTTACATAGCCATGGTGTAGATGGCCCATAGAAATAGATGCTTTACCGTTCTTGAAAATGGTTCTTTATATCATGTATACTATAATCATCATATTGAATAGTAATTTTTATTACCCTCTGATTATTTAACAGTTCGCCATGGAAAGAACCATTTTCAAGAACGGTAAAGCATCTATTTCTATGGGCCATCTACACCATGGCTATGTAACAAATAACCATGGCTTCCATGGCTATGTAACAAATAACCAGAGGGTATATATACTATAATCATGTTACAAACCATCCATTTTATGACGTTGTTTTAATGACGACAAATTGGATCAAGCCAGCATTTTATGATATTATGTGAGCATAATCACATAAGGTGTCAATGTAATTCACCATGAGATGTGATCCCAGAGAGACACCCATTATATCCCATTAATATACAGTATAATGTCAACCCTGGATTAGTAAACCTTAAGGCTGTATAATTGGGGGGGACCATTTAAGTATCAGATTATGACTATTAGGGAAGTACCCCCCTAATTAATAAACCATGGTTTATTAATCCGGGGTTGACATTATATATATAATATATAATATATATATAATATATAATATATATATATATAATATATATAATATATAATATATATATATACACTATATATATATATTCCCATTATATCCCATAATTATTAAATATATGTAATTACTATATTATATCATTAGATATAATCCCCAGTTCTTGGTGATTAAATTCAACTTTGCTTAGATCCCCACAGACATCGTTCCAAAATTTCTAAACGCCCCACCTGCAGTCTCCCCTTGGCGACGTGCGGCACGTGCGGCAGGTGGCGTGCCAACATCGTCTACCCAATCTGCTGATGTTTCAGAACTATTGCTGGTGGGATTTGGGGAATTTTAAAACTGAAAAAAGATGAAAACAATATCTGGTTTGTGGTTTCAACCCCTCTGAAAAATATTAGTCAGATTGGATCATCATTCCAACTATTGGGGGGGAAAAAAAAGTTCCAAACCACCAACCAGATATGAAAAAATGAGGGTTCAAAAAATATGTACCCTTCACTAAATTAACATAGACTCGACCCTGGCAGTTGTCGGGATTGGAAGATTAGTTTCCACTCAAAATTGGCTAGTTTTAGAGTCTATGTTAATTTGCCAGAGGGTAAGTTTAAGAAGTCAGAACAATCATGTGTCTGGGTAAATTATAACTGTTCACTAACCTGAATTAAGGTCATTTGAGGATGATTCCCTTATTAAACCATGATTCCAGGCTTCGGTCGCAGTGAGGTCGTAGATTTGTCTTAGAAGTCATTGGGATGCGACGAACAAATTACCACTATTGTTGGAGACACAGAATAGATATTTCATGATAGTTCATAATAGTTCATGATTCACGTTCTATTTAAACTATGAATAGAATGATCTGATTTTCAGATGCATGTGATCTGATTTTCAGATGCATGTGATCTGATTTGCGCCCTGGACACAGTATCTGAAGTGGAGGATGGGCTGGTGAAAAAAAGGGCAGCTTGAGCTGAGTCAATGCGGCTGCACACAACTTAGCGATATCAGAGGATAAAGAGCCAGGAAAAAACGCGAAAAAAAATCACTTGGGGGGTTGTTGATCCCCTGTCAACAACTATACTCTTAGAATCTTTTGAATACTTTTAGTATCTTTGGGATCATTTGGGGATGATTTCCCAAAAATAAACCTAAACTAACTATACTTTTCCTTGGGTTGTGTTGTAAATCCAACCCAAAAAATCTGAAAACTCGAGAAGCATGGATCGCGATCCATCCACATTCCCTGGAGGCTCTGGTCATCAAAATGGCTAAGAAATCACTTCCAAATGGAGCTTTCAATGGGGAAAAAAGCCGTCGATAGACGATGGATTTTCCATCATGTGTGACCAAAAAATAAAGAATGCATCACGTGCCGACTCCAAAGCACCAAGATTCAGAGACAAGGCGGTTTCTTCATGTTTCTTCTCTTTCACAAAATCTTCGTCATTGTCACTTGGGATTTGATCCCAAGTTCAATGGAAAATATGGAAAAGGAAAAGCATTTGAAACCGACCAGTGATACCCCCTTGGAATATGTTTTCCCCAAATCCAGTGGTTGCTCTCCTATTATTTGTTGCTTAGCACCCCATCTCTCAATATTTCTACTGGTTGGTGGTTGAGCCCTACCCCTCTGAAAAATATGCGAAAGTCAGTTGGGATTCATATATTCCCAATATATGGAAAGCCATGAAATTCCATGGTTCCAAACCGCGAACCAGTTCTATCATTTTTCTCACGGTCGCTCTGTTTGCGTCAAGCATAAAACACGGATAGTGGCGTCAAACATGGCGCGGAAGTACGGAGCAAATGGTGAGCCATCCAACGGCCTCGTGTACCGTTGGCGATCACGGTATGTTTTCCGCGAAATGAATGTGACTATTTATGCTATATATCCTCGTCTAAGTAGCATAACTTGCTGAGCCAGATTGACAAATTTTGACAAACAGGTTTTAGATGGTTTTAGCATGATTGGTTCGTCTAAACATGTCTAAACCAAATCAAATCTTCTGGACATATGCGTTTAAAATGATGTGATATGCGTGAGATTTGGTTCATAATATCTGGGTAAATTACAATTAATCACTAACCTGAAATAATGCCATTTGGGGATGATTTCCCTTACTAACCATATTTACCCAGATCATATGGACAGGAATATTTCTGGGTTTGTTTGAAAATAGGATACCCCTAAATCCACTGGTTCATCATCATACTCCCTAAGCAATTTTTTTTCAGGATCGGGGTAGACCTCATTTTCGGACAATCCCATTATCTGGTTGGTGGTTGACCTACCCCTCTGAAAAATATGCGAAAGTCAGTTGGGGTTACTATTCCCCATATATGGAAAAATAAGAAATGTTCCAAACCACCAACCAATTTTAGAAATTTGACCGGTTCGGCAAACCAGACTTCTTTGGTTTCCACTTGCTGAACTTTGCCCCGTCTCCTGCCTTCGCAGAAGTGCCCACGGTCCCTGCTTAGTTGGTGCTGCCAGCGTAAATGGATGCTTTCACAGATCATCTGGGAAGCTTAAACTAATTCACTGACCTGGAAATCCCCATATACTCACCACATAACCGTTAATATACCATATATTTCCATATATTTTCCATATATAAATACCAGTTAACAGTTCGGCTATTTTGGGATAGTTATCCATATACATTTTAACCGTCATTCCAGTGAGGATCCCGTGGCATTTCCCCCAAAAAGAGCTTGATAGTATAATATAGTACGTATAGCACAGGATCATCTACCAAAGTCTGGCATTTGACCTACAGATTGAGTTCTTCCTCAGAGCTCAGTTGATTGAAATTCTTTGAGACTCTTGTCACGTTACTGAGGCTGGCGTTGTTTTGGGCAGGAATTCGGTTCGCTAATTCAGTGCACTTAAACAGTAGACTTCAGCAGACGGAGCTTTTGGAATCCTCAAGCTGCAAGAGGAATTCCTTGCAGTGACGCCGGGCCTAACTCGATCATGATGTCAGTGACTCACGGCCCTCTTGACACATCCCCACTTTTGTGTATATATATATGTATGTATATATATATATGTATGTATATATATATTAGTTTTTTGGATGTTTTTTGTTGGTTCAATTGCCGACTGGTTGGTGGTGTCAACCCCTCTGAAAAATATGAAAGTCCCTTGGGGTTACTATTCCCAATATATGGAAAGTCATAAAATTCATCTTCCAAATCATCAACCAGCCGTAAAATTTTGCTTGATTTGCTAACCATTCACCAGCCTCCTTATGATGCTTGATGGTTTCCAAGCCACCCGCCATAGTTCACAGGAACTCATACGACACGGTGCCACCATAGGGACTCCATGTCGTTAACCGACACGAACCAAGGTCGTTGGGCCAATCGCAAAATCTGTCCAACATAATTTTTGGTTTATATAATGGGTATAGACTTATGTGATGGTTTTATCATCTTAGTTATACAATTCTTACTATCTGGTTATTTCACAGTTCGCCATGGAACATCACCATTTTCAAGAACGGTAAACCATCTATTTCTATGGGCCATGGCTTAACCATGGCTATGTAACAGTCATAACCAGAGAGTATACAATTCTTATATATGATCATCAGAGTTGGGGAGTTTTCTTGGTCCCAAATTTCAGGATCAACAAGGATCATCAAGGATCATTTTGTGGATGGCCCTGTGGCCAAAATGAAACACTGAGAAATTGCTAAAAAAAGCTGGGCAAAACAACTTTCATGTGCTAGTAACTTAAGCCATTTTTCTTTGGGGATATTGATGTTTACGTAGGATTTATTGGGTATGCTTCTAGAATTGGGATGATGTCTCGGACCCAGCGACCTTTGGAGACCGGAATAAGCAGAGCAGACTTCCTCTGCTCCAAAGGTTCCCAAGGCCAAACATGTGTTGCAGGATGTTTTATTCTTCATAAGCTAAGGAAACGTAACAATAAAAATGTACCAAATGGTCACCCTATATGATATCTCAGTGAATTTGAGCTTAAACATGCGTTGAAACAGCCGTTGAAGCATGAATCTTCAGCCTTGGAAACAAAACCTGTGCGAACACTTGATCACCACTTTCGAGGGAGGACCTGTCACCGGACCCGTCGCGGTACCCAAGCAAGTCACTGGTTTGATCTTGTCATGGTCACTACGCGGAAAAGATCAAGACAGTCAAGATTCTCACACTTGCAAGATTACTTGTCAGGGCGGGCCCCACTCTGGACTTCGTTTACTGCGTTGGTGACATTCAACAGCCATTCTTGAGACAGCCATGTTTGGTGAGGCATGTGGTATTTTTCTTGGTAGCTCTCCTGATGGAGAATCCTATGGATCAAGACCCAGGGGCATCCTAGTTGTCACAAACATTCAAACCGTGTTGCCGGTATTGACCCAAATACGTCAAGACGTTGTCTTTTCCCAAAGTTTAACCGAACTACCATTCTTACCCTCTGGTAAACATACAAAAAGCTATTGAAAATGGCCATTTATAGTGAGTTTTCCCATTAAAAATGGTGATTTCCCACAATTATGTTAGTTTGCCAGAGGGTAGATTCCCCATTCCCATGTTCAATGGTTGGTTGATTTTTCCGAATTCCCCTCTGCTATGACCATCATTGGTCTGCGTAGGGAAATGACTATCATGGAATAAGCATCCAATAGTATCAATTCTAGAATCTATCCCACTACAATAAACTTCATGGTGTTATAGCATCCCACTTGCTGTTCAAAACCCCCTCTGCCATTCCATTATTGGTTGGTGTTCCATGGTGTTCCCCGTTCTTGCATCATCGAAAAATCCCACTCTTCCAATCATTGGCTAGTATACCCTCTGGTAAACTAACATAACTATGGGAAATCACCATTTTTAATGGGAAAACTCACTATAAATGGCCATTTTCAATAGCTATCTTAGTTTACCAGAGGGTAATCCCCAACTAATCATGAACCAACAGGGGTTGAACGCAGCCCATCACCAACATTACAAGATCCCCAGCACCCGCCTCACATTTGTGGCGATGTTAACCCGGTCCTGTCGCAGCGAAAATTGGAAACCTGAAATTATTCATAAGATTTTCCAATTAGCTAATTAGGATTTAATAGGAAATTATTTGGAACATATGGAAATAGGAGTTTCCAGGTTTCTATCCCAAAAGTCATGAAACATATTTTTTCATTTTCCAGGATGTTGTAGATTGAAATATATAATGAGGAAAACATCATCTACAGCATCCTGGAAAGGAGATACGATGAAATATGACTATGGGCAAAACCACATCATCTATCACATCCTGGAAAGGTACTATATGAAATATTGAGGAAAAAGTGATCTATAACATCCTGAAAATATTTTTGTTTATCTGTTTGAGAACAATGCCAGTAAATGATTGGTATAGTAATTACCTATATTTTCAGCACGTCCCTCTGGGTTGAACCATAGAAACCAAATCAAAAGATCCTCCCGGTGATCCAGTCGGGTTGGATCCATGTCGCGTGGGGGATCTTCCGTCAGGACCGTCATCTGAATCGGGGGGTTCTTCTGGGATCATCGTTTCTATGTCAGAGCCACAAAAAATCGTCATTTCTCCCGCAAAAAAATGCAATGTTAGGGCATTGCATAGTTTTAAACAGAGAAGTGTCATATGATTCAAATTATCATATTGCTAATTTTATATCTCCTGTTTGTCCAATGATATCCGGATAATACCTTCATAAACTGGCTGACATGGGTAATATATCACCATAATTAAATCACGTCCCAACATGTCTAAGTATACTCCCACGAAATGGTTGGTGCCATTGGTGCCCCCCTATCATACGACGGTTTCATGGTTATGTTATGATGGTTATGTTGATCCACCTAAAAGAGTGTCTCATAGCCTTGCTCTTTTGACACGTTTTGACGTACGTTTTGACTCATCCCCATATTCAACAGTCCCATCAAAAACTCATAAAATGGTAAAGAAGTTCACATACCCCCCAGAAAGATATCAGCATATTGAAACTATATATATCACCATATATCACCATATATCACCATTAATATCACCCATTCAGAAAATCCCCATAGATTGGAAATCCATGGGGGTAACCCCCAGTCATCATCCTCCCACGTCCATGGCCTGCCACCTCCGGGCACGAGCCAAGTGAGCGCGGTTCACACCTGGCGAAGGAAGGTCTGGTGGCCACGAAAGCCACCTGGTGGCCACCTGGTGGCCACCTGGTGGCCACCTGGTCCAGGTGGTTTTTGCCATTGAAACAACTTGGAAAAAGCTACCCTCTGGTAAACTAACACAGCTAGTGAAAATGGCCATTTATAGTGAGTTTTCCCATTAACAATGGTGATTTTCCATAGTTATGTTAGTTTACCAGAGGGTACTTGTATGGAGTGAATTGACTTGGTAAATGATGCAAAATTCACATAACCAAAGTTTTTTGTGGTTAAAACAATGCCATAAACCACCCATTTGGGAATTGTTTATACCATGGGGATGGTTGATTATTGTTTTAACCACATTAACCAATCACTTTGTTGATCACTAATTAACTAGTTCAGTGATTTAACTGATTAGTCTGCGTATCACTAGTCTGCTGCCTAGCTAACTAGCCAAGCAACCGACTAATCAACCAATCAACTCATCAACCAAGCGATTAACTGACTAATGGTTCACTCCTGGCTAGTTGGTTTGCCTAGCTAACATGTTAATGAGTAAACCATAAATGGGGATTTCTGGTGATTCAGTGATGAAAAATCGCCCATAGTGGAGACTAACCATGCCAAGACTTGGGGACGAAGAACTCGGGCCCCAAGCAACTGAAGCAGTCGTCATCCTTTCCTCACCGTGATCCGTGGGGAGTGAAAACCAACTGGATGGCAACTGAGTTGGAAGACCCTAAGGGCGACATTCACCATGCACATCTTGGTGAAACTCGCCATGGGGGAGAACTCACCGAGATCGGGATGAAGTCTGCCGTTGGGGCACTTAAATATATAGAACATGGTGATACGTCAGGATTGGATCTGGTTGATGTTAACAAAATTCAACAAAAGCACCATGTAAAAGGCACTCACTGGCCTGTCCAATAGTGTTTTCTGTCCGGTTGGGACATCAGGTCTCATTCTCTACATATTGTTTGTGGCACTTGCGGGGTGCTATCAACGAGTCGGAAAAAGATATGTATGATTAAAATTGATTAAATTGATTAAACTCCCCAGTTGTCCCTAAAAAATGCCCTTGAAATGCTTGGCCCAGTTCTCTCGCCCTGTCAACCATCCCATCTTACTGGGTCCTCAATCACGGTCGCGGTCGCCGCGGTCGCCGCGGTCGCTGCGGTCGCGGTCGCCCCAGCGCTTTCCGCCGTAGCCCTTGCCACCGCCCTTGTCGGGGCACTCCCGGAAGATGTGACCCATGCCCTCGGCAGGAGCGCGTCTAGTCGTAGTAGCGTGGCATGGTAGTTTTAGCGTTTTACTCCCATGGGAGGAGATCACTAATGTGATGTAACCATAACCCATGTAACTTATGGCCATGTAACATAGAAAACATAGCCCTATCCCATGAAAAACTGATGGAATAGTGGCTATTCCTGCTCCTATCTAACCAGGTGATATAACCTACCAACAAATAGAGAATCAACAATGGTATTTCTCGGGGATCAAATGTGTAAAGTGAAAATTCTCTGTGCTGTTGTTGTTCAATTCTATGACAACAGCAACTTTCAACGCAATAGCAACATGTTCACCAGTGTGAACTTAAAAATGACGCCCCAAGGACTTGCCACCGGTGGAAAATCATCCCAAAGTGGTAGCGATCTATGCTGAGGAGAAACTCCGCAGGCATAGCATTCGAGTCCTTTCCCACCGCGGTCCTGGAACACACAGATCTGGCTGGTGGTTAAGCTGCCCATATCTAAAAACAATGTCTGTGGCCAATGGGACTACTCAATTCCCCCTTTTTTTTGACACCCTTAGAAACCACGGTTTTCTTGCAACCCAGAGAATCAAGCCCAACAAAACACTCACCACAAAACATCGGGCATGGGTCAAACACTTGTGATTACCTCAAACATTGCATACTGTCTTGAAGAGATCACTACAGAGTCCCTCGCTGTTCAAAACATAAAAATTCAGGCTTCCTCTGGTTGGTTAACCGTTCCATAAACCCAACAAATTCCATCAGATACCCTCTGGTAAACTAACATAACCATGGAAAATCACCATTTTTAATGGGTAAATCAACGGTAAATGGCCATTTTCCATAGCTATGTAACAAATTACCAGAGGGCAGGGTCATTGAACATGTTATCCCGAACACCTGCAAAGTTTAGGTCAAATACAAAAGTTCACCAGATTCTGGTGGCTACCAGTGCGTCTCAAAAAAAATGCTGATGTCAATATGTCCATGGGTCAACATGACGACATGATAGAAATCATTGCACACCTGCGTGTATGATGCATATATAATATATTACACCCATATGTCATATTTATACACATCTCCGTACTCACAGGTCCTGACATACCAAAAAATCATCGGTAAAAACATGTAAAAACCATCCCCAACACTAGTGGGAAAACAAGACAATAACACAAATAGCTAACATCTAACTTCATCTAATTAAGGTGGCCAAACTTAGATACAAACACCCGGCTGGGTATGAAATATTTCCCCGTATAAATTGCGGTAATGGGAGCTATAGTATCAAACGACCTTCACAATATTGGTTTCCCGAGACTTGGTCCAACTCCCCAATTGATATCAAGACATATAAAGATATCAATAATAGGTAATTTGATACTATAGCTTTTTTATAGGTTTATATATATATATATCATCATGATATATGAAACATAAAATCATAGGTTTTTATAGGTTCACAATCCCTCCGGACACGTCCGGAAACTCACAGGAAACTCCCACCACGCCACTGCCGCGCCTTCCCTTTGCCGCCGCCTTTCCCCTCCGGACACTCTCGTGCCAGGTGTCCAGCACCTGATGGGAGACTATTGCGCACGGGATTTTGCTGGAAAAGTCTGGGCGAAATTGATGAAAATTGATGATAAACCATGACAAAATATGGGAAAACCATGGAAAACCCATGAACAACGTGTGATAATCTGATAAACCATGAAAAAGCATGGGAAAAGGATGATAGACACTAAACACCATGGGATTTGGGGAAAAGTTATGTTGGATAAATGACACTCTGGAAAGAAACATGAAAAACTGAATGGGATTTGTTGGGGAGTTATCCAAAAACCGCCTGGGAGTTATCCAAAAAAGGGTTTATCGGAAGACATCTCAAAATGGTTGTTTTGATGAGGGACTTTTGGATGATCATATCTTGAAGTTTTGGGGAGTCCCAATTATCTTGGCCAAGCTGAGAGATATCATGCAACAAAGAGAAAATTCTATGGCTGGCTAGTATTAACCACATTTAACCACTACTTCCCCAAGGATGCCCCCCAAATTGGAGAAACGTTATATCAACAACCCAACAATCGCCAGATTCAATAGGAAAATCTTCAACCCTTTTTGTTGGCTTCCATCTTAAATCTAGGTATATCCAAGCATCCACCAATGTCTCAAAAAAAAATCGCAGTAGTCACAACACTCAACTGCAGTGAGTTGCACACCTGGGATGGCTATTAAACCGAGAATCTGGGAAATCCAATGATAAACTGCCCATAGAAAAAACCTGTAAACGGATGGTTTATACCAACCAAATCCATCCATTTACTATGGTTGACCACATCAACGTACACAGCCAAAACAGGAGATGAAGCCAAGATGCCTGGTCACTGGACCCATTTGGGTACCCCATGAAACATACTTCGCCCATCTTAGCCCATTCCATAAGGTTAATGTTGGTTGATGACCTCCTCATACGGCCTGAATCTTCTGGGAAATGTTGAACTCTTGAAAGGGTATCCTTTAGATGTCCGCGATCATCGGATAGGGTTTTCAGTTATTAATGCTACCCCCAGATGAATAACCCCCCAGCTTATGAAAAAAAATGTTCTTCCCAAAATGGTGATATGTCCCGTTAAAGATGATACCCCGAGTTAGCCCCAATTAGTGAAATACTTACTGGTGCTTAGCAGGGAATGATCCACAATCACTAGTAATAATCATCCCATTCCCCCATTCCTATCCGTTCCCTACTAAGCACCAGTAAGAATGGGGGGTTTGCAAAATCTTGGATTCACATCTCATCCCAGCACCAGAAGACATCTGAATACCTGAGTTCTTCACCGCCGCAATTGTAGCACCCGTCGTCTGTAAATTTGCCCTTGCCGCGACCTGTGACAAAACCCATGGCTTTCCTCTAGATCTTAGCTGGACGAAACCAATGATGCACCGGGGCAAATGAATCTGTGATTACTATCATGAACACCCCATTACTTGGACGTTCATAACCATTTACAAACAGTTAAAAACTTCAAAACCATTCATGACCCCATTTATTTCATATCTGGATAAATCAAAATCATCCATATCTATTCAAACACATATAGGTGTAATCACCACGGCAAAAGGGGCCAAATATCTAAATTTGACAAGTTCTTTGAATCTGTTTGAATAATCATATCATATATATATATATGTAGCCTGGGTAGCCTTTCAATGTGTTGAAAAACATCGGCGATTCTCGCGATTCTCGCCTCCTCCCTTACGCTTGCCCTTGTCTTGTTGCCTGGGATCAAACCAGCCAAGCAGCTGGGAAAACTCAGCCATCTTGTTACTTGGATAAACTATGGGATATAAACATAGAACTGGGAACATTATGATGAGTATGTGGGAATTCAATGAGATATAGGGGATTTTAATGGATTTTACGGAGCTATTTGGATATTAATTTGGATACACTGGGAATAACATTGACGATCTCATCAAGTACATTCAGGTATTACGTTGGATCCAAAAATGGCTCATGTCGTGTATGGAATCTTGAGCAATTCCTATACTGGTTGGTGGTTTCAATTCCCCTGAAAAATATGAAAGTCAGCTGGGATGATTATCCCATATATTATGGAAAATAAAAAATGTTCCAAACCACCAACCAGTACAGTTAAGGGTGACTCGTGAAGTGAAAGTGGGAATCGTCAATGCACTAGGTGGCAGTGTCCAATAGTTTACTGATTTACACTCATGCTTACAATGCTTACAAACCCGTTGTCTTTTTACTTAGTTGCTAGAGTTGCTTGTATCCCAATTTGAAGATCCCCATACTTGTTGCCTTAGAGCTGCTGAAATTCTTGTGCTTGGCGGGTGTTAGAGCCCTTGATGGGTGGCTTTCAAACCCCAGTCAAACATGACCCGATGGACTGCAAGGAAGGATTCAAGGACACATCACCACACAGTGGTTCAAGCTGGCTGCTTCATACATGGGTACGGGTCAAAATTAAAAGCCTGGGGACTGGGGACCACAGATTTTACTTTAGTTTAGTATTATAAATTATAACTGTATTAACCATCCAATTATCTGGGGTACCCAATTTTGACCCATACGACCCATACCCACATAATTTATCTATGGATCCACTGCGGGTGAAACATCGACACTGCCGGTGAATAGGATGTAACCATAGAATGTATCAACAAACCCCATGTCTTACAATACCTCCTCATGAATCATGAATGCCACTATAAATGTTGGGTAAACATGGTAAACATCCCGAAATACGCCTTGGCTCAACCCTGTATTTGTTGGTTACATCCTCATTTAACCATGGTTTAACCATGGTTAACCATGGTTAAACATGGCTAAACATGGTTAAACCCCTAAGAAATGTGGTACCTTCGACAAGGTCGGCGCCTGTGCAGGGTGAGCTCATGGGCTTCGGCCAGCTGTTTCTTGGTCTCTTGGTCCATCTCCTGCAGAAAAATCGGATGGTTGGTTTTTCAGGTGTCTATGAATGGTTGTAATGTCAACCCCGGATTAATAAACCATGGTTTATTAATTGTGGGGGTACCATCCAAATAGTCACAATATGATACATAAATGGTATCCCCCCCAATTAAACAACCTAGGGGTTTATTAATCCGGGGTTGACATTATATACTTGAAAAAACAAATAAAATCCATTGAAAAAGGGGTGAAAGTCGGGATTTTGGGGGGAGACATCTCTGGAAAAAAAAATCGTGAGATTTCGGGAGATTCTTCTGGATGGGGCTGTGGATGTTTGTGGATGTTTGTGGATCCTGTGGGTCAGATTTTGAAAGGGGAAACCTTTGGAGACCGGAAAACCAAGACACTCAAAGTCAGAAGACCACCGGTGCGCGCTAAGAAGGTGACAAGGCAACACAACTCATACCAGAAGCTGCATGCAAAATGCGAAAATATGCGAAAATCTATCTTTTTGGGCCAGTTTGGCTGTAGCGCAAGTCCTGATTCTTTGCCAGAACAGCACCAGTAGTTGGTGTGTGAAATTCTTTGAAGCCGAAAAGTACAATTGGAGCCACAAGTATCCTACAGATGGAAAAACAGACACCTTCGAAACCAGCACCCGAAGTCTATTGCGGACACACCCTTCATCTTTGTTGTAATAACATGTAATAACATGTAATAACCTCATGTTTTGCTGCTTACCACGTGTTTTTTCCATACGATGACCATGGAGCCATGCTGCTTCCCATGGGCTCGGCTCGACTCACAGATGGATCTCCAGAGAGATGTCGCCCAGGTAAAGGGCTTCACCACCCAGGTCCAGCCACGCATAGACAGCGGGCAGGAACTTGCCATCCGTCAACGTGTTGCGCCAATCCACTTGGAAAACCTCACCTGACGACGCTGTGAATGGTTGGAAGAGGCACCAATTGGTTCGGTGTAGCCGTAAAGTTTTGGATGTTTCACATCTATTCAAAATGACCATGTCACTGCAAATTGTGGCAGTTTTACTAGCATCCAGTCTAAAGGACATTCGTCCGTTTTGCCTCGACACCGTGCTATCCTGGGAGTTCACGCTGACCCGTTGCTGCAACAAAGACATTCGAAGAAGACCCGTTGCGGGCGTTTGGTCAAAATGCGTGTGATGCTGACGATACCTCCAACCACAAACAAACTTCCATAAACTAATCATAAACTTACATAAACATTAACTCGCTTTTTTGATTCATTTAAGGGAATCTTCACAAAGTATGAGTGAAAAATAGTGTTTATTTGAGGATATCTCATATTTTTCACAGCAAGTTGGGTATGTTTTTTTTATACAAAAAAAAACAGTGATCTTCACAAATGTCCACAACTCATTTAACCACAGAACTTCTCCCGTTGAGTTTTTGCTGGCTCCCCTGCCTTGAGTGCTGGTCACCTTCAAGTGGTTCCGTCCGTCCACAGCGAGGGTGACCTCAACCGTTCCCTGCGGATTTTTTTTGGGGGGATTGACACGGATTAACACGGATTGACATGATTCAGTGCAGTCATTTTTTAGAATATAGCATATTTACATATATATTACTAATTATATTACCATATATTTACAGTATAGTCATACGTGTATTAAAATAGGTTTGTTTTTAGGTTATCTATGATTGGAATAGTTTATAAGCTGGTTGGTTTCGGACAGGTTTCCCATCATTGTTTCCCAATGTATCATCCAAATACTCCCCATAAGTGGGTGATAGAACTGCTATAATACTGCTATATAGTGACCTGCCAATTGGTATTTTGGACACTTCTCAATCTTCTCAAAAGGCAAATCTTGGAGGCGCAAAAGTAGGAGAGGCCGGGTAGGCCAAAAACATGAAACATAAACGGTTTCATAAACCGACCTACCTCAACTAATACTTACATGGTGGTTGGCACCGGTACTGACCAAGGATGACTAAGGATGCCTTCCAAGTCTGATCCCGAAAACAAAGGGACCCTTTTAGTATGGACCAGGTTACCAGGTAATCCAACTGGGCCCCACAAGGCCGAAAGAATCAGTTGCAAATTGTAGCTGAATCAAAGACGTCAAAGAAGTTTAAAAGAAAACATCATCTGGTTGGTGGTTTTAACCAAAGTGAAAAATCATTCTTAGTCAATGGGAAGGACTTTCCCATATATGAAATGGAAAATGAAAAATGTTCCCAACCACCAACCAGTCATTATATGTTTTGGCTTTAATTTCCATATGGATGGTTCATTGATGATGGTTCACCATTTTGACAACCGGGCCTCAATGCAGCAACTCCGAAGGAAACCAAAAAAACATCTGCAAATACGCAACAAGTTGATACCCTGGAACAATCTGGAACAGGGATCAGTTGCAACTAAGTTTTCTGCCAAGTTCAATAAGAACTCAACTAACTCAACGCTACCAGGGCCACCACTTTCAGCCCTTTCAGCACCCCAGCAGGCCCCTTCGCTACCACGCCTCAAAGGTGTGGAACTTCTTCTCTGATTCGGTCCAGTTCTGTGGGGTGTAGCCCATGTTGCAATTGGGAAAACCTCCAGCGCCCTCGATGCGCAGGAGCCCTGCGAAAGGCACCGGTCACCTTTCAACCCATAAACTGGTCCTTAAACAAAAGTTATAGCTGATACCCTGTGGAGAAATCGGATGGTCAATGGTGAACATTGGTGCACCATTTTTCCATGTTTTTTTCCAGGGTTTGAGCCCATTTTTTCATCCACCATTTCAAGCATCTGAACGGAAACCAACGGTTTTGGGGGGACCAAGGTTGGCCAGTCTTCGTCATTCTTCGTCCCCTGATGGATCTCCGAAATCGGCCTCCATGCATCGCGGGATGAAACCTCAGTGCTACCAGATTTCCTCAGCATCACCAGGGTCGTTTTTAATGTCGAATTACACTCAGAATTTTCAGAACCACTTCAAGTGATGTTGGTAAAGTCCTAAGAATCACCGAATGTTTGATTGTTTGATTGTTTGATTGTTTGATTATGTTAAAATCCTAAAAGGGAAATCTAAGTCAAATAAGTGACAGTAAGTCAGTAACTGTCAGTATCTCTAGTTTTCATCATGTCTTGCTGGACAACTTCCCCATCAGCTTTGCTAATCTCCCGATCAACATCCCAATCTCAGAGATCACCATGCTTCAACGGCAAAAGTTGAACTTTATCCTCTGGTAAACGTTTACATAGCTATGGAAAATCACCATTTTCAATGGGTAAATCCACTATTTCAATGGCCATTTTCCAGTTCGCTTTTTGTTAATTTACCAGGCCGGGTAGGTTCCAGTGTGTGGCCCGCGAACTCGATGTCCAAAAAAAGAAAACCGTCTCCGAGGGCGGGATTCTAAGCTGACAATTGTTGTACTGGTTGGTGGTAACTATATATATATAATGGTGTATATATATAATGGTCAATCATGGTATATAATTTTATATTTTTTGGATAACTGGTTGGTGGTTTGAACCCTACCCCTCTGAAAAATGATGGAGTTCGTCAATTGGAAGGATGACATCCCATATATGAAATGGAAAATCAAATTCATGTTTGAAACCACCAACCAGTGCATGAAAATTAGGTCGAAAGAAATAGGGTAAATCTCCATTGTTTCAAGGAAAACCCAAGGCTTTCAGAGAAAAATCTTTGGGTCCACCTATGACAAATACCTTGCAAAACATACGATTGAGCTGGGCAGGTTGATATTCCATCCAAAATGTCCAACACCATAGAAGAATTAATATAGAAAATGACACTGCAACTTAGATAACTTACATCATCTGGCAGTGTGTCAAAACCTTGTACCCCTGGTGAGCATCAAAATAGCTGGTAAATGGATGGTCATTCCCCTAAAAATGGTATTAATAGGTATTGATCCATACCAATTTTGTCATATTTTGTCATTAAAAATGGTGATTTTCCATAGCTACGTTAAAGTACCAGAGGGTAACTTACATCATCTACCGAAATTCGCCGCCGCTTCAGACCCAGTCCATCTCCGAGCAACTTGATGGCGTTGGACTTCTTGGACTCCGACAAGCCGAAGCCGTTGTAGACGTAGCTCGGCAGACCCGACGGGTCGGTGTCACCTGACATCACGGCCCAGGGTTGATACCGATACCTTTCAAGACAGAGTTGGCCCGAAACTTCCCAGAAAAGGATGGAAAAAAGGACATTGCCCATCTTCTATACTCTGATGCCCTGCCCAAAAAAGAAATCGCTGGCTCGATTAGTATATATTCCCATCAAAATCGTTTAAAAAAAATAGTAGTACATCCCCGTCAAAATGGTCAAAAAATCCCTACAAAATTGTGAATATGTAATATCCCATAATATCCAATAATCATATCCCCACAATATCTGGTTGGTGGTTGCAACCCCTCTGAAAAATATGCTCGTCAGTTGGAATTATGATTCCCAATATATGGAAAGTCATAAAAAATGTTCCAAGGAAAAATAAAATTAATGTTCCAGACCACCAACCAGCCACAATATAGTTGCCTAAAACTTCCCCTTCACCAGTCGCTTTCTCCAAAGAAAAAGGCCCAAGGAACTCTGCATGGAGGGAGGTTCTTCCACCACAAGGCCAAGGCCTCCAACGCTGGTAGCTATGGATGTTCATCCTCCAATTTTTCAATGGAAAATCCACGAAATAAACATGGTAAATGTAGGGATTTAAAGGGATCCAATAGGAGATTTATCAACAACTGGTACAAAACTTCTGTCAACTACTTTTGGCAAATGGTCATATCCCATTGTAACTCTTACCCTCTGGTAAACATTCACAGTTTGCGAACTTGAAGCCATGGCCCAGTCGAAATCGTGTTGATCATCTCCACCTGGAGATTGCTTCAGGGTGAAGCCGTTGAAGCCGTTGAAGCCAGCAAAAAATGGTGGGTTTTACTACCGCGATTTCTATGCATTTAGTAGCCTTTAAAGCAACCAAACATTGCCATGGAACATCCCCCATTTACTTCCATGACGTTCCTTTTATTTAAAAAAAAAACGTCATCTGATGTTCGGGGATTTCCCAGAAGGGGATTTCCCATGCTGACTATATTCACATACCAACGTTTTCTCCAAATAGACCATAAAATTTTTGGCGTCTTATCACGTAAAAATCACCACGTTTTATCCCAGCTTTCCCAAGTCATGAACTCTCCAGGTGAGACAAAATATGTTCGCTTTTTTGGATGATCAAAGTCCCCTTTTTTTTGGGGTCCCCTTTTTGGAGAGAGCACAAGCTTCCGAAAAAAAAATCCATGGACCCAATGGACCAACCATCAAGCCATGACTTCATCAACTACACTGGATGATAATCCACCAAATATCATCTGCTTGGTGATGTCAACCCTACCCCTCTGAAAAATGGAGTGAAAGTCAGTTGGAATATGTTGGAATGATGATTCCCAATATATGGAAAAATATGGAAAAATCAAATTCCATGGTTCCAAACCACCAACCAGCGCTGCAGCTAATGCGACAATTTCACCCACCATCCCAGCCTTTGTTGTATGCGTCCGAATTCAGCTGGACGGACACCACCACCTTGGAAAACTGCTCCTTCCGGCTTTCTCGCAGAAGGACTCCACTGTTGATGCTCGGCAGCCTGACAACGAAAAGGCACAAGATGAGCACTAAAAATCAGCACATACCAGTCATACCTAGACTATATCTGTAAATTTGGTATGATAATGTATGATATCATGCCTCAATCACCACAGAGTTGGGTCAGGAAATGGTGGGTCGATGTCCAACTCTCAGGCCCTCAACTGGTGCAGCCAAAAAGCAACAAATGTCCGTCCTTGCTACTCATCTCCAATCCATGTTCCCCCGCACGCAGATGTTCAATCTCCGGCTTTTGTCCCGCCATGTCCTGAGTGGTGCAGAAATTCTTCACACCACAGAGTCCAACAAGGCATGGCGAGATTCTTCACATGGCATGCGATGCTAGCGGATATAGACCGCCAAAGGTGGCTACTGGTAATTTGCAAGCCAAGGATGGGAAGCCCCTCGCATAGCTTGGTCATAACTAGCATAATTTGATATGTGGGGGGGGGGTCCATAAATGAATATAAATGAGGCTACCCCCAGTTCTCATCCATTTGAATAGGATTTTCCATTGAAACCTTTAGCTATTGGGGTACCCCCATTTTCAGTCGTAACCAGTCCTCAAGAACCGCCAGGATGGATGGAAGGCCCTTCACCACCTTGATGTGGTCTCCTGCGTTCAGCGTTGTAGCCACCCCAAAAAGAAAACACCATGAACATGGGGTGAAAAGGTGTGTTGCCTTCAATTTTCGGATATACCATTACCAAGTTGGAACGATTATTTCTGGCTCAGGTATCTACAAAAGTTCCTGTCCTCAACAAACATGACCTGAGAATGACCTTTTTCATCAACTCGTATCTCTCGTGTCGATGACCTGCTTGAGAAATGGCGAAAACTTCAACCAGGCCTTCCGGTGAACTTGGAGCCATTTTCAGCAGTTCTTTGTAGCCCTCATAAGAGCCTGTCAGCTGGGCACTTTGTGGCACTTTGTGTTGGAAAATTAGGATGGGAAGGTCTTCAAACAATCATAATCTGGTTGGCGGTATACCTACCCCTCTGAAAAATGATGGAGTGAAAGTCAGTTGGGATGATGACATTCCCAATAGATGGAAAAATAAAATTCATGTTCCAACCACCAACCAGTAATTATTTGTTGGCCACTTCTGATACTCTTCAACCCATCGATCTAAGTTTCTCCTTCATAAGAGTCGACTCAGCCAATCCTTCGAAAAATCACAAAAAAAAGTCGGGCAACACCTTTTTCCCTCTGGCAAACTAACATAGCTATTGAAAATGGTCATTTAGTTAGTTGATTTACCCATTCAAAATGGTGATTTTCCATAGTTATGTAATCGTTTACCCAGAGGGTATATACCAAGCATATATATACCATACATATACCATATATAATGGGATGATAGGGTGATGCTAATATGTTAATGTTAATCATGCTAATAATGCTAATAATGGTAATAATGGTAATAATTAATGCTAATAATGCTAATAATGTTAATGATTAATGACTGTTAATGTTAATAATGGTAATAATACACCTTCACCAGCCTGAAACACCCCGTCGCCTGCCGCTTGCAGCAAGAGCTCCACCTTCGTCTCCCGCGCCACCACTGCGAAGACTTGCTCCGTGGGATACAGCGCCGTCAGCGGCAGCGCGTCGTGCAGCACCTGGCGAGAATTCCACGGGAAAACGTGGTGGGAAACCTGGGGAAAACGTGGTTCAACTGCTGAAAGATGGAGATCAATGGGAAAAAAATTGGAGAAAACTGATCAAACATGAGAGTTGGGAGACTGGTTGGGATGGTTTTCCGGTGGTTTTCATATTCAGGTTGAAGATATATCCAAAGTTAAATTCATCCAACTGTTCCACGACTTTTTGGAGATTTTTGGTTGCCTCGGCGCCGTGGAAGAGCTTCAAATAGCAGGCTTCGGGCACCTGTCCACAGGGCGGAAATCCACAGGGATGAATCTAAAAGAAGAAAAAAAACATCAAAAAGCATCTCAAAAAAACACATTGATGATCCTTATGATTTGTTGATTTTCAGCCATTTGTGACAAAAGGCCCAATTGAATCGATTGGTTAACCTTGTTCTAGAAAATATGGGAAGTTCCCTGTAAGCGACTCAAAAGACTGGGATGTTTGAGTGACCAAAATAGAGATTTAAAGTTTTTACATAGTTTTACCAACACGAAGCCAGGATAGGTTCAATCAACAATGTCAAAAAAGCATTTTTGTCCATGTCATGGCCCTTAACCATCAATGAACGTTGCGCCGCTGCGCCATGCACCATCCTTCTTGGTGATATTCCCTGGAAAGAGTTCAGCAAGGTATCAAGAGGTATCATGAAGCACTCATTCGTTAAAGCAATAGAATAGAACGAAATCGTCAGAAGTGTTGGGCTGTAGAGCTATATCTCCACTGTATTGTATGGCTTATCCAAAAAAACACATGTTTGTTCGCCAAAAATATCCGCACTTATTGCACTAGGCTTGATCTAAAGCCCCCGTGGCCATATCCCACATTTCTTCATGGCTCCTGAAGAAAATACAGAAGATCCTGATCATTGGCAAATAATTGCCCCTGTTTGGCGGTTGATACGTTGATATATCCGGTTTAGGCTATATCCACCTGTCATGGTGCTCAAACTCCCGTTGTCATTGGTTATTTGCCCATTTATATCCATTTATGTTGGATGTCCCATTTTGTTGCTTGTATCCCGATCTTAGTTGGTCAAACTCCCAACTCTTTTAGCTACGGTAAACTGGTCGGCGCTCCCCATTCACGCTGGTTTTCCAGTGCTTTTTGTCACAGCCATCATCATTCCATGGCTCTGGGTAAATTAGTATACCCTCTGGTTATGTCAAAATAGCTATTGAAAATGGCCATTTATAGTGGATTTTACCATTAAAAATGGTGATTTTCCATAGCTATGTAGGCAAGTTGTGGGAATTGTCCCCAATTACTAACAAAATTCAGGATAATCCTCTGCCAGCAATAAAAATGGGGATGTTTCCTCATTTATAGAAATGTTCAGTATTCCCCATGAATTAAGCATAATTATCCCAGTTGGGTTAGTATCCCCATAATATATATATATATATATGTGTAATTCACACAACATTGTCATTGTTAAGTATCCGCAAAATGCCAATTATCCTCCATGTTTTTTTGACTAAATCGACTTCCTAGTCTTCCTAAGTCCATCATTGTTTATCATGTTATCATCATGTACGTATCACACATAATAAACTACGTAAGTATATATAATATATCATGTTGTATATTGCACATATATCATGTTAATTACGTAACATAATGTTATATAATATATGTATGTACATATATATATATATTATATTAATTATATATATATAATAATTACACAATACATGTCACTATATATCATTATGTGAAGTATCCCCATGACGCCAAGTTTCCTACAAGTTCATCGGCTTCCTGACTCCATGGGCTTCCCATCGAATCGGTGTCTGCGCACCTCGATGTATCGCTCCACTTCTTCCCTCAGTTCCTTCACCCGATCCTCGCCCTTCACCATGACGTCGTAGGTCTTCCCCGTGACGCTGGCCACGGAGAACGTCAGGGCCATGGCGTCTGACTATGGAGTAGGTGATGCTGCACTCGCAAAGGAATCAAAGTGAGGAATGGGGTTCATGACATCAAAAAATGTCAAAAAAATCACGGCAATTTGCCACAACGTTATGTGTATACTGTATACTTAATTATATTAAATTATATTGATGATTTTTCAGAGCCACAAGCGTGATGAATTGCTTGAAACAGCTGCAGTACGGCGAGACCTAGCCATTGCCTCAAAAACTCAGAAGACATGAGGATCACAAGGCACTGGCAGGTCCACAAATAGTGCCCAAGTCAACTCCCCAAACTTACTGGTTGATAGATGTTGATAGAGGTTCCAATTTTTGAATCTGACCAGAAACAAAAAGCCATCAAACCAAATTATCTATAAGAGTTCAACCTTTTAGTTTCATGTGTATATATCGTGCATTATAAAACCTGCTTGGTGGTTTCAACCGCTCTGAAAAATATATGCGAAAGTCAGTTGGGCTGATGAAATTCCCAACTGGAAAGTCATGTCATCCATGGTTCCCTTTCGCACCATGCACATTTCTAACCCAAGCATGAACAGCTAGGGATCAACGACTCGTACGACTCGTATCACTGGGATCCCGCACCACGTGTTTCTCTGCATGGGCGGCAGATTCCGGTAGCATATTGATGAGACCAGAGATCTGAGAGTCGAAGATCGTGAAAAAAAAAGGACGACTGGTCCCCGGATGTCCCCGACGCACAAAAACCAATAGCTTACCCGGCCTGGTAAACATACAAAAAGCTATTGAAAATGGCGATTTATAGTGGATTTACCCATTGAAAATTGTGATTTTCTATAGTTATGTAAACGTTTACCAGAGGGTAAGCAGAATATGTTCTGTTGGTTGTACTTGAATATATCTGAAGCTGATTGAACCAGTTTTGACATATGTTTATATAAAGACCAATCATGTTTCTTGTCAAATCCCGTAGTTTGTTGATGTTGCGCAACATTTGTTGCTTCTCTTGGGGCAGAAAAACCCGAAAAAACCCGAGATTTCTTCATCCCCCAACTGAAGCCCAGCTCGTCTGAGTTTCGGACCACATCATCCACCCATGCCTGCGATCAAGCCAATGAGAGCTGGGCAGATTTGCCACAAGGGAATTGTCACCTCCTCCATCCCACCTGTCCTGGGAAAATACCGAAAAATGTCTGTGGTGCGATTGCTTCAATTCTCCACTTTTTGCAGGTGAAACATGGTGAAACGTTCATCTCTGTTGCTCAAATCCCACCAAGTTTACTGCATAAACCCCTTAATTTTTTGCTCAAATCCCACCCAGTGTTCTTGCTTCACCCCATTTTTGTCCAAATTTTTGGCTGAACTGCCCAGAAAAAAAAACCGGACACCCAGCGGGTTTTTCCGCCTCTCCCTGTGTGACCTTGCGAATACTGACCTCAAGAGGCCCTGTGAACAGCGGAACGGCGAATTTCAGCGGAAAGGCGAAATGCTGGTTCGGGAGTTTTATTATATGGGATTCTCTCATCATGATAGATTCTACCCTCTGGTTATGTCAAAATAGCTATTGAAAATGGTCATTTATAGTGGATTTACCCATTAAAATGGTGATTTTCCATAGCTATGTTAGTTTACCAGAGGGTAGATGATGTTAGTGGGATAATAATCCAGTAATCACCTATCATTGTAATAATCACGCGACAGGGTAAGTTGAAATCTTGGATTCAAACTGTTGCTGATTAGTTACCCATCAAAAATGCTGGGTTTTACCATGGTTTGAAATGGGACATATCCACTAGAAATGAGGGTTTTATATGGTTTTATATGGGAAAATCATGGGAATATATGGGATTACCCTCTGGTTATTTGTTACATAGCCATGGTTAAGCCATGGCCCATAGAAATAGATGGTTTACCGTTCTTAAAAATGGTGGATCTGTCCATGGCTATGTCAAATAACCAGATGGTATCTCATCATAATAGATTTTAGTGGGATAATAATCGAGTAATCATCTATGATTATAATAATTATTAGATTAGTGGGATTCATCGGTAATTTAGTGGGATAATGATAGATTCATCCCATTATGATCATGATCGTATCATCTATTGTTATATCCGATGACAATTTCATTATGATAATGGGATTATATGGGATTATCCAATTTTGATGGATAAAAGTGATGGATTATAGTAGTCTATTCATCTGATTGTAATAGTACATGATTAAATAATAGTATTAGATGATTGGATAATAGATAAAAATCATCTAATCGTGTGGTTTTTGCAAAGGGATCATGATGTTCTTTTCGTCAATCAAATACCATCAAACATAGTAATCATATAATTGGATTATTATATCAGCATTCTATGGAGAAACATATCCAATGATTATGGTCAATATTATTTCTAACATTATGTGTTAAGAATTAATCTATGTGGGAGCATTTCACCAATAAATCTGTAGAAATATGGGGTTATAGTATAATTATATATATATCTCATGTGTGCCATGGTCACATTATTTGAACATTGGATGATTGGGGTATGGCCATCCAAGTCATCCGTCCCAAAGTGGGGAATCCAAGAATCCATACAGCATTTGACCCATGGCTAGAAATGTTCATAAAATCTCACGAAAGGTTAGATCTATAAGATCTATCATGGTACCTTTATCATACTACATCTCGTTAATAAAATGTATTTTTTTTGTGGAGGCAAAAACATCTACTTTTTCAACGGAAGTTTTTCAAGCATGCCAGTCCTGATTGCCGGAATATTAACTGCTAAACTATCAAAACAGCAATTGTCATACAGAGTCTATATAATAACGACCCAAAGGGCAAGTCTAACAACGTTCACGTTCATTTTAAAAAAAAAAAAGTTCTTTTACAGACCCAAATGCTCCATGTATGGTATGTATACCAACATTTGCCCTAAAAATCACCCAAATGTAGGTAAATATACCATACATGGATCATATGGGAGATGCATTCAAAGAAATTGGTGCTAACGAACTGCCATGGCAATACTTCATTGACCCATCAGTTCTTGGCGGGATTATCTCACCATGAAGCTACTCTAATTTTTGCAGCAGTTTTCCCTGGGAAAACAATGATACGCCTTTGATACATCATTAGAAACCATGATAAACCTTTTGATAAACCTTTTGAAAAACCTTTTGATAAACGAATCAGTTAACTAACCATATAGCTTTTGATCAACAATGATAAACCTTTTCCTAAACCATGTTGAACCAGGATACCCTCTGGTGAACTAACATAGCAATGGAAAATGGCCCAGTCGAAATAGTGGATTTTCCCATTAAAAATGGTGGATCTTTCCATTGCTATGTTAGTTCACCAGAGGGTATCTCCATTAAATCACCATTAAATCACCATTAAAACCCATTAAATCACCATTTTCCACCGTTTTTCCGTTAAAAAAACAACAACCAACGGGTGCCACGGACTTCGGCCGCGCCGGGATTGTCGAAGGATGCCATCTTCGCACCATCCAGTCCGACGCCTTGGACGATCGTCGAAAAAGACCCAAAGAAAAAGGGTGTTCACCGGTGAAAATAGGAATAGTGTGTGGGATACTGTGTATATACATGTATTTAAAAAAAACAATGTAGATAATTAAAATCTAATGTGTTATTAAACATCTTAAATATATGTATATATGACCAACAGAAGCGGTTTTTTGTTTTTTGGATGATCAAGACAGAGCCCACGAAACTCTGCTGTGCCAAATCCACGAATTCGCGTAGAATCAACATCCGGCACGACCAACCTCAGTGGGTTTACTAATGGAAAGCCAATTACACAAAAGCTACTACAAAAAGCTACTGTATGTTTCTTGCAAGAGGTCTTTCAGCACGTCCAATTTTTCTGTTTTCAGTGGATCTTCTGCGGTCATCTCCGAGTTTAGGTGCTGTTTCTGCAACACAAACCCAACAGCGAAATAAAATCAGCCGAGATCACTGCGAAATAAACCCATGTTCGTGATAATCCCCCCTACTCTTTGCATCATTTTTGGGTCATGTTCCTTGAGAGGCTTGAAAAAACTACCCTCTTGTTATTTAACATAGCCATGGAAAATGGCCCAGTTATAGATGGTTTACCTATAAAAAATGGTGATTTTCCATGGCTATGTTAAATAACCAGATGGTAAAACCCATCAAAAATAGATCAAAATCTGCAAATCGCTTGGCTGTGTTCAAAGGTCGTACAGAAGGAGTGCCACCGAAAACAGGGTTTTTCGAACGGCCCCATGAAAAAAAATGGCACCTTTAGCACTACTCCATCCTTTTGCTTGGGAGTATATAGATAATGAATCAAAAGTTGAGAATGAGGCGGTCATATCCGATCTTATCCCAATGATTGTTGCCAGCTGCTAGAACATCCCATGTGAAGAAAATCAATATTTAGAACATCTTCGAAGATGTTTTATCCCAAATGATGAATATTCAGATCCCAAAAAACGGTGAAAATTTGCCTAGCTGTCCCTGGGAGTCTGGCTGGCGAACAGCTCTGCAATCCTGGCAGCTGGGGGGATAGTGATCGGGGAGGAAATCTGATCGCGTGCTTTGTAGCAAAGATGGTGACATATTTATACCCTCTGGTTATGACTAACATCGCGAACTGGAAAATCACCATGCTATTAAGAACGCTAAACCAACTATTTCAATGGGGCATGGCTTAACCATGGCTATGTAACAGTCATAACCAGAGGCTATAAATATTGCAATGTAAAATGGGAAGAGAAATCTGCACGAAATTGCTGGCAGTTCAGCCACCCATCCCCTCGGAACATTTTGGAACACTGCTTGAGATGAGGGAGGAATCATGCAGTCATCCCTAGTCATCCCTAGTGTAGATATTCAAAGTGATGAACATTCTGAAGCACCAACCATATCACTGTCAGCCTCATCTGCCTGAGAATGGTTATGTGGGTTCGTCCAAAAATAAGCTATACCCAAGCCCAGAATTGCCATGTGAATAGGATAGCTGATGATAATCCACGGAAATTGGGACTATCTTAACCCATTTCTGGAAAAATCTTCATGGATTTGACGTCTTGTCTACAAAACTAATCTATCCACACAATTCAGATATCACGTTTCACGTTTCACCCATCAGATCGATCAGCTAATTGAGGTCATCCAGTCACCGACCATATCAAAGGTCAATTTATTATGATTCTGCATCCCATCCCCCTAAAAAAAAAAAAAACTCCCCCTAACGAAACCATCGAAAAATTGGGTGTGGGAATTTCCACAAATTGGGACCATACAATGGGGGTGTTTAAGATACCCTCTGGTAATTTGTTACATAGCTATTGAACATGGCCCAGTCGAAATAGTTGATTTTCCCATTCAACATGGTGATTTTCCATAGTTCTGTTAGTGATTAACCATTGAAATAGTTGATTTTCCCATTGAAAATGGTGATTTTCCAGTTCGCTATGTAAACGTTTACCAGGCCGGGTCATGGATGGGATCATGATGCATGACGATCTCTGCCAAGTCGCTTCGCTTCACGGTCGGTGCGGATGAACGCAGGCTTCTCCTGCAGCGAAAAAACGTGAAAACATCCTGCAGGCTCAAAAAGAGACCTGATAAGAAAAGCAGGTTTTTCTATAGCTGGGTTGTGTATCATATTATATATAAACATTGGGTGCCATTCACAAGGTTTTCATTTGATGCATTCTTTGTGGAAATCTGCACATATATCCATTGAATGACATTCATGTAACTACTATAACCCAGGCTTTATCCAGAAATAGAATCAACATATCGCCGTAATTAAGATATGTCGATAGACAGATTCCATAAATATCCATAATTTCAACATACTGTGTTTCAACCAGTGGCCAACTATGTTGACCTGGAACCTTTATGAACGAAGGGATGACAGCCTTCGCATGGAAATCCAACCCACAATGCTTCACCAACCCATACCAAGGCGATGCGGAACCCAAATTCCCAAATAAAGTGACGACTGGAACTGCCGGCTGACCTTCAGACAATCTGAGATGTCGTTTCTGTGGTTTCACAGATTTACATCTCTCAACTGTCAGAAAATGTCAGCATCTTGAGGCGTCTATTTGCCCTAGATCCAAACCTCAAATGCGCGCCTTGAGCTTCCCATCGGCCTGAAGGAAAAGAAGGAATCCATGACCAAAATGGAAGCGTTTCTGGAAGAAACGGTATTGGATCTTGGCATTCAACTTACTGGTGCGTGCGTTTTACGTAGGGTTGCTGGATGGGTTGCTGGGGGTTGCTGGGATCATGATTAATTCATAGTTATTATGGATCATTCCCAAAAATTCCCTACGTTTAGCACCAGTAAGTCAAATCACCCATGTTCGCAGGTCCCAAATTGCATCATGTCGTATCCCAATCTTTGCTTGGTAAACTCCGCTCATAAACTGCCGTTGAGTATGACCAAAGAAACAGTGCACCCAAGGTAAAATCCGTTGCCGAGGTGAATTCCCAGTTGCTGTTCATCTCATGTCCAATCTCGGATACTAATCGAAAAAATAAAAAAGAAAAAAAAAACGACAAAATAGACTTTAAATCGACTTCTTAGCCAGTTAGTCAATAATAATAGTCATCATAATATACGTATAATAATAGTATATAATAGTATACTATAGTAGTAGTAATAATAATAATAATCATCATCATCATCATAATATAATAATAATAATCATCATCATCATCATCATAACAATAACAATAACAATAATAATAATCATGATGATGATGATGACAATAAATACACAAAAATCTACTCATTTACGGCAATCTTCGGCATCCAGTGACTCTTCGACCCCAGATTGCTGGGTTCCGCCACGACCAGGCCATCACAAAGGGCAGAGGCCAGCTCTTTTCCGCTCCACTCTTCCTGGTCAAATGGGTAAAAATCCCTGAAACCTCGGGAAAATCTATGATGTTTCATGATTTTTGGCGGAAAACCATGGAAAATCCATAATTGTTCATGATTCTTTGTGGTTTATCTCAAATATTGCAGGAAAACTCATGATGTCTGCATAGATATTTTTGGGTGTTCGTGAAAGTTGTTGTTTCATTACCCATGTTTCTCTGACAAATACCCATGTTTCTCTGAAAAAATGAAGGTGTTTTTCATGTTCCGATTTTGAAGATTTGCGGAAAATCTTCGAGGTTTTTCGAAGCGGATTTGGATGCACCCTACATCCCCTCTATAGTCTTTGCGCCCTGGCGATTCCCAACGAAAAATGGGGCAAGTACTGCCACGAACTCTGGCTCATCATCCCGCTCGGTCACCCAAGTCATCGCTGTCTGATCAAGCACCGTGGGAATGTCCTTAAGTTTCCTACTAACAACAGCTGTTTTCCCACGAAGTCTAAGATTGGGTACCCAATCTTAGTTGCTTGGAGCTAAAACGTTCCCGCGTTCCCGATCGCAACATGGAGCATGATTTTGGTTTTGCAACAGAGATGGATCAGAAGAAGTTCGACGTATGCTTCCTATAGGCCATTCTTCCGATTGCCGTCTTAACCTGGCAATGAAAAATATTCCAGAGCATCACTTGATGATATAGTTGTGTATGGGTTAATCATATGGGTTAATGTTAGTAACTATAGTTATTATATGTTATTATAATACCTATAAACCAATAAAGATGATTTTCATAAAAGAACAGTTGGATTCTTCCCAGCCCTGCGGTTGTTTGAGACCTGCGGATCTCTTCACGCGACAGGGTAAGTTGAAATCTTGTATTCAAACTGTTGCAGATTAGTTACCCTATGGTTATTTAACATAGCCATATGGTATAGATGGCCCTAATCGAAATAGATGGTTTACCTGGGTTTACCTATTAAAAATATTTAAAAATGGCGGATCTTTCCATGGCGAACTGTTAGTCATAACCAGATGGTAAATCTCTATCTCTTGGTGCAATCAAAAACTCTGCCATATTCCGCGCCTGGAACGGCATGGAGGGCGCTGGGGAAGAAGCCAGGTGAGATGTTTTTTAGTGGATAGAAAGCGATACGAGATATGGATAGATATGGATAGATATGGATAGATATGGATAGATATGGATAGATTCTCAAATGCCATATTTATATCTATCCAGATAATCAGATAGATTATTAAATGCCATTCTCTGGATAGATATGGATAGATTATTTTCTATTTGTATCCAGAGTACTTCAGAACAATCAGCCTTTACCAAGGTTCCCAAGGCTATGGCCTGGCTACCTGGGTGGATGAGATGACTTATTCAGCAGCTACCTGGGTTTGTCGTTGATGGACCAGAAAAAAAATCGGCCGCAAAAAGTGGAAGAAAAACATGGCACTGGCAGTGATTTCTGTGGAAGAAATTTAAGAAAACATCCTTCAAACATGTTCTGCAGAGAAAAATCATATCCATCCAACTGTTTCTGTGGATCGTGGCATCGTATGAGTTCCTGAGCCGGAACAGGCTACAAGCGTCCCAAGTTCATCAGCTTCAGTTGAAGCCCAGTTGGGTTGATATCATGGATATCAACATGATTGTTTTATCCCAAAAAAATGAATGGCAAACAATGCAAATGCTTACTATGCCATCATTATTGATTTTCAAATACGTTGTATATATGTTCATATATTATATACATCAATATAATATATATATATGCACACCCTTTCCCAGGGTGTGAACTGAGCGCAGACTTTTTACGTCACATTCCTGGGAATCCAATGCACTGCTTTCTCCGAGAGGCGGAAATACCTTGCGGCGAAAAAAGTGTTGGTGTTGATGTTGTGTTGGTGATGATGGCGACAACGAGGAGGATGATGATGATGAGGATGAGGATGAGGAGGACGACGACGACAACGACAATGATGATTTTCATGATGATTTTCATGATGATTTTCATGATGATTTTCATGATGATGAGGACGCGGAAGGGCAGGAGGAGCTCAACACAATTGGGTGTGTTCCGCTTCAGCGGTTTCACCCATGCTTTGAAAACCCCAGCCATGCTGACGAAGGGGCCAATTCAGCGGTCTCCTTAGTTGCGAAATCCATCAGTCGTTGAGGATGGTCAGTTTATTTATGGCAGGTGTATCACAACCAGAGTTTTACTAGCGCAAAAATGCTAAAAAATGTATGGTGATGTATGCAAAAATTGTGGTTAACCGTTAACCCCTACAAGTCGTGAGGCCCCCGTTCGTTAGCTAAGTTGATTTATAACTCCAATAACTATGGTTTATGGTACTTATAACTATAGTTACTGGGGCGAATCTAAACCAACTTACATCACTGGGGGGCCTCACATTGTATGCTTGGTGTAACAAATAAACCCCAGCCCCTATTGGGATGGATCGCAGCTCTTTCGCATGAAGACATGACGACGGGTTTCAGATGCTCCGTTGAAAATTAAGGGCGTTGATCATTTCGACGACCTAAGTCTGGGTCATCTATAAAAACACGTTCATGAAGATCAACATACATCAACATATATCAACATTTACTATATTTATATGTGTGTGTATGGTCGATAGACGCATTTGATTTCAGGCACTCAACTTTTAAAAAAAAAAAAAAAAATCCGCTTGAACAACTTAAACTTTTCGCTTCGCATCGCTGGGTCAGGTGCTGAGCCCTGGCACAGTGGTTGCACCAATGAGGCCTTGAAACTGCTGGTTGGTGATCCTTTTTGTTTGGTAAAATGATGTAAAATGTGTCAGACCACAGGAAAATTCCTGTTCAAATGTTTTGGAAATATATTTGTGGTTTTCTAATCTCCCGATTTGATATTGCTGATACGGTATTGTATGGTACTGCTGATTTTGTTGCAGGATTTCCCAATTTGATATTGCTGAGTTTTTTATGCCGAATTTCAAATCACCAACGGACAGCCTGTCTCACTCACAGGGTTTCAAACAGGTCAAAAAAGCAGCCATATTGCGGTACTTACCCTCTGATAAACGTTTACATAACTATGGGAAATCACCATTTTCAATGGGTAAATCCACCATTTCTATGGGCCATTTTCAATAGCTTTTTGTATAGAAACCTCTGGGGATGATGGTTCACCAGCCGAAACCCTGACTCGACTCACTGGTCATCTTTGACCACTTCGCTGACGGAATAGGCATGTCCCACCACCAGCGCCACCTCAAAAACGAAGTAACAAAGTGGGTCAAGGACCTGCGAATCTAAGCAGTGCTAATCTTACCCTGCAGAGGAATATATTATATATGTTTCTTTAGTTGGGTATAATTTGTTCCCCACCTGTTCCCATACTGGTCGCTGCTTCAAACCACATTGCGTTGGGACGCCTCAGGGGCATATGAACACCAGATTTCCCCACTGAAATCGCCATTACTTCAGGGAAAATGCCCCTCTTTAGGGGATAAACACGACACGTCATCCCTGATCTAATCCTGTTCTCCAACTTGGGCGGATGAGTTTTCCAGCCCTGGTAGTCTTCAACTGGAAAACGTACCAAATTTCAAAGATGACATGTGCGCCGCACAAGAACCCTGGATGTTCCAACCATCCATCCATGTTGGCTGGATATGGAGATATGGAGATCCCCATGACACCACTGCGAGCAATTCAGGATTATGTTGTCATTGGGGATCATCCCAAATAGAGCTGAAAATAGAGTTGAAACCACCAACCAGATATTATATATCTACATGATCTACGGGGTAATTGGGGAATCTCAAAGGGTACCATGACCATCACCATGAACTAATTTTGAAGATGACCTGAGTTGAATGGTAATTCCCTGATTAGAGCGTATCAGAGCTAAATTGGATTCAATTTTTTGCGGGTCTTGGAGTTCCAAAAACAAAGCCCAACCAGCCGGCATGTGCAGCCAAAAAGCGCAGGAGACTTTGATTAGGACGTGCCTCAGATGGGCAGATTTCTCCGCAGCGATCATTCCCATGACACCATTTATCTCTGGATTCTCCTAACAAAACCTGGATTTGTTGAGCCCATCAAACTGCTTCCAAAATCCCCTAATTCTGGGCCAATGCCTTATTTTTGCCTGGAAATCCTCACCATTTGTGAGATGATTTCGACATTTTCCCCAAGTCATCATATCATTTCTGGCCCTTCGGCCGTTGTGAGGTCGCAACAGCATCTGTTCAGATCCTTTCTGGCCGCCATCTTTGGTGCCGAGATGCATCTGCCAAAGCGATCTCACGAAAAAGATCCAGAGCAACAAATGTACCGCTTGGAGCCTCAGAGTGTCGCAATGTGAGGCCCCCCCAGTGATGTGAACGTTGGTTTAGATTCGCCCCAGTAACTATAGTTATAGTAACATAAACCATAGTGAAATTGGAGTTATTGGCACCAACTTAGCTATCTTGGGGGTCTCACATTGCAGGTGCAGTGGTTTTTGTTCTGTTGCGTTCACGTCATGGCGTCATGGCGTCATGGCGTTTTTTTGTTCACGAACGATGTTTATGAAAAAATTGCCAAGAACTAGGGAAAAATCAAACAGCCTCTGTAAACAAAAGCAAACGTGTTTTTAAAAGTTTGTTTGACTGATTCACAATTAAGAAAAGAATTGGAAAACCAGCATCTGGGCATGCCTGAAAAATAGGGATACTGCAGCAGGCACACAGTGGCAACGTGTTGGGCTCAAACTCAAACACCAAATGCAAAAGAGCGCTCAGCTCTGTTTTCACCAGATGGGCGCAATGCCCAAGTCAGCAGCCCATAGGTCGAGGCTGGGCCTTAATCTATTCTAGAAAAAGGGGCCCCTCCTGAGCCAGATATATTGCAGTCAGAGGCAGTCGAACATGTGGTCGTAGTGGCGAACCTGACATGGAGTGGTTGCACCAGCATAGAAAGAAAGATCAGGTTTGCCACTCAGGTAGTCATCGATCTGGTTGATCGCTGTCTTTCCTTCCTTTTTGTTCTTCTTTGAGGCTATAAACTGTGGATCATATTTCACAGCCCACAGCCATGTTTTGAGGAACTTCTGGAGGCCCACACGACAGTCTGGACGCTTCTTTGTCAGACTATCGCCCAGGTCATAGTCACTGGCCACCCAACGTAGTTTGGAGCCAGCACGCTGAAGATATTCTCGAAGTTGAAGAGCTTGGAGAGCAGAGCGAGTGTTGCTCAGGCCAAGGAGAGGACTCTCATTGTAGAGCACTGCATCGAAACCGCCTTTGCTGTCAGTGCAAAGAAGTCCTTCTACTTGTTTCACCATCTCTTCTGAGAATTCCACTTTGTTGGCATCGCGAGGACGAGAAAGTCCAGCACCATGAATTTCGCACCAAAGAAGTCGGGCGCGGAAATTCCAGTCTTCACCTTCAAGTACTGCTTGAACTTCTGCGTCATTTGATCCAAGAGCTTTGCGACGAAGCTTCCAGGTTCGCCAAGCCAAGAGAGACATGGGGCAAACTTCTCCTTTAAGAGCTTCAGGACCACTCATCAAAGTGATGATCCCACCAGTTGAATCACCTTTGTCTCGATTCGCATGCGCTTGGTCAGCCATTGTTATGAAGCAAACATCGCGCCAGGTCTTCGCAGTTTTGTGCTTGAAGAACTTGAGCTCATAGGATTCACGGCGAATTTCGCCAATCATACGTTGAATTTCCATGGCATAACTCATCTTCCCAAACTTAATGACTTCAGTGAGGAGGAGATTACAACGAGCACAAAGTTGTGGCTGAGTTTGTATTGCTAGCCATTGTAGTGCGCCAAGAGCACCACGGCAAGCTGCAATCTCATGAGAGGTCATTCGTGCATCTTCTTGTCGTAATCTATCTGCAGAGATGTCAAGGTCCGGCAGGGAGTCCACATAGTACTGCTGGTTGACGGTGATGACAAGGTCGCCATCGTTGTCACGTTTCACCTGAACATCAGTGCCAGCATGACGATATGCAGAGTGTTTGGCTGTTCCCCATCGGTACGCTGCATCTATTTTTCTGCAAACTTCGTTCCACTTTGCATTGTTTGAGTCACCAGTTCGATGAAAGTCATCCACATGGCCGCCCATCATGCCAATGGTGAAGGGTTGCTTGGTCTCAGGGTCTTCATCATACCAAACCCAAAGACATCTTTCACCCAAGGCAGGATATCCGCCAAGTCCAGTGAGGGTCTTGTGCAGGTCGAGCCATAGTCCACGAGGAGCAGTAGTGCTACCGTAGATGTTACGCATGACTTTCATGATGCCATTGCTGTCCAACCCAAGTGCTGTGCGAAGTTCAGCTACACCATAAGTCCACAAGTTGGCATCAGCGGACGTAGGAGCCGTCTGGAGAAAAGCAGTTGCTAAATCCAAACCTTCAAGTTGCCACGAGTGTTGACAAGTGGCCTGGTAGAGCAAGTTGCGAGCCAACATAGATTGAACAGGTGAGGACGTTTTGTAGTCCACATTGCCAATCTCTGGGTGTTCAAAACCTAGTAGCACAATTCGTGCCTTCGCCTTCTTGAGACCATCTGAAGTATGTGTTGTGGAAGGATTCGTTGAGGCATCTTGTCGCGCTTCATCTTGATCTTCAGGAGGCACAAGTTTCCAGGTTAACACCCAGCGAGCGCGGACAATGCGTCCACTGCCCATGGCTTCTCGAACTTCTTCATTTCGGTGGCAGGCTTTCACTGCTTCATTCTTGAGGAAGCTGTCAATTTCTTTCCCCTTGGCACGTGCAAAAAGTTCACGATGTTGAGGAGACAATTTGCTGAGAACCACTTCAGAGTCACGCATCTTTTTGACCAGATACGCAGTGGGGCTTCTGAGGAAATTCTTGAACTGCCGGTTTGACACAAAGTCCAAGTCACACTGCATGGAGAGGCAATCCAAGTCATTGTCAACAACCAGATGGTAAAAGTCCAAAAGTCCATCATCTGGCTGATGTAGTTCCTCCACCCATTTGAGGTCATACTGAGAGGAGTGTTGTTCCTTCAGCAGGGTTCTCATGTCTTTGTCATCGTTGATCTTTTGCTTCTTCGGGTCTGGTAGAGGTCGAGGAGAAACATCATAGTCGTTGACATCGCGCTCCAACAACTCTTCAAGGTCAGGAGAGTCAGAAGCCGCAGGTTCCAGTGCTGCAGGTTGAGAAGCACTGCCAGGTTCAGGTAGTAGTTCAACATCATCATCACCTGCTTTGGGCTTCCAGTCATCTGGAGTCAAGGATTTCTTGCCAACGATCTTGGAACGTGGTTGAAGTGCAGGATCAGAAAAAGTGACGCCTTTCTGGAAAACCTTCTTGGCCTTCTTGGCAACAGCTGCAGGCACAGCCGTTGATTCATCAGGTCGATCAGGTAGGTCTGGATGCTCACATTCATCTTCACCAGGAACCTGATCAGTGATGTCAAGATATTCGCGCTGAGGTAGGACATCAGCTAGGGATTTCCATTTGGTGACGTCTTGTTTGTCACACACTTCAAAAGTGACACGCTCGGTGTCGGTGACCGGTCTCACCGAATGAGCACTGCAGCGCAACAGCTGCGATCCCACCAGCACCCATAGGATGTGTCTTCTCTCATCGCCTTCTTCTTGATGATGAAGAACTTCATGGAAAACAACACGTCCTGGGCCAATCCAGTGAGGCTTGATACTTCGTTGAAAACCACCACGTCGGCCAGGAGCAAGTAGGTGTGCAGGCCATTGTTTGCGCCAAACCATGACTAAGTCCATAGGTTCGAAAGTGCGCAAAGGCTGCTTCACGCTGGAGTTCTTGAGCTTTGACATCACACGTAGAGCTCGGGTACGACGTGCAACTTCTTCAGCACCTTGTCGAGCTCGAACCAGGGCCTCATACTCAAAGTGCTTGGTGGTGTCCGGCAAGGAGTCAAAGGTTCTGATCTCTTCATCGGTTATGGTGTAGTCCTTGCCATAGCACCACTGAAAAGAGGAATAGCCCTTGGTATACTCAGTACTGTTGAGAGCCGCACACGCAAGTTGAAGAGAAACTCCAGGAGGAAGAGTTGGTTGTCCAAGTTGAATTGCAGAAGCCGTCATCTTCACATCTTTGATTGCTGATTCAACAAGTCCATGAGCCCATGATTCCTTCTCAGCCGGCAGGCTAAGTTGGATGCCCACATTGGTGAGGAACTCGTTCACGTCGGTGGCCGTGAAGACAGAGGAGTTGTCAGGCACAATAAGTCGAGGTTTCGGCTTATCGGCCAGCCACTTTTCAGCAATCGCCTTGATGACATCTTCAGAACTTTCGGACAACATTTGCGTAAGTCCATACGATTTCACCACATGCACCGCACGTAGTTTGGTGGCAAAGTCAATGAGCAAAATGAATTTGATCTTGATCTTCTGGTCAGGAACATGCCATTCGCTGGAGTCAGCTCCAACGATTTCCCATGCCTTGCACAAAGGGTGTGTTGACGCCCTTGGTACTTCACCTGAGCTTTTGCTGCCTTGTAGAAGTCGATCACAAGCATCGCATCGAAGATCGCGAGCCATTTCAATCTTCCATTTGGGAAGTCCAGCATCTCGGAACAGGTGAATCAAGTTCTTGTTCGTAGGGTGTCCTGCTGCACGATGATAGTGCTGCAGTTTGACATGCCATTCTTTTCGTTCTTGTTCACTGACATCATCGCCATGTTGAGGAGCTTCAAGTATAGAGGGTTCATAGCCGTCAGACAAATCACCATCATCAGGTACAGGAGGAAGAACTTCTTCAACAGGTAGAGCTTGAAGACGTTGAGTCCACTTCACATCACACTCTGCATGCTTGGAGTGCACCACATCGTCAGGAGAAGTCAAGGCTTGTACATGACGTTGAGGAGCAAGTTGATTTTTCCAATGCCGCACAATTGCTTCCACCATCCGCACTGGATAGTATGCAGAGCGAGCTGTTTCAATCCCCTGTATGAGAGCATGTTGATGATTTCGAGGGCAAACCTTGCACTTGAAGTTGCGATGGAAGAGCTCATCATTGGTGCGAATCTCCCAGCGCTTGTGGATAAACGCTGAATCATCAGAGTTTCGCATCCCATAGTTGCATCCATCGATTCTGCAGCGCTCCCATGATTGGCCACGTTGCAAAAGTCCATGCTGCAGCGAGACCATAGGAGGCTGAGACCATCCAGAACATGGAAAAGTCCACTCCCAGTACACATCAATGTCTGGGTCGTCATCAACAGCATTGAGGATGAAGTCCTTGGCATAGTGCATCATTCGACGGTCTCGTCGACGAAGATCTTCGAGGACCGCCTTGCGCTCATCAGTGTTGTAGTTGACATTGGTCCATTGACACCAATGAGTGCACGGCAGTGACAGCCAAAGTTTCTTGGGACGCTTGACTTTTCGCAGGCGTTCCATCTCCATCCATGCAGACTTCTTGTAGAGGTCAAAACCTTGTTTATAGTTGATCCTTCGGGCAGGTAGACCATGGTTGAGAGCCGCTTGAGTCAGCCAACTGTTGTCAGCACATGCAATCTCCCATAAACATTCACGTCCATCCATGGCGATCTTCAAGGCGAGGTGACTCATGGTTGCTGTCATCATCGTCACCATCTTCATGACCTTGGAGCCCATCGTAGTGGTCAAGGGTAGGCTCGAAGAAGTCATTGGCTTTCTTCTGTGAGGATGACTTCGTCTGGTGGTGTCATCCCCTTTCTTGCAAGCACCAGGTTGCGCAAGTCGATCTTTTCCTGCTCGGTCAGGAAGTCCTCCAAGTTGCGACGATCTGGTGAATCCAGAATCGGATCCCAGCTGCTGTGGGAAGGACTTGTCATCGGTGAGCTCTGGTCCATGTAGCCCATGGTGACAACCATCTTCTTCTCCACATTCTTTGAGGCTGCCTTGGACTTTGGAACCTTCAAGGAGTTCTCGACGTTGGGCTTTTCCAGCAGGTACTGAACTTTGTTGTTCAGCTTTTCCTCCGCGGTGATCTTGTCCAGCATGGCTTTCACGATCTCTTCCGTCGGAAGTCACGTTGCGGCCACATCGAAAAAGTTTTCGCAACAGTTCTTCACGATCATGCTTGAGAGGAGAAGATGTAGTAGAGGAAGAGGAACATGACTGCTGAGTGGTATAAAAGTCAAGAGGACGAAACTGCAAAACAGGTTGTGCAAAAAGTGGATCAGCTTCAGCAACAACATTCACTTGTGCATGCCCTTCTGCTCTGGTATGACCACGTGTGAGATAGTATAAAATATCGTACATATAGTGTTTCTTCGGATTGACTGGTAGTTGATATACTTCAGGATTATCATCAACGCCATCCATTGCTAAACCAGATCCAAAATCAACCAACATTTGACAACCATGTGCACCAAGATGATCCATGCCAATCAAAATAGGAACGAGCTGTGACTTGTCAAAGTTGGGCTGGTAAAACTCAATTGGATTTGGAAGTGCATACAATGAGAACGTTTTCTTTTGACCAGAAACATCCGAACAAATTTCCAGTTTGTACCTAGCTCTGCCCCACTTCCCATTGCCGAAGCGAAAGTATGGCCGCTGCGCTGAGAAGATGTTCACAGTCGCCTGTCGATCGTGAGACAAAACAGCTTTCACCAGCTCCTGGGCAGAAACTTCAGGTGCTGCAGAGGCGGTTGCTCCGCAGTCCAGCATGCCATGAGCTTGGGAAGCCAAAGAGCTAGAGCCAGTGCTGGTTGATGCCTTCGTCGTTGAGGCCAGTTCCATGCCATAGAGTGCATAGGCATTCACAGGGTTCTTGCTAAAGCCCTTGCCATTGCCATCTTTCGAATGGTAAGGACTCTTGCCCTTTGAGCAACAAAACATCTCCTGTTCAGACATGTGGGAAAACTTTGACTTACCTTTCTTGCCTTTGCCTTTGTTTTGGAAGAACGTGTCGATGGGGTCAATCATGTAGTGCATGCCCTTGCCCTTCCCAGAAAACTTGCCCTTGGGGTAGTTCCCATGACGTCTATCAGGACAATCCCTAACCAAATGGTTACCACCACAATTGAAACAACGACCATTGTTGACAGTGTTGACATGTCCAAAACCTCGATCACGTTTCAGTTGTTGGGTTGTTTTCTGGGCCTCTTGCCAAGTGCGCCTTGCTTCGGCAGCTAACTGCTCAGCAACCTGTTCAGCTTGAAGAGCATCTTGAAGTCGCTCTTCCTCGTCGGGTGACAAGGTAGTCTGAACTTCCTTGGCAGAGGAGGTTTCGTCGGGCCATTCATGTTCATGCCATTCATCATGATATTGACCATCATTCCACCAACCATCATCGTTTCCCCAAGTCCACATCTCATCATAGTTAATCTCATAGCCATCATCCCATCCATCATCATGCCATTCATGCCATAGAGCATTGTTAGAACTTCCATGACGTCCAGCATGTTGTGAATATCGGTGGCCAAGCAACTGTTCGTCCCAAAGTGCAGACAAGGCTTGGCTGATGGCTTCGAAGTCCAATTTGTTTTGAGTAGTGGACAAAATGTCTCTAGTTTCTTCTGGGGTGAGGCTTGCAGCCTTCAACAAACGCCAACCACGTAGGACACCCATGATAAATGAGTCTGCCAAAGAAACTTCTGAAACATCTTGGGGTATTTTGGGCTTTCCCGGATCACTTTCAGGTCCTGGCGCAGAATGCTCAGAGGCCGCACCAACTCGATGACTCGGTGAGGAGCCTGGAGCCGCACTTACAGGAGGTTCAGCGCCTTGCTCAGGAGAGGCTGCAGCTGCCGCAGTAGCCGCAGGATCATGCTGATGTTCCGCATCACCAGTAGTGACATCCATGCCCCCCATATAGCCATACTCATAGTCATCATCCCACCAATCCCATTCAGAAATAGGTGGCAAACCAAAATTTCTTTCAGCAGGATCAATACCGGTCTGTTCTTCCCATAGCCGAATGAGGGCTTCAGAAAACTCTTCATATCCCAAAGTTTCACGTACCAAGAAATTTGCCATTGACTCACCAGGCTGTCGCCTAAATCCCAGGTATTGTTGAAGAATTGCAGCTGTATTTGGTAATGTCTTTCGAACCAGTGGAGAACCAGCTAACTTCTTCAAAAGATTCAGGGTACCGTCCGGAGAATCAAATTCTGCTCTTGACCATGACATAGCTAGAAGACGAGCAGGACCAGATAGTCTTGAAATCAATTTGGAGGCCACATATCTACGTTTTTTGGTGGGGGTCGATGCAACAAACCATGCAACCTCTTTTGTGTATCTACGCCAATTTTTCGCCTGTCCATCCCATGAAGGAACACTCTCATCACTGCGAGTCGCCATTGCTGCAAAATGCAGGCTTGGGGGCAAAAGTTGATCGTCAGGATCAGGTCAGTCTCCACTTCGCCTTCACGAAGTCAAACTCAAGGAAAAAGCGCTAAAATGAAAATGAAAGCTCGTGCAAAAAGAATCCAGGGTTGCCGTTCGGCAAAAAAAGGGTTCACCGCCGCAAGGACGCCGGCCAAGTTCTCAAAGGCTAGGTCGGGTCGCAGCAGGTGCTAAGGTCCCGGAGCGTAGGTGCTCCGCTACCAATGCAGCAGGCACACAGTGGCAACGTGTTGGGCTCAAACTCAAACACCAAATGCAAAAGAGCGCTCAGCTCTGTTTTCACCAGATGGGCGCAATGCCCAAGTCAGCAGCCCATAGGTCGAGGCTGGGTCTTAATCTATTCTAGAAAAAGGGGCCCCTCCTGAGCCAGATATATTGCAGTCAGAGGCAGGTGGTCGAACATGTGGTCGTAGTGGCGAACCTGACATGGAGTGGTTGCAGATACCCCAATATATGAAAAAAGGTCTACGTCTATACATTTGAGCCATGTTCTCCTCGGTTTCCTTGCAAAAACATGAATGTCGTAAGCCTAATGCCAACAACCGAGGTGTAAGCTCCCGATTATGGTAAGTCAGTACCTCCCATTTGGGGAGTGTAAGCCTAGCTCCCAATTCTGGAAAGTCATGTGTGGACTGTTCATGAGTTTTGGGGGTTACCACATTAGCAAGATATGCTGATTTCGTCGGATTTTATCACCGACTTTCTCTCTCAGAAAATAAACAGATATCTTTGATACTTAAGACCCCTGTCAAACCCAACCCCCCTATAATTCATATATCTTTGATAGTTTAAACCCCCATCAAATCATATCAAATCCTTACATAACTGATAGTGGTAAAACCCAGACATTCTATCTATAGCTGTGATGCTTATATTTCCCACTAAAACATCCCACTTTAAAGTGACTTTTTTCTTCATCGCTCACCTCCCCAGCACTCTACCGAGGCGCGCTTGAACCTGCGCGGAGGCCTTGAAGTTGGGCAGCTGATCCAACGGCAACAGCAGCAGAGCGGTCTGCAAAGCCATGATCCTGGGACAATATGGAACTTGTTGGGCTTCACTGGTGGGAAGCCAAATGCCTGGAATATCTGGAATCTGCCAAAAAAAAAAAACCAGAGCGTTGGAGGACATCAATAGGTTTCTCAACTGATTTTTCTTGACCTGAGACATCATATGGAGACTCCGGGGACCACAGATTCTAGTCTATGTTTAGTATTCACCATCTATTTTTAGGGTTACCCAATTCTGACCCATAACAATATGGCAGTGTGTCAAAACCTTGTACCCCTGGTGAACATCAAAATAGCTGGTAAATGGATGTTCATCCCCCTAAAAATGGTATAAATAGGTATTGATCCATACCCATATGGACATAACAAAAACATGGCTGCCCAGCTGCCACATGAGTAGCCCGAAGTGCGACAAGGCGTGCAGGATCAGAAGACCAAAGACCAAGGTCAGGTAGAGGGGCAACAAGCGTGGCACGTTGTGCCTTTTTTAGGGGCGATTTCTGATGGAAAAGAACCATATGATGGGGATGTGATGGGGATAATATTTCTAGATATACTGGGGATATACCAAGTATATGATGAAACATCATGCAATTAATAGTCATATAGTGAAGTTTAATGGGATATCACCAAGTATATGAGATTTCACAAAACTCGGTGGCACCCCAAACAACAAAACTTCCCAATTGCTTGGAGGATTTGGTACCCCTATTTTTGCTGGGAAGAACCTCAAAACTCTTAAATCCTCCATGATCTCTCTATAGTTGTTGATTGGTGGGCTGTTTTTGGCATGGGGCTGTAATACGCCGCCCTTGGGAGGCTTGTTTCTTTTGAGCTGTTTGGCTTGGGGCGAGGTCGGGGATCTCTGTTTTTTCACGTTGATAGGACGGCTTCCGTTGATGTTCCTTGTTTTTATGTGGCGAAGTTCTAGCGTTCACAAACCCTGGAAAACTGAAGTTTGGCCATGGACTGTAATGTTCAAACCTGAACCAGGCCGGAATCATTTCGAGAACTGTGTCAACAAACACTACCCATTTTGATCCCAAAAAAATCCCGCCAGAGATTCCTCATCCATCGCCGGAAAATCGTCCAACTCTGGGATTCACCACCATGGTTTTCTGTGTATCGAAAACTGTCGGATCGTTCATAACGGTTGGATCCTCCTTTTTTGGTATTCTCGCCTGAACAGAAGTTGCTGAACCCAACAGAAGTTGCTGAACCCAGCACTTGGCCTGAACAGAAGTTGCTGAACCCAAAATATCGCTTTGAAAAGTGGCTTCTCGACATTGAAATTCCTGGCCGTTTCCGGTCAAATCTTCATCTTTACTCGAATCCCTATTTTTCCCTGTAAAATCATGTTTTTCTCTTGAAGTACTGTTGATGGAAGAAATCCTGCACCACCAAAAGGATGGTTGAAACCCTATAGTGGGATAAACCATCGTTTTCAACTGGTGATTCGGATTTCGCAACCATCCACAGTAGCACTCAAATCATAAAAATCCCAAGCTTTTGTTGGATAAAAATCCCTTAGAAAATCAGCAACGCCCAGCCCGCCGTGCCCGCCTTAGCCGCAGCAAGGCATCCGACTCCCCCCGCCGCGAGCGACGCTTGGGGCCGCCGTCCACGTCCAGGGCCAGGAAGGAGGACCAGGAGAAGGGCAGAAGAAAACCTGGAGAAACGGGGATTGAAAATTGTCATATATATATATATGGCTAATATTGGTGAATATTCCTGAAATATGATATTGTTAATATTCCCCAATAATGGTCAATATATATATACATATATATGGTGTGTGTATATATATATATGTACTGGTTGGTGGGCTTAACCATCTTGAAACATATTAGCCAATGGGAAGGATTATCCCATATATTATGGAAAATAAGAAATGTTCCAAACCACCAACCAGATGTGTATGTATATATATATATGTGTTTTATATAACTCTATATATATATATGTCATATATATATATATATCCATATCATTCTAGATCTATGGGGATTGATTTTATCCATATCATTCCATATCTCTAGTCAACCCTGGATTTTGCCAAACCATGGTTTATTAATTAGGGGGGTACTCCTCCAATCGTCATAATCTAATACTTAAATTGTACTTAAATGGTACCCTCCCAATTAAACAGCCTAGGGGTTTACCAATCCAGGGTTGACATTATGGGGCTTGATTTTTTTCATATATGCCAATTGGACCATATTGGTGAATATGAAAAATATCAACCATTGGACCATTGGGGAATATTAGCCATATTTCAGGAATATTAATTATGTATATGTGTGGTTACTATTGTGGTTCATTACATGTAGTTAATATGTGTGTTTAATATTGCTTAATGTTGACCCGACTGGACCATATTATATACATATGGTTAATATATTGGTGAATGTTCCTGAAATAATGGTTGATTATATATTGTTAATATTCCCCAATAATGGTGAATATATATATATATTATATATATAGTTATTGCTCCCAATTGGATATAGAATGATACAAATAAAAGATGGATAAAATCTGTCAACATCAATCCCATAGAAATCCCATGGGCATAGCATCCATGGCAACCTATGAATCTATGTTCATATATCCCAATTGGACACGCCCCAGAAAGATGGGTGAAACTATCGATTACATATGGTTCATATTCCCCAATAATGGTTGATTTATCCCAATGATGTTGGGGGATTGACAGATTTTATCATATTTTATCTATATCATTCTAGATCGAATCAAAGTATTATCTGATCTGATCCAGCTTCTTCATGTTTGTCTATAAATGTGTTACGTGGATGACATGGATGAAGATATAATAAGATATATAGACTATAGGTAGATAAGATATCATAAGATATATAAGATAAATTATGATAAATTCGTAGATAGACATGAAGATTTGTCTATAGATGAATGGTGCTTTAGAAACCGGTTAAACCTGCCTTAAAATGTACCCTCTGGTAAATTAACATAGACCCTGGCAGATAGGGGTTGGAAGACTAGTTTCCATTAAAAATTGGTGATTTTCAGGGTCTATGTTTGTTTACCAGAGGGTATATCATTCACCAAACATCAGGGGATCTTTCTGTGATATCCCAACAAACGGCATGGTGAAATCCCCCTGAATCTTCTTCGGTGGCCGGTTGAAATCTGTGGGTTAAATCACCCAGCGGTTGAATGTCTACGGGCCTTTGCCCCCCATTTTTGGCATGAAAAAAGTAGGGAAAATGAATGAAAATGATGATGTTTACCATGAAATTCTGTACTTCATTTTCAGATAAACCCAATTTTCAAATGGAAATCTCTGCAATTGTGGAGAATGCCTCCACCAAAACCCACCGCACCTAAGGGCGACTGCCAGGGCAGGCGTTCAGCCAAGGACGCCAGGCGACTCCGCGCCTCGCAACTCGGAGGCCCCTTTGGGCGCTGAGTGTTCCATCAGTTTGCATCATTGAATGATGATCAGTGGTTTTTCCATGTTCCATGAGTTTTTCCATTTTCCATCAGTGTTTTCATTTTCCATCTATTTTTCATATCATGTTTTGGGGCTCAGGGGTGATTTTAGATATACTTTTGGATAGGGAATGATGAGCTACACCAGCCAGAACATCATCACTTTATTTGTAGATCATATTAGTGGGTCGATATGCTAAATCCAGAAAATATAAACCAATTTTGGGTGGTTTTTTGGTGCCGTCCGAATTCTAAAACTCGGGTTCACTGGTTGCGATGCAAAAAAAAACGATCTTTGATCCATATCTGTGTGAATACTTGTGCACTTGCGCAATCTCCGTATCAATCAATACATGACATAAAGTGCAAATACATAGACCGTGCAAAATATGGAGTTGGGATGCTACGTTCGTCATCGGATGAATGATTTCCAGGGTCTTCTTTTCTGCGGGTGGAATGCTATTATAAGTTATGTAAAATCAATATCTAACTATCTACAGTATAAATTTAGAGTTTCATATCAATATATCAATATTAACAACACTAATAATAACATCATATCAATATTCATATGGTTATCAATATTACTCTGTCAACTATATATATCATATTACTGTTCTTATTCATATAATCTATATTATATATATAATAATATACATACATAGCACGTATCTATTCCCCACCCCTCGGCCTTGCCCAGCTCCCGCCTCCGGCTCCTCAAAGCTCCAGGACTCTCGCCGCAAGAGCTCTTCCAGCACGGTGTGGGCCACCGTGGCCTAGTTTTGGGACACGGGGAATTCATCTGTGAAACATGGTTTGGTGTATATTTCAAGCCATGGTTCTGGCTATACAGCTATATTATGGAATGCTCCAAAAAATGCTCGAAATATGAAAGTACATAATAGTACCTATTAGTAGTTTTAGATTATAGGTGATACAAGTATCGTAGAATGGTGATGACCGGTAATTTTCTCAATATCAGATCAGTGGGGAGGAGAAAACTTCCCCACCTGCAAGGTGAGGACCCAAGACTTCGAAGAAGTTGCGGACGACTCTTCCACTTCGTCCTGGTTTCCACGGGTGATCCACGGGTTTCCACGGGTGACAGACCATGGCATGCCTGGATTTCCCATGGTTTTCTATGGGAATGCCATGGTCACAAGAAAACCATAGAAAACCCAGGTATGAACTAGAAAAAACTGGTTGTTGTCCATAGATTTTCCATAGATTTTCGGGTGATAGCTGAGAATTCTACTGGGGATATGTTCCAACCTTATTGTTGGCAGCATCCAAAGGTGCCAGCGCCAGCGCTGCTTGGGGCGATCCCGCGATCCCAGTAAGGAAACACTCCAATGGCCCCACATCATGTTACTTCCGAATTGCTCAAAGCCCATTAATGCCTTGCCATTGCCGTTGGTATTCACTGCGCGGTCATCCATGACATCATGTTATATGTCATATTCTTGCGATTCTTGTGTATATGTCCTTGCCTTTGCTGTCACTGTTGCTTTGTCAAACAGACAGGATAAACTACAAGTTCTTTGGTGGCGACCGGGTTACGGGTCAACTAAAGCCGTTTTTTGAAACTTTTGCTAGAGCATTGCTAGCGGGGATCTAGCGGGTAAAATTACGTACAAATTAGCAAAGTTGAGCCGCAACCTCAAAAATATAGGGAAATTGTTGAGTAGCACAGAAAATCACTAAGACATCCTTAGGTTTAAGGAGCTAAGTGTTACATCTTGACGTTTCTTCATGTTGAAATAACAAGCAGACAGGAACACAAGAAAATATCCTTGAACATGGGTGTGGAAAAAAACTAGCGCAAACCTAGCGAGTTTGCTAGCGCTGCTTTGCAGAATTGGTGAATTTAGTTGCGTGCCGCCTCATAACGAAGCGGAAAAACCACTAGGTCCACATTATCAACTAGTACAAAACTTCTGTCAACTATTTTTGGCAAATGGTCATATATGTTTTATTAATTCTGTTTTTAATGTATATATGTCATATAAATATATATCACTTAAATTATATCTCTGTTTTTTCCTATACCCCCCATGATCCCTGTCCTCGGCGCCCATTGCATCGCTTTTCTTCTTCCTTTTGCTCTTCTTCTTCGCCGACGTCGTGAAGATCTTCTCACGCTCCGCCGCGGGTGGCACCTCGGGCTCCTGTGCAACGACGCCGTGGATGCCGTGTGGACATGGGGAACTTCACCAGCAAAAGGTTGATCTTACGATTAAAAAAAAAAAAACTGTAAGGTGAAAATGTGTTTTTTTATGGTGGAGGGTTTTCTGATTCAGTTTAGCCTATCAAAATTCATGAATCAATCGTGTTTGGGCCAACAAACTCCGATGATGCCTCAATCCCCAGTGAATTCCCTGTGCTTTCAATCAACATCTTGCTCTTGGCAACATCAACATGTAAAATCACCATGTTTACCCTCTGGCAATGACTGTTACAGTTTGCTATTGAAGCCATGGCCCATAGAAATAGTTAGATTTACCCATTGAAAATTGTGGATCTTTCCAGTTCGTTATGTAAACGTTTATGTTCCATTGGGATAATCAATGTTCCATTGGGATAATCAATGGGCTTTTATTGTTCATTTCTTAATGGATTCCATAATGGGTGATTTTCCTTGACGTTTTTTCTATATTTACCACCATTAACCATCATTAACCACCATTAACCATCATTAATCACCATTAATCACCATTAATCACCATTAATCACCATTAATCACCATTCCAGAGGGTACCCTCCGGTAAACTAACATAACTATGGAAAATCAACATTTATAGGGAATTTTCCCATGAAAAATTGTGATTTTCCATAGTTATGTTAGTTTACCGGAGGGTACCATGTTTTTTGGGCAAAATCCTGTTGATTTCCCCCTCCAATGGGCCTCCTCGGACTCGGCAACGGACTCTTCGACTTCCACGCGGCCCCAGCGGCGTCCTCATCGAAGGACGCTGAGAGATGACCACGCTGGGTGCGAACGAAAACATCCAAACATATCTTGAAAAAAGATATAGAACATTATAGAACTATGTGGATCAACCACATAGATCAACATAAATCAACGACATAAATCTATAAAACCAATTTATGTTGATTTATGTTTAGAGGAATTGGATTCAACTCGAGTAATTACATTAGGATTCTTAGGGTTAAGAGCTGATACAAGAATATCATTGTCAATTATCAACAAAAAGTAGAGACTTCATTGGGAGTGATTATGAAGTGTTTAAAGTCAGTACGTCAACAAGTGTGGAAAAAATCAACAAGGATGGTGACGTCAATAAACCAAAGCAAAGAAACAACTCCAAAAACAGCTCCATGTTGTGCTGGTCAAACCAAACAATTTGAATTCCTGAGGTCTACGGGTCTACGGATCACTCTCAGTAGTCAATTTGCAGCTCTTTCCCAACAAAAATCCAGAAAGAACACTGTCGCAATTTTGGACATCTTGAACTCTTCGCTTTAAAGCAGAAAATTACGCTTTTGCCGTGCAAATCACCATTTTGATGGTATCCTCAATCCAAACGCCATGTGTTTGTCAAAATGGAGGATACCATCATTACACACCAATTATTTCAGAGAAAATCATGGGGATGGGTCAAAACCCTGGTACCCCTTCTGTTCACATCAAAATAGCTGGTATTTATGGATGTGAATAACCCACTAAAAATGGTATCATAGGTATTGACCCATACTCACCAGATATCACCAGGTAATCCCTCCACGATGCGTTTCCTCCATTCGCCATGGATGCCAATGAGGCTTTCTTTGGCGCCGTGGGTGGAACGCCTTTGGACTTGGTCACCTTGGTCACGAAGTCCTGTGGCCAAGTCAGGGCCGGCTCAATGGAATGGCTGGATTCAAACACCGACAGTAATGATGTTATGAGATTTGGATACCCTCTGGTAAACTAACATTGACATTTTTAGCATCACCCTATCATCCCATGATATATGGTATATGTATGGTATATATGCTTGGTATATGTTGGTATATACCCTCTGGTAAACTAACATAGCTATAGAAATCACCATCTTTAATAGGTAAATCAACTATTAATGGTCATTTTCCATAGCTACGTTACATTACCAGAGGGTAGATTTGGTGTGATTTTAGGTATTAAACATGATAGTCATTGGATTCAAAGTTAAATCTACAGGTAACCATGGCTACCCTCAATGAAGAGGTTTTCTGTAAAAATGTCAAGTTTTCCTGCATCCAATTCCAATCAAAACTCAGTGGATGGCCAACACTGGGAATCACTAGAAAAGGTAGCCAGATTCTGGAGTCCATCGATGGCACACACAGAAATAGTTTGTTCATGTTTTTTGGCCATTGATCGCTGGTGTTTTTTCTTTCAACGTGGATCAAACACTCCATCCAAAGTTGGAATTTGCACAAAAACCAGCACACCGAATATCCCAAATCAGCCTATATTCTGAACCACTATATTATGAACCATATTCAAATCAGGCTATATGATGAATTTCCAAAAATCAGCCTATACCCAGTTTGCTGATGCCACAGCGTCCTGTGGGGCCTTTTCAGCCGAAACTGGCGGAACAGGCAGAACAGGCGGTGGCGGCGGACGGACAGTCTCCTGCCAACAACGAGAGCATGGACGTCAAAGTCAATAGTTAGCAGATTACTAGAAATGTTCATCTTGAAAACTAAGGTGTGTAATAGAAATTTGATCGCTATGTCCTTTTCAAAACTGGTGTTTAGAGAAAATAGCAGCCAAACCAAGGTGATTTGTGGGATGTTCCAAAAATTCAAAGGGACTGCATCAATCTGGTTGAGGTCGACAAGGGCATAGCGATGGTGAACCTCCACAAATTTTGCATACTCCACTGATCACAAAACATACCCTCTGGTAATTTGTAACAGTTTGCTATTGAAAATGACCCATAGAAATAGTGGATTTTCCCATGAAAAATGGTGATTTTCCATAGCTATGTAAACGTTTACCAGAGGCTATCCCATTTTTAAACCCTGAAAATGGTCAATTCTTTTTGGCAAGTGGTCTGCCAACCCCCTCTTTGACAGGGGCTGTGTGAGTGCGGGGGATGGTATCCCAAAAACATATCCTTCTATCTTCAATTGTTTACTATATCCGCCACTTTCCATTGGTCAATCACGATCTCAGTCCAAATGTTCCCACAAGGTTCACAACAACATATCCCAAGAACAGGAAGCTTTTCCTTACGACCATCACAATAAATCGGTGGAGACAATTCTATCCTAATAATTTTCCAAAAAACACATCCCAAAAAAAATATCACCAGTTCATAAAATCCTAGAGCTCACTGCCACCAGGCTGACAGCACTGATGGACTCCTCCCAGAAAAAGTAATCATCGGCGCCGTCCGCGTCGTTCTTCGCCACGTCCGGCGCTGGACTGCGGACCTGGCTGAGGCGAACAGTTGACCGTGATCTATGGGTTTTACATATTATATATATGGTTTAATGGGTTTAATAAAATATGGTGACTATAGAGGTTTAATCAACAAGAAACAGGGATGTTAGTGGATATACCCTCTGGTACACGTTGACATAACGAACTGGAAAATCAAAACCATTTGAAAAATGAGTAAATCCACAAAGTAAATCACAATTTTCAATAGCAAACTGTTAAATTACCAATCCAGACTACTGTCATAATCACAATCAGAGTGTGAGTTTTTGAAAAACATACTTATACAGTCTTATACTACGGTTATGATTATGATAGATGATTAATGATTATGACTGATGATTAATGATTATGGTGACATTGATATGGCGATCGTTTGAATAGAAATAATGGTTAATTTATGTCGACATCATTACGAAACATCATTATGATGTTACCACTAATGATAATATGATCATGTTGAATGCTGTTCTGATTGTGATATGTATGTATATATATATAACTATTGATAGCTATTAATAAGTATTCTAATAGTAGTATATATTAATATATCACAATATTGATACACAAATATGCTATAGTTATTTCACAACATTGATACAAATAGATAAGTAGTATATATATATATACATACCCTGTGGTTATTTAACATAGCCATGGAAAATCACCAATTTTCAATAGGTAAACCATCTATTTCTATGGGCCATCTATACCATGGCTATGTTAGTCATAACCAGAGGGTATATATTATATTGATACTAAATGCTATTCTCTACTGACCTACATACCGCCCCCATCTCGGGCCAGTCTCCGTCATCATCAGAAATTCTACGACCGTGGAGATAGAGGTTGAAAAATGATGATATGAAGAATATAAGGGTTTATCACAAGTAGAATATCTGATGATATAAACCTCTATCTGATGATATGATGATATATTCCCTCTATTCTGACCCCACAAAAAACGCACAAAAATCGGGGGACGGAAAAAAACATGTTGGCTACCGACCCACTATCACTAGCACCACCATCCCTTTGGGGTCCATGATTTTTGTTTACCCATTTCAAAAACCCCGTGGTGGTCAAACATAATTTCTGTTCTGAGATTGTCTGGTTTCACACTCATAAGAAAATAATGAATGGGTGATTTTTTTCATAATTGTCCATAAGAAAATAATTGATGATTTTTTCAATGCCCAGACAACTTTTGTATGAATGGAAATTAATAGGCTATCCCAACATCTCTTGGTTTCAAACATCTCTCCATTTCGAACCCTTAGCAGAAACATCGCTGGCAAATCCTATGGCTTGAGACGAACCTATCTATGTATCTAGTATAATAGATATGTCTACAGTTTAATGTGTATGTACACATTACATACATACACACATTTTCTACATGTGTGTTATATACCTTATGTATACCATATATCTTGTTGTTGAACCTCAAATGTTTCTTGTGTTTGAATCCTATATGTAGGTATTGCGTGTATTCATTCACATTCCATATCAATCCCAATGGTTGTTGGTATCTATTCCCATCAACTGGTTTACCATCAAATCCTGTAAGTATCATATAAGTATCCCATCCAAATTCTCCGTGAAATATCATGAAAAACATAGATTCTATTTCCCCACCATGGTTTATCCCATTATATGAAGGTTTCCCAAAATAGGGGTACCCCAAAATCATCTGTACCCCCAGTTCTCGAAAACCCCCATTATCTTAATCAATGTATGGTATATTTTGATTATATCTATATCCCATATAATTTCCATATATATTATATATCCCATCCCCATTGGTTGTGGAATCCCACGGCTCTCCTTACCTGCGCTGCCGCTTCCGCCCTCAGCCGCTGTGCCAAGGTCAGGCCGTTGGTCCAGGAACTCTTCGCCTTCACCTTCGGTTGGTCCAAGGCCACAGCTGCAGCACCTGGAGGCATCGACTTCTCTAAACATGGTAAAATATGGTAAGAATTTATGGTAAAAAATCTGGCATATGGAATGACAAACATATGGTAACAATATGCCCAACATATGGTAATAAAACATGATGCTGTTCGCCTCGGCCGCTGTTGCTGGGCGCCGCCTTCGGCGGCGCCTTGCGCGCCGCCGCCCAGCCGGCGCTCGGCGCCGGCGGCGGCGGCTCCGCCGGCGCCGTCGAACGGCGGCGGCGCAGCGCAGCTTCGAGGCGCTCAGGGGCCGTGGCGCGGATCTTCTTGGCATCCTGGGAGACTGGTGACGAACCTACAAGTCGTGAGGCCCCCGGCCACGATAGCGTTCAGTTGGTGCCAATAACTCCAATTTCACGAACTGGTTTATGGTACTTATAACTATAGTTACTGGGGCTTATAAACCAACTTATAACTGTATGGTACGCAAATAACGAACTAGTTACTGGGGCGAATCTAGTCACCAACGTTCACATCACGTTTGGGGGCCGCACATTGTAGGTGACTTAGGTTACATAAGGGACTCTTATAGATGTTCCATGAGATTCTTATGGGGTATTTTGTGGATTTTATGGAGGTTCACCCTGGATGGCTGGTGACACTGGGATATTCTGTGGGATATTTCATGGACTGTTTTGTATATTTTATGGACTGTTTTGTGAGATGATTTATGGAATATGTTATGGGATACTTGATGGTATATTTGATTTTGTATATGTTTATGACACAATCAGGGATATTCTATGGAATATGTTGTGGGATACTTTATGGATCTTTATGGGATATTTGGTTATTTTGTATGGATTGTAGGATGTTGACCCTGGAAGGCTTCTTTGGCATATTGTTTGGGGATTATAGGCTGATACCCTGCTGAACATTCTAATGGCTGGAAACTTGTGAAATCTTGTGATTGAAAAAAGGCCATGGAGCTAGTTACGAAGTTACGAATTGCTCATTGTAGTGACTTCTTTTGTGGGTTTTATCTTGGTTTTAGTGCTTTGTGACTGGGTGTACTTCATGGAAAATCAGGAAAAAGGAAGCGTTTAGAATGTGATTGACAAGACCCCCTTAGCAACCAAACTGCATTACATTGCATTACTCTCATAATATTTCAACAAACACATCCATCTGTCACCGAAAAATGTGTTGTTTTTCTTGCTCCAACAACTCGGGATCCTCGTAGCGGCGCTGGAAGGACTGAAGATCCGAGTTGGATTTGAAGCTATGCCGTCCCGCTTGCCATTTGACCTCGCTTTTTTAGCTGGAAAACTGGCCACGAATATGGAAGGAGGGATGGTAAGGTTGAAAGGCTGACATAGGTTTGATATGGTTTGATATAGTTTTGGGCAACTTCGATCATGAATTTGTGGGACTGCTATCACATTATCACTACATATCATGAACATTCATGGTATATATGATGATGTTTTTGGCGAATAGATCATGAACTGCGAGGGCTAGTTTTGGCGACAAGCTGCATAGATGGGCTCAAGCTCCTTCCATTGCGCATCAGCCTCCCGAAATTTCCAAGTCGTCATGGGTTTTAGCTCATGGGTTCTGCTGACCAACCAGGCTTTTTCCCACTTGATCAAATTTCCCGGATAGATCATGATAGATCACTGTTTAATATGCAAACCATCAAAGAAGGTTATTCCTTGGTTCAGCTCCATTTTCCCACATCCCATAGTTGTCCCATAGTTGTCCCATAAAGTGCTCCTCTTTTCTCCATGGTTCAACCCAGCATTTCCCCAGTGAAACCCCAGTTTTCCCAGATTTTTCCCAAAAATCCTCCCCAAAAAAAATAACTGGTTGGTTTCTCACTGGTGTTTATCCTAAACAAGAAATGCAACACCTGTGTCATTTTCAGTGTAGACACTTGTTAGGATAATATGTTGAGTCAATTATATACTGGTTGGTGGTTGACCTACCCCTCTGAAAAATATGCTCAAGTCAGTTGGGATGATGAAATTCCCTATATATGGAAAGTCATAATCCATTCATGTTCCAAACCACCAACCAGATGATATGATTATTATCCCAACATATATTTCACCACGTTTCCCCATCGCTTCTCGCAAAGTTTGCAATGCATCCTCCATCCTGAGATGGAATCTTCCATCTTTTCCCACCTTTTTACCAAATTTCCACTAAAAGAATGACAAATGATATGATTATGGAGGATATGGTATGAGTATATAATGATTAGTTACCAAATTTCCTGGATATTATCCCAACATGTTTCACCAACCTTTTCCCAACCCAGCCCCCAACAGCCTGCTTCAGCTGCTCCTCGATGTCCCGTACCTCCTTCGCCTCCGCTGCCGACGACGTCTTCACCTTGGCCAACAGCGCCTGGACGCGCTGCACGGCGCTGGCCATGCGATCATTGGACGCCTCAAGGCCGTGTCGCGCCATGTGGAGATGGCGGTCATGGGTGAAACGTCTTTAAAATGGTGAAACATATGGTGAACATCTCTGGTTGGTGGTTTCAACCATCTTGAAAAATATGAGTACATCACATATAGAAAATGGAAAATAAGACATGTTTGAAACCAGCAACCAGCATAAAATGTGATAAACGGTTGTTTTTCAAAACCACTGCGTTCTGAGACATAGGGGCAACATCTCATAAATATGAAGAAGTGTTTTTTTTGAAACCACCAAAGTGTTTGTTGCGACACTCGCGGATTTCTCAAATAAAGATTGGGAATTTATTTATATAACCAACAAAATGAAGAGCATCCTGCCCATTATAGGGAAAAACATTGTCGTTTTGGGTCTTGTGGGCCAAAAACCTATCTGTGGAGTGGTTTCTCACTGGTGTTTATCCTAAACAAGAAATGCAACACCTGTGTAATTTTCAGTGTAGACACTTGTTAGGATAATATGTTGAGTCAATTATATACTGGTTGGTGGTATACCTACCCCTCTGAAATATATGCTCAAGTCAGTTGGGATGATGAAATTCCCAACTGAATGGAAAGTCATAAAATTCATGTTCCAAACCACCAACCAGTATATATATAATATCCAGTGATATTTTGTTGGTTATCTGCCGGCTACCTATTTCAGTGACATGTTTACAGTGACATCTACTCTGAGAACTGGTCGATCTGCCCCCTGCTGCACCTGGCTTTGAAGTTTCCGGAGTTGAGCCTCGTGGGATTTCGAGGGGTGGCAGGGAAATTCGAAGCAAAAATAAGTCCGGGTAGGATTTACATTTATAGTACCATAAATAGCTAGGTGACCCTTCCGAATCCATAAAACATGGTTATCATTGTGGGAGATTTGCACCATTCAATGTTGGAAATGCCACCAATGAAGCGATTGGAAACATCACTCTCCAGCAGGTCTTTCTGTTTCGATCTCTTCCCCAGAACTGGTTTTGCCCAAAACTGGAGGATGAACTAAACCGATTTATGGCAATTTTTTTCGGCGAAAATGATGATTGCCATTTTGGATTTGGATTTTGATGGATTTCAGGGTTTCCAATGTTCATGGCTAACCTTAGATCCTTGCAAACAAACCAATTGCAAGTAGTGCAAAAAGATTTAAAACAACCCCCTTGCCAGTTGATTTACCCATATATTCATGGTGAAATAACATATTTTGTTGACTAGTTTTAGCATGCTTTAACCCCCTATTAACATAGATTTTTAGACAACCCATATTGGGCTTTTCTGGGGGGTTTTCCCATCATGTTCAGGCAATTTTTGGGATTCATGAATCCAGGGATGAGATGATTGAAATTGGCCATAAGAATCCATAAGACATTCAGGAAACATTCTGAAAAACCATATGAGGAGGTTTCCGAAAATGGCGGTAGCCATAAAAATTATCCATTTTTGTTTGGGGATTGTCCTTTTTACATAAAGCATCCAGCTATTGGGGATCACCCCCCGAGATCATCTGCAGCCTCTAAGAACTCTTCGGCTTTGGGCCGTTCGCGTCGAGTCAATGGCTCCTCGCCCATGACATTTGAAATCTGAAAAGCTGTACAAATGGGTTTATCACATTATTATACTTCTTGGTTTTCATCCACCTGGCTTGCAACAGATTTATGTCATCGTTTCCAAAAAAACCTCTGGTAAACGTTTACATAACGAACTCACAATGTTTCATGGGAAAATTCACTATTTCGACTGGGCCATGGCTTCAATAGCTATTTTGACATAACCAGAGGGTGCCTCCTCAATATCCTTGGCGATGCAATTCATGGTCAAAACATGGGATTCTTCGTACGGCCATCGGATGTGCCCCCTGGATTGATGACCATCCAATGTGAGAGATGACCATCTTGTTATGACTAACAGTTCGCCATGGAAAGATCCACCATGCTATTAAGAACGGTAAACCATCTATAAATCGATTAGGGCCATGGCTTAACCATGGCGAACTGTTAACAGTCATAACCAGGCCGGGTAATCCTGGTTGGTGGTTGAGCCACCCCTCTGAAAAATGATGGACCACCAATCAGTTCCGGGATGATGAATTTCCGTTTCTGGAAAGTCATGTCATCCATTCATGGCAACCAGTCACCACCAATCAGAATCCAATTTCTGACAGTGGATGATGTATCACATTAATATATATAGATTAATTCTATCCCATAAGTTTCACATGTAAAGTATCACAAACACATTGTAGTTTGTTATACATCCCACCAGACTATATCCCCATCAACATCCAATGAAATCCCTATTTTCTAAGTTTCACATCTCCAATAAAAATCCCTGATGTTAGTAAAGCTATGTTGATGGGTTCTAAAGTTTTACCACCCATTTAGACCCACATAAATGGTGAATGTGGGGGTGGTCCCTACGTTTGTTGAAAATCCCATGCCACGAGGACACAACGACCTTTTGGTGCGCCTCCAACACTGCACCCATCTGCCGACGCAGCTGTGTCTGGGCGCTCAGTAGTTCATCTTTTTGGTCCAGCAGGAGCTGTTCCTGTGATGTGGTGCCAAAAAAATCATGGGACATTTTCCTCATTAAAAATGGTGATTTACCCATTGAAAATGGTGATTGTCCCATTCAAATGGGTGGATTTTCCATAGTTATATGTGAACGTTTACCAGAGGGTATATGGATCTGTAGATTCATGCCAACTATGGTGACTGGGAAAATGCTTGGAAGGTGATGGACAATTTTACATGGGGCAAATCATTTTGATGGTAAGGAAATGATGAATTTGGGATGAACAATCATTGGAAAATGACTGGGAAAATCAAAAACATAGGGAAAATAGTGGGGGCACATGATGGAAAATGCTTAGAAAATGCTTAGCAAATAGTAGTGAAAGGATGGAGAATGGTTTTCACCATGAACTGTGGGAAAATGATGGAAGGGGGCAGCGCTTTTTTTCACAAGTCATGCAAAAAAACATGGAGAGCACGGGAGCACCAAATCCTGGGCTGATTCCCAAGAATTGCTGTCACAAGTTTAGGTGATTCCCTCGTGGACACCTTGTCACAAGTTTGGCTCTTAAAATTCGGGTGCTTCAGTAATCTTCAGTATTTCATGTACCATGATGTACCCTCTGGTAAACTAACATAGCTATTGAAAATGGCCAAGTCGAAATAGTGGATTTACCCGTTAAAAATGGTGGATCTTTCCAGTTCGTTATGTAAACGTTTACCAGAGGGTACCCCCAACCCTACATATCGCATCGCCCGGCGATTTTCAAAACGCCAGGGCACATGTGTCTTTGGAGCCTTGGAGAGCGAGATCGAATCAATCTGATCCAGCAGATCGTTGGCTTCCGACAGCCAATGCCACAGGCCGTAGAAGGAGTAGCTCTCCTTGGCCCATGGTCTTCTCTAGTAGAGATGGCTCGATGGCTTCGGAAAATGCTCAATTTCGAACAAAAAACATCAGATGTCCGTGAATCAATATATAATATCTATGAAATATTACAATATCACAATTGATATACAGTAATCATGATTGATCTTCTTTTTGCAGCCGGCCATGTTAAAATTGGCCTCTGAAAACAGGGGGGGGCTCAAGCCCCGTGGCGACATCATCACTGCTAGCCATTTTTTCGCAAACTTCGTCAAGTTCCGTGGCAGCTGGCAACTCACAAAAACTCAGAAACAAATGACTTGGAAGAAAAACAAAAACTCACACCCAAGACCTGGGGGAAAAAAAAATCTGGTTGTCCCCTGTTGAAATGGTCATCATTCAGCCAGATTCAACACTTTTGTGCGGTTCAGACCTCGCTGCCGGGTTTCTATGTCCTCAAGGGACTTCAGCACTTCTTCCGCCATCGCAGCTCAAAACTGGGGACTTCCCAACAAGCTGTGATGAGATGCAGATGGGATTGATACCTTATCTGGTTGGTGGTTTTAACCATCTTGAAAAATGTTTGAAACCACCAACCAGTTCTTTGTTTCTTTGGGAAAGAAAGGAAAAACATTTCATCCCGTGTCTTACAACATATGTGTTTTTTTTCTATCAAGATGTGGTGATTTGGATGCGTGTTTGAATATGTTTGGACTAATATTGACTAATCCTTAAAAATACGGATAGGAAGCCACCAATTTTCTATGGACTCTATGGCCATCACCGGTCGCAATCTTTGTGGCCACGGTATGTCCCCTAAGTTGGAGGATCCTTGGATCCCATAAAATCATTGTGTTTGGCTCAGCCAAAGGCCTGCGGGAAAAAACCGGAAAACTTATATGGGTATGGATCAATACCTAATTGTATACCATTTTTAGTGGGATGAACATCCATTTTAACCCAGCTAAATTTTGATGTGAACTACAGGGGTACAAGGTTTTGACACACTGCCATATATTAACCATATATTTGAACCATATATTAGCCATATAAACTCCACGACTCGTCTTGGTAAATCGGTCCCCACCAGTCATTTGACGGCTTCGGGGCGACCGGTAACCCATCAGGTATAAAGGCGGTTGACCAAACCCGAAAAGCGAGTGAAACAACCACCGATATATATATTATTAGATATATATATATATATATCTATCTATTTATATAATATCATATGTTTTTAATGTAGATATCATTTTATATACATATACATATACATATATATATATATTCTGTGTACACTATATAATATATATATACAAGATCTCATATTGTATATCACAAAATATCATAACATGATAGAAATTTCATCAACCCCTTCTTTGCCATCGACATCCAAGTGGCTGATCTCCACTGGGACAGGGTAAGTTCAATCGCAGCCGGGAGATGAGACCACACTTGGCGGCATGGTGATACCTGGGATTCCAATGGGCCAATGGCTTCAGAGAATTCGAATGGGAAAAACCCATGGAAAAACCATGGGAAATCAGGATTGAAAATCGATGATTCCATGGGATGTAACCAGATTTGGAGAAGATTTTAGATGTTCATACTTCACATATCCATATAATGGTCATAATATGTCATAATTATCATGGGATATAATTTGGATATCATCGGGTGTTCAAATCTCAGCAAGCCACATTTGGAGCAACATCCGTCGGGGAAAGTGCCAGGCAAATGTCTCCAGATGTTCTCGTAGGGAAATGCCAGGGAAATGCCTTGTTAAATGATGGTTTAATGGAATCTAATGGGATTTACCCTCTGGTTATGACTAACAATAGTCTATAGTTACTATAGTTCTAAGGGTTAAGCACCATTAAATCATCATTTTTCTATATTTTTGTAGGGTTACCATCTGGTTATGACTAACAGTTCGCTGGCTGGAAAATCCCCAAAATCGCCATGGAGGTTGCTCGCAAGTTCGCTGGGAAAATCATCTATAAATCGATTAGGGCCATGGCTTAACCATGGCGAACTGTAACAGTCAGAACCAGGCCGGGTAAATGGTGGCCCCTCAGCGGACAATGGTGGCCACAACGTGATATGCAGCGGCAGCGACCACATTTAAGTGGAAGGTCGAGTCGTCACTCCATTGAACGAATCACATCCACATGTAGGTCATACTAAAAGGGGGCGCAACCAGTGATTCAATGGGATTTATGGTGGTTTAATGGAATCTACTGGGATTTACCATCTGGTTATGACTAACAATTCGCCATGGTAGCCAGATGCCCCATAGAAATAGATGCTTTACCGTTCTTAAAAATGGTGGATCTTTCCAGTTCGCGAACTGCAACAAATAACCAGATGGTATAAAATCCGGAGTTCAGCGCATCTGCAAATCCCCCTGGCTTGTTCAAGATTTGTCAGCCCGCATTCACCGCACATTTACACATTTCTATCATCCTTTCCCTCCCACAACACCGACAGCATGAGAATTTCGATCGAGGCGCTCCACCACAATGACATCTCGGTGTTGCGATCCCTCTGGCGTCCCCTGGAAGCACCAAAAATGCTTTGACAAAGGCCTCAAAAAACCAAAACTTAAACCCTTCAAAACCCCCAAAGGCCTCCACTTCTCCCCCAAAAAAGTCTTGACCCTCAAGAAGCAAACTCATTAAACTCATTCTTTATTTCTTAGTCGACTCTCTCCAACAAAAATCCTCCAGATTTTTTTCCCCGAAATCCTGCAGCTCCCCCTTTTTCACGCCTTGTGGATGCTATTGGTATCGAAGAGATAGGCCGTGCCCTTTCGCCCAGCCAGCCGCTGGGTGCGAAACTCCCTCTGGACATAGGCATCGGCGAAACCTGCGATGAATGTTGGACGAAGTCGCAGAACGGGCAGAGAAGACATCAGGATATAAGAAATCCGGATACCTGGATACTGCCCTTGTTTTTTCCTGAAAATGACATATGTCAGTAGTATGATATGTTATAAGTGCGATATCATAAGAGATATAACCACTAGGGTTGTAAGAAAACTGTTCTATCAGAGAGAGAATGACTATGAATCAGCATCTGTTAAATATAATGAGGATAATATGTATCAGATTAGATAAGATAACTGATTATCACAACATGGTTCGTGATTATATTGAAATACATATCGTACTATTCTAAGAATTGTTAATAGCATCAATAGCAATCATGGAAGGAAAAGCCTGTCTTTTTCTTGGTTTGTGAGGCATGGCTTAGCGGTTCAGCCAAGGAACGGGACTGTTCGAACTCCTGGCGCTCGAATCTGCGCAACACGTGGTGTCACGCTCCATTTTTTGCGGAGCTGGGTTTGTTCCAGTAACACCATAAGTGGGGTGGATTCTACTGTCTATTCCTCAACACATCAATTGTTTCACCTGAGATGTGCAGCAAATACCCTCTGGTAATTTGTTACATAACTATTGAAAATGGCCCATTGAAATAGTGGATTTACCCATGAAACATGATGATTAACCCATCATTTTTGTATGTTTACCAGGCCGGGTATCCTTTTTTGGGAGGTCACGTCATGGCGCTTGTGGCGTCGTGTCCTCATGCCAGTAGTAGGACAAGCGATGCGAGCCCAGTGCAACTTGCGTTGGATGCCCTTCCAGTGGATCCACGTCGTTGAGCCGGATAAACCTCTGGAAATGGTGATGAGTTTGGTCTTATTTTTATGGTAACTCCAATTTCACTATGGCTTATGGTACGCAAATAACTATAGTGAATGGGGCGAATCTAAACCAAATTATAACTGGTGGACACCGCAGTTTGGTTTTTGTTTGGCCATTTTCATGTAGAAAATGAAGAAAATGAAGAACTGACAGGTTCCAAATTTGAGCTGATTGCGGTTGGCAAAGGGCCCCTGGGATTCATTGAATCGATGACAGACCTTTCTTTCTGCCACTATGGATGCAATTGGCGGTGCAATTGGCGGTTCAGAGCCTTTTTCCGTACAAAGTCTCAAAATTATATCAATCATGATAATCTCCAATCGACAGGTTATTGATTCATTGTTACAATGTGGGCCCCCTAGATAGCTAAGTTGGTTTATAACTCCCATAACTATGGTTTATGGTACTTATAACTATAGTTATATAATGGGGGTTATAATCGAACTTAGCTATCGAACGGGGGCCCCACATTGTACAAACGATCTTCTCATCCAAACTTCCCCGAAAAAAAACACCGACGATCCCAGCTATCGCCAAGTGGCAGCTTCAAACGCCGGCCCGCGCGATCGTGGTGCCAATGTGCAGCTACAAAATCCTTCGTGGTGAGATGCGACGGAAGATGCACCACCTGCAGAATGCCAGGTGGAGCAGTTGATTGCTGGAGCGGTCCATCATTGGGAAAAACCATCAACAAGGGCAATATTTACAAGGGAAACCAATCACTGGTTTCCCTTGTTGATATGTTGATATAATCATTGATATACTTCGTTGACCTTGTGTTCAGTGGGAAAAACCATCTTTGAGAATCACGAAAGGGGAAAAAAGATCAAGAAATCACTCCAATGGCTGATCAAGAGTTACTGTCGGGGGCACCCATGGATCCACAAAATGTGTCACTTTGGCATACTTTTGGCGGCATCAAATTGGGTACCCTCTGGTAATTTAACATAGCCATGGTATAGATGGCCCATTGAAATAGCTGGTTTTCCCATTAATAGCATGGTGGATCTTTCAATAGCTATTTTGACATAACCAGAGGGTATGTTTCATAACCCATAGGATCCATGGTGCTGCTATATATGGTAACATGGATCCCATCAATATACCCCCAATGTTAGCATATATACCAGCACCATGGATCCGTCATGGGTAAGGTTCACCTCACCGGATCAAAAACCCCAGCAGAATCCAGTCGGATGGTTCCCTCGGCCGCCTTGTAGCCATGAAGCATTGCATGACCACCCAGGTAGGCCGCAATGGCTGAACTGATCGTTGAGTTCCGCAACCTGAATCGGTGCATCGGTGAAAGATGTGTTGTCCTACAAAATGGGGGATATGATAAGGATATGGCCTTGTCATGGATATAGGGATATGACTTAATATTTCTTGTTGCCAACAAAAATGGTCATATTCACAAATTTGAATATTTGTTCAGGATATGATAGGGGCATTATAGGGATGTCTAGGGATATTTTTTCGGGAACGTACTGCGGCGAGGGATATATCATTCATGAAAGGGATTAGGATATTTCCTTGTCATGGATATCATAGGGATATGAATGTGCCCAACAAAAATGGCAATATTCACATGACAAATGAGATGATCATGGGGTGGGGCTCCTTTGGAAGCTACACTGCAAGGGGATTCTATGATGGACCCGTGGAATTCCAACCACTATGGGGACTTTCCGACTGCGGGCACCTTCATTTTATCCGTAAATACTTCGGCGGTTATGGACCAATTCTATCCAATTCTACTTGTGGAAATAGCCAGTTGGACCCAGATCCCATATCAACCAGCGATTAAAAGTTGCTGTACTTGCATTGATTGCGGTTGCGCCACAGTGCTGTTGTATTCATGATATCTCAAGGGACCAACCAGAGGGAATCAAAAAAAACATGTCCCTTCCTTACAGTGATGAACACCCATTGGAAACACTGGCGGAATGGATCGTACTGGATCTGTTCATATTTCAGTCACAGAGGCTGGGGGAGTTCATTGTCCGCAAGTATCCCCATTCCTAGAAACGGGGAATGGGAAGATAACCTTTATTAATACATCGATCGAATCGATCGCAAACTTTTCGGGGTCGAAAGTCGATCCATGATGGTTAAAGGATTATCCTGATCCATCATACAAAGTAGATATGATGTAGGCCCCATTTTGCTGGCTAAACTACCTCCATGTTATATAAAACATGATCCCCTTGGCTCTTGGCTCACCCATCATCTCCATTTTTGTACATATACATTAACTTGAATACAAAGAATCTCAATTTTGCTGGGTAAACCACATCCCCGTGAATATCACAACAAATATGTTGATCCATTATACTCAAAAAAAACTTTTGGGATATATTTACTTCCATACCCCTTGGAATACTCAGTATTTTCTTGGGATTACACATACCCTCTGGTAATTTAACATAGCCATTGAAAATGACCATTTATAGTGGATTTTCCCATTAAACATGGTGATTATCCATAGTTATGTTAGTTTAACAGAGGGTATTTATTTGGAGGTTCCAAAGTCACGGGGATACCCCAGTCATCATCCCGTCGTCATGGACCAATGGATGTCCATTTCATTGGTGAAACAACCATGGACTGGGGATCCCCCATGACTTCAGAAACCTCCATTTATTGATCAATACCCTTGGAATACTCATTATTCACTTGGGATTGCAAGGCCTAGTGTCCCTCTTTAATGGACAATTTATATATCATTATTCTTGTGATATTAATATCATACATATCATTTAATCAATCTGGTTGGTGGTGCAATAACCATCTAGAAAAATCATGGAGTTCGTCAATGGGAAGGATGACATCCCAAACATGAAATGGAAAATAATCCATTCATGTCTGAAACCACCAACCAGCAATATACTGTGGTACCCTCTGGTAATTTAACATAACTATGGAAAATCACCATTTTCAATGGGAAAATCCACTATAAATGGCAATTTTCAATAGCTATGTTAAATTACCAGAGGGTAATCCAAATCATAAATCCATCAAAACCAGCCGCAGCGAAGGCACCACTCTTCCAACTCCGGCAGGTACGGCCGCGCCGCCGCGATGCGCGGCATCTCGCCCTCTTGGCGCACAGCGTCACGCACCGCTGACAGGGCCGCCAGGGCCGTCTCCTCGATGAAATGTTTGGGAAGGCGATTTTTTTTGGGGGGGATGGTATGGATTTAAGCAGCATGACTGGATCATCATCAAAAAAACGCTTAGATTATGTTAAAATTATACGGATTTAACCAACAGAAAACTGAGATTTGGGAGGGTTTTTTTTGGGGGAGCCAGCAAGAAAAAGATGAGAATGGTGGGTTTGATGTTTAACCAACACAGAACTGAGATGTAACTTGCTACAACCAATGAGAAATCTAACTTGGATGATCCCGAACCATGAATGATGCATTGTATGTGGGGCATACAAAATGGCTTGAACATAGCAAATCACCTATTTAGATCTATTTAGATGATGTGAGTTTCTCTACAAGTGATGGTGAAAATATCTGAAGTCCCTGAAACATCCCAAAACAGCAGTTTGATGGTGAAAATATCTGAAAATGGTGATGAAGCATGGGATGGATTGAGATTGCACAACCACAATCATGGTTTGCAATTGGCTCAGTTTACCCAAAACAAAGCTAGGAATCCCTCACAAATGGATACAAATGGTGAAACAATGGACCAACGGTCCTTTCAACACTCGAAAATCACAGATCTCGCCAAGAATGGAGGTCCTTCAATGGATTAAGGGAAAAATGTTAACCGGAAAAGCCCATGATCTTCATGGGAAAATCGATGGTTTCCGGTGAAGATTTTCCCAACAAAACCTATCCATCGGAAGTCCTGCACCGAGAGGGGCAGTTGAAGATCTCCCAACTCCACGGTGCCATTGGATTCCAAGGCTGCGAAAATGGCCTGGGCACCTGGAGCGCCGAGAACGCCGTCAGAACGGCGTCGTTCAAGAACCCCCATATGGCCGTGTGGATGGGGATATCATGATAAAACACGGGTATCCTAGTTTTTGATCATAAAAACCATATATCAAAAACCATTGGATATACTCTTGATATTTGATATATGGATATACTGTTTATTAGAAAAACCATTGGATGTTGGAGTATATTATCATGGAAAAGAAATGGAGTATATTATCATTGGATATATATTACTATATATTATCCATGTTGGATATATTTGGATATGTTTGATATTTTTTGGCAAAGTCCAACATTGAAAAATCGGACAGTCGGCCAGAAATTCAAGCAGCTTTTTTGCTGAACTTGGTCACATCGCATGAAGCATCGCAGTTTCACTTCGTGTTTCACGAATCGTGAAATCCAAACAAAACTTCACAAAACAGCCCCGGCCCTACACCTCAAAGCCACGGTTTATACTCGGTTGACACTCCCATCCTTGCTGGTTCCGATTTGCTGATCTGAAAATTTCGACGTGAAACCCCAACTCTTCTTGGGTAGCAAAAAAAAAAACAAAAAAAAACAACAGAGTTCAACAATAAAACGCTGGTGTCCACCATTTTTGGAGTGAACATCCAACTGTTGCTGGTAAACATGGTAAACATGGTAAACATCCCCAATCATCCCCCTAATTTGAATGGGTATTTACCACACCTGGCCCCTCGCGTTTCGCGAAACCTGGCTCCAGTTGCAAGTCTTTTTTCCGCGACTGTAGATCCATCACATCCTCAGCACATGGCATCATAGTAGGCAGACCTAGTGGTTGGTTCAGACAGGTTCTCATCTGGAGATGGGTCAGAAAACCATAGAAAACCCGAACGAATTGCTGTGGATGTTCGTTCACCCAACCTTTTTGGCTAGTATAGCCCTGTTACCAAACACCAGTGACTGCTCACGTGAATTCAGTGCCAAAAAACGGCACTGGTGTTCAGCCACATATTCTCAACATTTCCTTGGCAGCCCTTGCCGTGTTACTTTGCACCTCCCAAACTTCAAAACCAAACTGAAACCACCTATCAATCATGGCACCTTGTCTGGTTGTACACATGACCCAAAATTAGCTACGTTCGGGTTTAATTCACAATTGTTGTGGATTATATAAATTATATCCCAAATGTATGGATAGATCATCGTCTTTGTTGGTTAACCACAGACATTTTCATAGATATTCACAGATCAAACCCTGCCGAAGCTGTCGAGTTCCCCAATCCTTCTCCGGCCCAGTTGCCGCGTCCAAATCGAAGAGCAAACGGCCCAGCGGGGACAGGAAGCCGCGACAGAAGCTTGACACCTGCTATGAGAGCCCCCTTGGGGGCTGCTTTTTTTACTGCCAATCGTCAAATTTGTGCCACATCTATAGAGAAAATGAACAATGAAAGCATGTTAAACGTCCGTCATGGCGATTTTTGGGGTCCACATTTTGAGAGAAAAATTATCAGATACCCGGCCTGGTAAACATACAAAAAGCGAACTGGAAAATGGCCCAGTCGAAATAGTTGATGTATCCATTGAAAATGGTGGATCTTTCCAGTTCGTTATGTTAGTGATTAACCATAGAATGGTTGATTTTCCCATTAAAAATTGTGGTTTTCCCATTAAAAATGGTGATTTTCCCATTAAAAATTGTGATTTTCCCATTAAAAATGGTGATTTTCACTAAAAATTGTGATTTTCCCATTAAAAATGGTGATGTCCCCATTAAAAATTGTGATTTTCCCATTAAAAATTGTGATTTTCCCATTAAAAATAGTGATTTTCCCATTAAAAATTGTGATTTCTAGTTGATGTATCCATAGAAAATGGTTAGTTTATCAGATGATCAGATGGCACATGGAGGATCATCCCACCAGATCCCACCAGGAAGTGGTCTCTACGTTGGTCCCAAAAAGGCCTCTACGGCATCCTTCAACTCGAAACCCAAGGCACTGAAGCGTGCCTGAGACGAGCACATGTTGATTGGTCAAGTACGAGCCTGTACATATTACATATATATATATATACATATACATATACAGTACATCATATACATTAGTATATATATATATACATATACAGTACATCATATACATTAGTATATATATATACATATACAGTACATCATATACATTAGTATATATATACATATACAGTACATCATATACATTAGTATATATATATATACATATACAGTACATCATATACATTAGTATATATATATATACATATACAGTACATCATATACATTAGTATATATATATACATATACAGTACATCATATACATTAGTATATATATATATATACATATACAGTACATCATATACATTAGTATATATATATACATATACAGTACATCATATACATTAGTATATATATACATATACAGTACATCATATACATTAGTATATATATATACATATACAGTACATCATATACATTAGTATATATATATATATATACATATACAGTACATCATATACATTAGTATATATATATACATATACAGTACATCATATACATTAGTATATATATATACATATACAGTACATCATATACATTAGTATATATATATATACATATACAGTACATCATATACATTAGTATATATATACATATACAGTACATATATATACATATAGTATATATATACATCATATACATATACAGTACATCATATACATTAGTATATATATATACATATACAGTACATCATATACATTAGTATATATATATATACATATACAGTACATCATATACATTAGTATATATATATACATATACAGTACATCATGTACATTAGTATATATATATACATATACAGTACATCATGTACATTAGTATATATATATACATATACAGTACATCATGTACATTAGTATATATATATATACATATACAGTACATCATGTACATTAGTATATATATATACATATACAGTACATCATGTACATTAGTATATATATACATATACAGTACATCATATACATTAGTATATATATATACATATACAGTACATCATATACATTAGTATATATATATATACATATACAGTACATCATATACATTAGTATATATATATATACATATACAGTACATCATATACATTAGTATATATATATACATATACAGTACATCATATACATTAGTATATATATATACATATACAGTACATCATATACATTAGTATATATATATACATATACAGTACATCATATACATTAGTATATATATATACATATACAGTACATCATATACATTAGTATATATATATACATATACAGTACATCATATACATTAGTATATATATACATATACAGTACATCATATACATTAGTATATATATATACATATACAGTACATCATATACATTAGTATATATATATACATATACAGTACATCATATACATTAGTATATATATATACATATACAGTACATCATATACATTAGTATATATATATACATATACAGTACATCATATACATTAGTATATATATACATATACAGTACATCATATACATTAGTATATATATATACATATACAGTACATCATATACATTAGTATATATATATACATATACAGTACATCATATACATTAGTATATATATATACATATACAGTACATCATATACATTAGTATATGTATATATACATATACAGTACATCATATACATTAGTGTATATATATACATATACAGTACATCATATACATTAGTATATATATATATATACATATACAGTACATCATATACATTAGTATATATATATACATATACAGTACATCATATACATTAGTATATATATACATATACAGTACATCATATACATTAGTATATATATACATATACAGTACATCATATACATTAGTATATATATACATATACAGTACATCATATACATTAGTATATATATACATATACAGTACATCATATACATTAGTATATATATATATACATATACAGTACATCATATACATTAGTATATATATATACATATACAGTACATCATATACATTAGTATATATATATACATATACAGTACATCATATACATTAGTATATATATATATATACATACAGTACATCATATACATTAGTATATATATATACATACAGTACATCATATACATTAGTATATATATATATACATATACAGTACATCATATACATTAGTATATATATATATACATATACAGTACATCATATACATTAGTATATATATATATACATATACAGTACATCATATACATTAGTATATATATACATATACAGTACATCATATACATTAGTATATATATATATAAATACATATACAGTACATCATATACATTAGTATATATATACATATACAGTACATCATATACATTAGTGTATATATATACATATACAGTACATCATATACATTAGTATATATATATATATAAATACATATACAGTACATCATATACATTAGTATATATATATACATATACAGTACATCATATACATTAGTATATATATATACATATACAGTACATCATATACATTAGTATATATATATACATATACAGTACATCATATACATTAGTATATATATATATATACATACATATATACAGTACATATACAGTACATCATATACATTAGTATATATATATATATGTAAACCAATAGCATGTGTTGATGGGATCTACATCTTGGTGGGATATCATATCTCTCCAACCTCCCCATCCAATCGCTGGATCTCCCGGACTGCTCCGGAGGCGTTCACCGCCTCCCGTTGCGCACGGGCCTTGTCTAAGTGGACCTGGCCAGTGGCCAGTCCCATTTCGAAAAATCTGACTTTGGGCAATGGACTGGACATGGAGCATGGACAGAACGGAGATGGAGAATGGACAGAACATGGATTTATCAGTTATAACATATGGTAAATATTAACAATTATAGTTATGGTTACGGACATGGACAGAACATGGTAACGGACATGGACAGAACAAACATAGCGATCCGCAAACCTCGCTAAACATCGACCGGGCCTTCATTGGTTCCTTGAAGACAAAGACATCCAACGCAGTCTGACCAAAGGGGTTTGGGGCGTCATCAGGGCCTGGCTGCGTCAACAGCCAGGCAGGCCTTGATCCCAGGTTTCAAATCCACGAATTTCTACAGGTTTCTTTGGGTGGTTTACCCGGCGCCGGTGGAGGGATCATATAGCGGCCTAAATTCCAACTCATTTCGCAGCTATGGAAAGATCCATATCTGCATGTCTGTGTTGTCCTTGTTGATGAAAAACACCCCTCAAGTTGTGGTATCCACTATGGTGGCTTTCCCTGATCGGGTCGCTCATGACTGGAGTTGTAAATCTTGTATTAGCAGAATGCTGATCACCCATGCAACGACTATTCTTTGGCTTGATCTGGAAAACACGTTTTGGCCATTTTGTTTGCAGTTCAAAAAGATGTGTTAAAGTTTGTGTTTCTGAAAAATAGGCTACTCCACAATCCCATTCTTTGTCATCAGTTTGTCTCCGTTGGTCAAGCGTAAATGATCGTTTTCTGTATACCCATCATATCCTCATGATATTCTGCAGGATATCCTCACCCTACGACAGCAGGGTCCCGTCCTGCACAGACGTCTTCCTCCAGCACACGGCAGGGGAAGCGTGGCAAGGCCGTTTCGTCCTCGTGGTGGGGAGCCTGGAGAAAGCACAGAATTTTGGGGGATCCAAAGTTTGGAAGACCCCCACATATCCTGGTTGGTGGTTTCAACCAACCCCTCTGAAAAATGATGGAGTTCGTCAGTTGGGATGATGAAATTCCCAACTGAATGGAAAGTCATAAAATTCCATGGTTCCAGTCACCACCAAGCAGTATCCTATATGAGAAGCCCAAGCCATGTATGTTGGTCAGTTTTAAGGATACAGTTATCCAACACATGGGTTGGCACATGGGGTATGCGACAAACACATTTTTGCACTGGAAAATCGAGTCAACCAACTTCATTGCGAGGGGAGTGCCGGGCAGGATGAATCAGGCAACCAGTGGGAAAGGCCAAGTTTGATCATTCTGAGAAATCATGTGTAATCTTGATGGGTTTGATAATTGATCTTAAGGAGACAGTTTCCCATGTATGTTGGTCAATGGTTGATCATGGGAATTGAAATGTAACCAAAACGGTCAAGGGAAATCTTGCCACAACCCTGACTGGGGGTCATGATTGCCACCAATCATTTCTGACGTTTCAGCCCTTATAGCCATTCTTGCCCAATCACGACGGAAGTGATAGGAGTTATGAAAGTACAAGTTGGAAGCCATTTTCTCAATGCTACTTCACGGAGGGGGTACCCTCTGGTAAACTAACAGTTTGCTATTGAAAATGACCATTTATAGTGGATTTAACCATTAAAAATGGTGATTTTCCATAGTTATGTAAACGTTTACCAGAGGGTAAGGGTCAAAGTTTAGTCTTGGGATAGTGCTCCAAGTAGCCACATGTCACACCACGGGCACCCCCGGGCCTCGCATGTCAAGCGCATCTGCGGTTCTAAAGGCAATTGGATCTCTGCGATGTCGACGGGTGGCTGCTCCTGACGCAAGTGGGATGGATCCGAGCTACATCCCTTGTTTTTTGTTGCTGGCTTTGTGGGTTACAGTATCCCATTGTATCCCTAGATGTCACAAAGCAACTAACCATGGTCATCTCTTGAGAGTGAAAAGTCAGCTACTTGATGTGAATGTTCCTTCAAATTCAGGTTGACATATCTTTGGTCCTCTCCTTCTCCTGCAGTGTACCACAGGCACCTCCCACAATCGATCGCCCATTTTAATCAGCAGACTTCCCACAGTCCTCTGGCAGGAAGTTCGTGCCTTGGAAGTGTGAAAGCTTGGATGGTCAAAGCAAAAATCATGGGAAATCAACCGCCAACATGTAGTACTGTAGTATTATTGCCATGTTGACATGTATTACTCATGAAAAAACTGGGAATTTTTGTGCAGCCTTGACTCAAAAACCTACATAGAAGATCATAGAAGTCGTCGTGGAAACCAGGCACGCGGAACCGATCTCAGACAGCAGTTGGTACATGGTGACTTGGCAGTTCTATAAGAGTCACAAGGATCTGCCGAGGGGCATCGCACCCCTGCTCCTTGCCATCCGCTCTCAGCGCAAGGAACCTGAGATTCGCGCCGAGGTGTTCCGGTTGTTTTTTTTCCGTTTTTGGTGAAACTGGGCACTGAAAAAGGTCACTATAAACCCTCCATTCATAGTTATTTAATGCTGAAAATATGAGAAGGATGGAAAATGATGATCATCTATTAGAATTCGGGATGTAAATTAGGGATGTACCATCTTCAGTTTAGTGCCTTGATGTTTGGTTGGCAACAACTGCTGTCTGAACAAACTTCAGCCGCGCTTCGTTCAGCTCCACTCGGCAGCTCAAAAGACTTGTCTCGGTGCCTGGCACTTCAGCACATCGAGATACCCTCTGGTTATTTAACAGTTCGCCATGGAAAATCACCATGTTTAATAGGTAAACCATCTATAAATGGGCCATTTTCCATAGCTATGTTAAATAACCAGATGGTAAGTTGTTTCTAAAAGAAATGGACCGAAAAGAGAACTTTCTAAAAGAAATGTCATTGCCAGGAATTCAGTACCCGGCCTGGTAAACGTTCACATAACTATGGAAAATCACCATTTCGACTGGGCCATGTTCCAGTTCGCTGTTTGTATGTTTACCAGGCCGGGTATCCCCATATATTCCCATGATTTTCCCATGGTAAAACCTCCATTTCAGCACGGTGCTTTGAAGCAGAGAAGAATCTCCTTCATAGAGATGCCCAAACATCTTCCGCCAGGTTTCAACCCAACTCCCAACCATCAGAGTCAACGATGTCAGAACTTGTCATATTTCACCAACCTCAAAAGTTCAGCCATTCTTTTCCATAGTTCCCCAAAATATCCGAAATATCACCTATGAGATACCAAATGTTTACCATTTTGCGTTTCCCTATTTGTTTGATGAAAATGGCTGAAATATCCCATGGAACATCCCATCAACCAGCCATAAATCACCGACTTCGCCTTCGCAGTGCGGACGAAGGTCCGACAGAAGGCTCTCCTCACCGTTGGCCATGCGCATGGTGCTGACGCCTGGTTCGGGCATCTCCGGTATCCCCAAGATGGGAGTTCCATGGTGTTTTCTGGTCAAAAACACATGAAACTATCACCAGATATCACTATGAATAATGGTTGATAAGGGGAATCATCCCCAGATGGCCTTAAAATTCAGGTTAGTGAAATGTTATAATTTACCCATATATATATAATGATACTTACTGGTGCTTACTACAATGTGGGGCCCCCTAGATAGCTGAGTTAGTATATATCGTCAATAACTATGGTTTATGGTACTCAAATAACTTTAGTTAGTGGGGTTTATAAACCAATTTATAACTGGGGGGCCCCACATTGTATCACCAAATATCACTATGAATTATTGATTGTGATCATTATGATTACTATTGGTGTCATTGTTACTATTATTATTGTACGTATATCCGTATATATGATCATTAAGATATTACATCATATCATAATTATATTATTGTTAATTATTATTGTTGTTATTAACATTGTTATTATTATATATCAGCTATTATATAACTATTAAAAATAACTATTATATTACATCAGTTTGCAATATATTACATATCAACTATTAATATTTTACAAAACGTTACATTCCAAACTTTCTTATATCTATGATAAAGAAATGTACTATTTATATTATATGTTATATGGGTATGGATCAATACCTAATTTTATACCATTTTGAGTGGGATGAACATCCATAAATCCCAGCTATTTTGATGTGAACTACAGGGGTACAAGGTTTTGACACACTGCCATATACCATGTTTTTCTATGCGTTTTCCGGTGGTTTGTTTTTTTTCTCCGGAAGAAAAAGTCCACCTCTGCGAAGGCCCAACTGGCGGCACACCACCTGGCCATTGGTGGTTACAAATCAGAAGTTCAGTTTTGATTAGTAAAGTAAATATTCATAAATGAATAATTAAAATCTAGATTTACTGGTAAGTAATATTATTAACCATTACAAATCTATATTTTAGGTTACTAATGGTTAATCTAGATTTACTTACTCTGTGGTTAATATATGTTAATATATAGATTTGCTGAAACAAAAAAAAAATCGATGAACAGCTGAGCCTCAGCCGCCGCGCTATCCCAGGAGTCATCGGCACAGATCCAGCCCCAGCGGCCACGGTGGAAGACCTGGTTTTTTCGGGTCGTCATTGTGGGTGGAAAAAAAACGTGTTGAATGATTTTGAAACACGTGAATCAATGATAATCAATGCTCATACTGAAAAAACTATGAAAATATCTGAATTATGATTCATAATTTCATCATTTATATTAAATGATGACTTAATCCATCATTAGTCCATCATTCAGAACGATATTAAATGTGATATATGAATGAATGAACTCATGTTATTTCAACTGTTAGTCCAGCCATTTTCAGAAAGCTCCTGGTACCTCTGGTACCCCTGGTACCCTACGGCACCTCCACACTCCCAGCGTCTGTGTTTCCTCCTGGGACAACCCAGCCATGGATGAAGTGGTGGAAAAGAAATGTCGAAATGTCCGGCTGCTTCAAAAGTGATATTTTTTAACCATGGAATTGTAAGTATTGTTAAATTTAATAACTATATTGTAACTTACCATGGAGTTATTCTTCAAAAGTGATATTGTAACTTACCATGGAATTTAATAGCTTTAAGACAAGTTTGCATATGTTGTTCTGCAACATCAAATCCGTCCAACGTGTGACGCCAAAAAAAAAAACAACCATCGCCCGCCCGCGGCGCAGGTAGATGATCTTTGCAATTGGGGACGGTTTATGCGATTCCCATTTATGGTGATATTGGGCATGGTTATGCGACCCATTATTATCATTATTGGGTTTACCACATGATCAATACCAGTCTATAAGAGGATGTGACAAGAGGATGTTTTATTGATTGTTTACTCTATTTGCGTCTGTATCATGTTACAACTTGGATAGTGAATGATGTGAATCCTTAATATTCCTTAATAACCCCCCAGTTTATCAATATGGGATACCAACTCAAAGCAATAATGTAAAACTATTTTTGGTGGGCTAGTTGATCAATAGGGAATTCCAACTTAAAGCAATAATGTAAAACTATTTTTAGTGGGGTAGCCCAACGCTCATTAATAGGCCGGAACTATTCATCTGGGGTTGATATTTGGCATTGGACCACTGGACCACTTCGTATTGAAACCCATGGTGACGACTGGGGATCCCCCATTTTTTGGAAGAAACCCATCTATGGTGATTTTGGATAACCATCTTTTTTTTTTCTTAGACCATCCCCAAAATCACCACTTAAAATCACCATAAATATGGCATTTGTGCCATAAGCCATTCCCAAATTGGGCATGACCTGCCTGGTGCATGAACCGCGTCTCCTGCCAACCGCACATCGCCCTCTTGAGCTGCCTCCACCACTGCATACGCTGCAGCCAAACGCCACATTTTTGGGCGGAAAGTGGGTAGTAAGTGGGGCAAGGTGCTAACGCCGTAAAACCAGGAGTGTGGATGGTATAAATGGGATCAAAATTAATGGAAGTTATGGATATTAAGGATTTGAAGAGAATTTTCATAGATCTTTAGTGGGATGGTTTATGGGGCTTTTAAATCCCAACTTGGGGAATACTGCGGATGGTTTGGGTTTTGCCTCGGGAATTTTGAAGGCAATGCAGCTGCTCATGACGCAAGGAATCTGTCCCCATCAGGGTTGCTCTGGCTGAAGAATTCTCATGCTGAAGCGAGGGTTGGGAAGTACGCAGGCCTTCTGGCAGATTCCCACCCATTCCGTATTTGAGGTACCCTCTGGTAAACATACAAAAAACCTATGGAAAATCACCATTTATAATGGGTAAATCCACTATGAATGGCCATTTTCAATAGTTTTTTGGATGTTTACCAGAGGGTAATCTAACATCTTGCATGCACCCAACACAGCGAAATCCAAATCTGCTTGGTTGCCACCAGTGTCCTTAGATCTGCTTACAGCTTGAGGCAAATGCTGCGGCAGCGCAGCGTTCACTGAAGCATGGCGTGCCCAAAATCTAAAATGTGGCTGTGCCAAGAATGACGTGCCGTTTTAATAGGGAACATACCCTCTGGTTATGTGAAAATAGTTATAGTTGATTTTCCCATAAAAAATGGTGGATCTTTCCATAGCTATGTTAGTTTACCAGAGGGTAATGATAAGCCAGTTGATCTAGGCGTAAACAAACCAAAGTATTGGACCGTCAACTCACTTCTTTCATGAGTCTTTCACACACATACCTCGGTGGTGGTGTCAACATGTTTCAACCCCGTTTCGAAAATATTCGCCGAATCATCTTTCAGCAGGATGGAAAGTAAAAGATAAACCACTAAAAACACCAAGCAGTTGTACGGGTTGTATAACATTTTTTATGTGATTGAATTCCAAACTTTGTAGGTGACATCAAAGATATATCACATAATATATCCACATGGTATATCCTCAAACTTTTGGTAAATATGAATTTTCTATCACCACGTTTGGTTGCTGTATCATGTCATATCATCATTTTTTGCGGTTTCCTTCTGGTTTTTTTTCATATAGCTATGGAAAATCAATGAAAATCCACCATGTTGATGCCAGTAGATCATCCTAAATCATCGAAACCAATGGGCCAGTGACGGCCAGTGTCCGTTTTCCGCGATCGATTTCAGGCGAGCAAATCTCCCCATGTTTATACCCGAAAAAAATCCAACATGGCAATGGAAAATCCACCATTTACTTCGATGAATTGTCCATTATGTGTATATGTATATATATATATATATTGTGTATATATTGTATATATTGTATATATTGTATATATACTATATCCCATTGGGAAAATGTTGAGTTATACAATATCTATATCATGTATATCAACCAGTACCGGATGGGGATTCTATGAATGAACGACCCCGGAAGTAAAGACGAATAGGTTGATCATCCCCTTTTTTCGGTAGTTTCGGCTTCAGCTCATGAGTGGTTGCAGATTGTGCAACTGCCCCTTTCCTGGAGTGGACGGAGTCTGCGCTTTGTGCCGGTGTGTCTCCCGGCTGGTGGGGGAGTTCAGAGCACTTCAGCCTGTACTGCGATCCTGGGGGGTCAGCCAGGCCAGGCAGTGGACTTCCCTGCTCCAAGAAGAGCAAGCTCAACAGCGGGCCAGGGACAGGCTTTGTGCTCCTGTGGGCCCTCCTACTACGGGAGGGTTACCAGTGCCTCCCCCACCTCCTCCTCGTACGGAGGGCATTGCGGTGAAGAGGGAGGCGGCGGCGAGCGCACCAAGCGCCCCAGCCGAGGTTGCTGAGGCACCTTCCTCGAGCGCCCGGGGAGCTAGAGAGGAGGCTGAGAGATCCAGATCGCGTCAAAAGCCCAAGAAAGAAAAGAAGAAGGAGAAAGCTGAGGGAAAGAGGAGTAAAGCCCGAGATAGTAAGACAGAGAGAGGAGAAAGCCCAGGAAGAAAAGAAAGGAAAGAACGTCCGAGAAGCAAAAATAGGTCAGCAGAAGAGTCTGCACGTGGAAGCAGAGAAGCTTTCATTGACAAGAGGCCCGTCAGCAGGGCAAGGAGTCCGAGACTGGAAGATAGAGACAGGGGCAGAGGCAGACCCCGAGAACCAGAGCATCCTCCTAGAAGGTGGGAGGGTCCTATCTTGACGGTGAGGCGTCCGATCGGAGAAGCGGAGCCCAGGGCCGATCCCCAGCGTAAGAGGGCGCTCAACAAAGGCAGAAAGAAGCGAGAGAGGCAGCGGGCTTGGCGAGAGGACCGAGCTCAAGGTTAATGGCATTGAGGAGGCCAGCGGCGGCAGGGCCAGCTGGTAGACGGGCTCCTAGGGTGGGAGCAGCTCTGCGTAGACCGGCGAGTCGAGGCGCAGGTGAGCAGAGTCAGAAGGGCGAAGCAGAAGAAAAGTTTGTGAACGGAGAAGAAGTGGAAGCCAATTTGGCTCCTTTGGGAAGATTGGTGCAAGGTACTCCTGTCGTCGTCGTTGGGGAGTACCGACAAGAAGGATGTCGTCTTTGCGGCACAGTGCAGGGCCTCCAAGTGCGCCACGTGGGCGATGTAGAGTTGCAACTGACAGGGGAGGGGACGGAAAGCGAGTCCCTCCTGAAGTGGATCACCGGGCACCCCACGGTGCCAGTGCGGGTCCATCTGTGCGGCTCAACTTGCCCCAACAAGGTGGACGCAGAAGGTCTAGTACACGCCACAAAAATCCGACAGAAACAGAGGAGCGACGAGGGAGGCTGGTCAGAGAACCTGCGAGAAGGAAGAGACGAGAATGCAGAGCTGAGGAGAGAAGCAATGGCATTGCAAGAGAAGGAAGCGAAGGAGAAAGAGAGAGCAGACCAGAAAAGAGACGACAAGAAAACAAAGAAAAAGAAAAAGGAGAAGAAGAAAAGATCCTCAAGCACCGGAGGATCCAGCCGAAAGAAGGTGAGATCGAGCAGAAAGAGGGTCAACTCACGAAAGGAGCTGAAGGATGTCTTCGGGTCAACTGGCCTGGACCCCAATTACAAAGTGAGGAGGAAACTGGTGAAAGCATTGAAGAAGAAGTTGAAGAGGAAGAAGGAGGAGAGCACCAGCGGCGATTCAAGCTCCATCGATGGGAGCGGGGAGAGCAGCGACCAGGGCAGCTCCGAGGACGAGGGGATCTTCGGGGACACCCACAAAGTGCGGGTGGTGGCCCGCCGAGCTCCAGGAGTTCTAGCGGAGAGCACTATCAGGGAGATGCAGAGTCAACTCCTGACGGCAGCAGGCACAGTTTGGGACCAGGAGAAAGGGGAGGTGCCTGCGGTGGCGCTGCAATATTACCGCAACCATCTGGCCCCCCTCCTTTCAGGGGGGGCCAGCCGAGAAGCTCTGACCTTGTGCTGGAGCTTAGACCTGGCGCTTCAGGGGAAAGTTGCCAACACGGTCGACTGCTTGGCGCAGAGGCTGAAGAGTTTGCAGCTGACAGCCAATGGAGGGAGTTGGCGAGTCAGTCAAAGGATCGAAGTGGTCCCGCCAGAACGGGGACAACTGACAAGCCGCGCAGAAACACAGGCCGCGGCCAAGGAGGACAAGGAGGAGCAGAAGACGAGAGCGTTAGCAAAAGGAAAAGAAAAGGGAAAGAGCGAGAGTTCAGGGGCAGGGGCCCCGTGGCGATACGGGCAAAAGGGCGAGACAAAAGGGCGCGACAAAGGGAAAGGCAAGAGGAGCGAAAAAGAGGAAGGAAAGAAGAGCTCCTAGATTTGGGAGCTGAGGCTGAAGACGAATATGAGGGCCCCCTCCTAGGTTTGGGAGGAGAGCCACAAAGAAGCTATGAAGAGGTGCGAGGAGCCCCCTGTGGCCTTAGTTTAAACCAGGGGAAGACTGCCCACGGCCGGGACACTGTCCTTGGACAGGACCGGGCCAGGTGCAGTACGGGAGTGCGCGAAAATCGCCCTCCTGACAGCCCTGAATGTGGACCCTGGGTGCGTGGACACGGTTCTGTGTGGAAACCGCCTATAGGTCTTATGGGGCATGGCGCCGGAGAGAGGTCAGATGGCGCAGGCGTTTTTCCACAGTTTCATGTTTCACCTAGTGGCGAAGCTCCGGACAGCCAGTTCGCTGGTAGTCCCTTGGCGTCATCCAACCGATGCTTAGGTGACTTTGCAGATAGTCACTTGTACGATGCCCCGCAGACCTTCGATCGCAGTGGTGAGAAAAAGAAGATGAAGGATCCGAGTGCAGTCAGGGAGTGTGGTCGAGTTGAGAAACTTGTTGGTTTACCCTGGGGTTCCTGTTTGCCCTTAGTTCAGTCACTGCTGATTAAATCTTCTTCAAAATTGAAAAAGAAGCACAGCGAGGCCAAGCCCACGGGTGACGTATTCCCGTTACCCACCAGCACTGACATTTTAAGGGGGCAGGAACGTCTGGCCAGGGTTGATGTGGTTATGCTGCGGTCTCTTTGCTTGGGTCTCAATAGTTACGCGGGAGTTGACTTAGAGTCAGGGGCCAGAGTAACTCCTTTGCAGCTTGAGTTCCTGGAAGGGCTGTGCGGAGATTTAGCAGAGGTTTCAACATGGGAAGAGACGTTTAGCTTGTCTACTTGGGAATCCTTTTTTAGTAGTCGCAGTGTAGACTATGTTGGTGATGAAGTGTCGGTGGCAAAAACTACTTCTTGGTCCAACCTTAGTCCAGCTATACCTGCAGAAGTAGGAGGGGTGGAGCTGTCTTCGGTATTGGAAGGGGGTTGCAGACACTACGTCACACATTTCGAGGACTACCTAGTCCCTCCTGAATCCATGGAATACACCAAGCCTCCGAGGGTCATGGTAGCTGATGACCAATGGGAGGGCGTCTGTCGAGGTCTCCTGTCATCGGGTATCTGTGGCCTTCTCCCGGAGAGCGAGTTGTTCCATGTGAAGGGGAGGCCTCTCCTAAATGGCCTCTTCGGAGTGCCCAAGGGAGACAGAGCAGGAGGGA